AAATTGGTGGGTGCTAATGCTTGCGAATGCAACTGGGAACAGCAGTTACTTCAAACGAAGCATGCAGAAACTCGGGATTAAGAAAGTTTGCACTTGAGCTTTTGCACATTACGTATATGTCCATTGTCCACCTCCGTTGTCAATACTGGTTGTGGTACAGAGGCTCAAGCACGAACTTGGACATCTCCGTAATCGTATCGTCATCGTCAAATTTTGTACGGAAGGAGCCAGTTTGTTCTAACGTCCGGTAGGGGTGCTGCTTAGTTTTGAAAGTGAAACTTTGACGATGCGAAAAACGATACGATTACGGAACTGTAAAGTTTGTGCTTAGGGCTCAGTATTTCTGAAGGACATGAAATTTTTTGCAATTGTTAAAAATTTACTGGTATTGGCTGAATGTACTTGAACTTTTTCTGTCCTAATTTCATAGCAAGTTTTAAGCATCTCCTTTATGTTGCAGGTAAAGCGAAGCCTCCTAAACCAGAAGTTGCAGAAGACAAGTCGGATTCCTCTGAGAGTGATGACAGAATGGTTATAGATGAGAGTGCAAATCAATAGAAGTATTAATTGTTTGTAAGTTGACAGTGAAATAAATCTATTTCTTTGAAAAAATATTTCAATTCAATTGCATGCTATTTGTTTGTTGAGAAAACTTGACGAATTTTGGGAACTTCTCTTTTAGAGAGAGTGCTATAAATAAAACTATTAAAGTAGTATTATTGTACAATTTATTAAATAAAAGCGTTTAAACAAGGTTGGCTGAATAAATAATTTAATGAATATAATATCGCAATAAACAATTATACCTAAAAAAATACCTTTCATAAAAGAATAAATATAATGCTATGATTTTTGCCTTTTGAATCCGAAAAGCATTGTTTTATTGCAGTAAAGGAGTGTTACAAGGAATGTATTAAATCGGAAAATAGTCTTACAACTGCAGAGGTGGTGTAAGGGCCACTTGATCCAACGTTGTTAAAATTAAACAATCATTAATCGTTGACAGACTTGATACAAAATTTAATGCTCCATTTATTCACGTGTTGTGTTATTAAGTTGTTATTATAATTAAGCATCAACTTTTTAAACTTAAAAGTGAATTGACGCCTGTGATTACGGCATTAACCTTCAAACAATTGACAAAGATATGTTGATGGATGAATTATATTGAATTTTGCTTTAATATTTTAGCTTTGTTTAAGAATGTCGGTGCAATTGACCCTTATGGTAGATTTACAAACATTGTACAGTATATAGTTTAAAACTATCGTGGTCACAAACATTACAGTTATTAGCGAATTGCTACCATGTGCCTTGTTTGTTTTGAGTCTCCGATATTTCGGCACCATTGCAAGCGCCATGATCACGGAGTAACTACTCCGTGATAGTAACTTTGCGGAGTAACTACTCCGTGATCCATGGCACTTGCAACAGTTCCGAAATATCGGAGACTCACAAAAAACAAGGTAAATGGTAGCAACTATAATTGGTACAGTAGCTGGCATTCCTGCCGTGTATATACACACAAGAAAAATGTATATTTTTGTTTTCTTACCCCTCGTTTACACCAAGGTAAAAACATGTATTTAACAAATTTTATACAATATTTTAATTTTTTGTTCACACTTATTACATGTAAAAAAAACAGTGTGCTTATGACCACACGTCTGAAGTGAAACTTCTCTAGCTCCATCTGTATGTATATATATATATGTGTGTGTACAATATATACATGTATGTACATATACATATTTCATTTCATAAGAGAAAGAGAGAAATAAAATATGCGCGCACACTGCTTTCTCATGCTTATATCCCCCACTCAACTCCCGTTCGCCTCGCCCGAACACACACTTTTCGTAACGCGTAACGCATTCGCCAGCTTACCCCCAAGTCAGGCGTGCGTAAAGAAGTTTCACTTCAAAAACATTTAGTATACAATAGTTGCAACAAACTTGTGGGATAAACAAAATATTTGTAGAAAATAAGTGATTTATACTTGTCCGATACTAGTTGTCTATGCAGTGTAAACGAAATAATATTTTACACAGTCACAACAAATATTCTACAAGTTTTGTGTATAGCTAGTATATGACTTGTTTCTTGGTGTTAACGAAAGGTAAAAAGTCCAATCTGACAAGTAAATGGCGATGTAGTAAGGATCTTAAAACTTGGTACAGCCACTGAATCAATTTAAATCTGCTACAAGTCTTAAAACATCGACGCATTTACGTAAACGTAACCTTCTTATGGAATTTAAATTGTCTTCGATTATTTCACTGCCGCTAGATGGCGCTTCTTGTGTTTCATAAAATTTTACGTTTACGCAAAACCGCTCAAGTAGAAGTCTCGATATTCCATATTCTGATTTCTTGATTGTTATAACATTATGAGGAACTCTTAAGGTTATTCAAGTAAAAGCTTAAAAACTAATGAGATTAAAATAAAGTAAATATAAGCCTCTATAATAACAAAATAAGTGCTGAGTAGATTATAATTTAAATAAACACAATTTAAAGTTCATTTGTAAACTATTTTTGTATATCCAGCATAACTTTGAACCTTATAAAAATGTAAAATAACATTTGGCAATATTTAGGACTCCCAGTCTTCCAATCATAAGTGTCAAAACTAATTAATATAGTCCAGCGGTATAAGGATATGGAGGCGCTTTGTCTCGCTGTAAAAATATATCTATACAATTTACGTATGTATATAATAAATTAAATAAACGTAATATTATCGCAGAACTGTTTCTATTCCGCTCTTTAAATAAAGCGATCGAATTAGTTATGAGAAGTGCATCAAAATTTCTAACATCTATCACTGTGAAAAGAAATATGATCAGACCAAGGATTTTAAGGTGAAATTGATCATTATTACATTTAAAGAAGAGAGAAGTGAAGTGTTTATAAGGTACACTAGTATTGCATTAGAAACCTTATAAACACTTCACATTCCTTTTTACAATTTTATTGCTCATTTTATGCAGATAAAAAACCAGTGTGCTTATGACCACATGACTGAAGTGAAACTTCTTTAGCGTCATCTGTATGTTCTTATCTGTACAACATATACATGTATGTACATATACATATTTCATTTACGAGCTATAATTGAAAGAGAGAAAGAAAATGTGCACGTGCACTGCTTTCTCGTGCTTATATCCCCCACTCAACTCCCGTTCGCCTCGCCCGAACACACTTTTCGTAACGCATTCGCCATCTTACCCTCCAAGTCAAGCGTGCGTAAAGAAGTTTCACTTCAATAATCAATGCTTCACTACTGGGGCCACACTATCGAGATAACGCGAGCTTTTGCCGCTTTCACAACGTATCTAACACACGTATGACCGTGTTCTAAAATATGACTATTGCTTGGCCCTACTTGTCGTGAAAACGAAAAATATTCGCTATAGCGCCACAGTGTAGTCGTAACATAAGAATAATACTTTTTCCACATTATAAAATTCTTTAACTACACTATAAGTCATCAAATGACTTCAGATAAATATTTCCATGTAATATTGGCATATAATAGTAACTTTGCTAGTACACTTGGTACATAACTTGTGCTTAAAAACTGATAGATATTTCGAGAAAAGCATATTTATTTTATTTTTAGACAAAATACGCAGAAACTTTCATTACATTTCAGTCTAAATACAGTTGAAAAAAAAAGGTTTCTAAATACTAGACGCTTTCATTACATTTCAGTCTAAATACAGTTGAAAAAAAAAGCTTTCTAAATACTTGGATAAAATTTCTCTCTCCAACGCAAGAATGTATTTTTAATAGTAACGTCGATATTTTGTTTTATATTAAAGATATATTTAATAAATTTCTTGCTACAATTTAGTTTTTACTACTTGTCTACATTTTGTATCGCTTCTCGTTGGTCGTATTTAACATAGATCGCTTTGCTCTTGTTAGCTGTCAAAACATTCTTCTTATGTTGTTAAAGAAACTACAAATATTTGTCTACTTTGAATGGAACGTCAAACGTTCTCGTTAGGTATTATATACGGTTAATATAGTTATTACACATTTATAACTTTATATATGATTGTCATTTTGGCTTATAATAGATTGGGTTAGTTATTAATCGTTAGTTTATTCGTATATCAAACTGATGTTAAGAGGAAACATACAGTACGTAACTTATCTAGTCGCTGAAGCTAGCACGAAGTTCTATGGCAGAAACAGAATCGGTCGTGGGACCGGATTTTTTATCAATACAAACTTGTTTCTAGTTCTATAGTATCATTGCTGGAGCTAATAGACAGTAATTTATCTAAGTCGCTGAAATCAGTGCGCAGTTGCATAGAGACGCGGGCCAAAAAATTTACATTTTTTTTTCTCAATACAATCTTCTTACTAGTTCTGTCGTATCATTTGGAAGTAATAAACAATGACTTATCTAAAGTCGCTGAAATCAGTGCGTAGTTGTATGGTGGGCCGAGCAGGCCGAGTCAGGATCGGACGTGGAGCCAAAAATATTTGTCAATACAATCTTCTTGGACTAAACATTTGTATTGTATTTACCATTTTTCTTGTAAATTAATGATTTGATTCCTTCTCTTTCCTTCGATTGTATCATTGGGGGAGATAATAGCCAATAACTTATCTAAAGTCGCTGAAGTCAGAGCGCAGCTGTATGGAAAAGAGGGCCGAAAAAAAAATTTTTTTTATCGTAATATTATCATCTTACTAGTCCTATCTATTGTATCATTCGTAATAACATTCTGTATCTTATCTAAAGTCGCTAAGTCAGTGCGCAGTTGTATGTAAAATTGACATTCCATTTTTTCATTTCAATATAATCATAAAGTTCTATCATATCATAAGGTGGAGGTAATAGACAACAACTTATATAAAGTCGCTGAAGTCAGTGCGCAGTTGTATGGAGAAGTGGGCCGAAAAAAATTACAATACATTTTTTTCTCAACGCGTGTTCTTCTTACTAGTTCTATCGTATCATTGGAAGTAAAATTCAGTAACTTATCTAAAGTCACTGAAGTCCGTGCGCAGTTGAATGGTGGGCCGAGCGGGCCGAGTCAGGATGGGTCTTGGGGCCGCGGTCCTAGCAGCCCGGGCCGCTTGCGAAGCCTTCACGGCGCTCTCGAGACGTAAGCGTAATTCTTGGGATTGCATCATTTGTTTGAACTCCTGTTGAGTAACAAAGTAGCTTTTAATAAAAATCCATAATTAAGAAAAATACATTATATTTTAGGGCCCGTATTACAGAATGACAACTAAGTTAGACAGATAGAAAGGGATGTCGCTATGTGCTTTATATAGCGGCATCCCTTTCTAACTATGCTCAAGACTAGATCAATCACTGAGAATCTTTAAATACATCCCTAAGAGAGGTAAGTAGCTGATTTTTCGCTTAAACTGGAGCTCCGGCAGCGGAAGTAGGTAAAGGTAAGGTATCTTTACCTTATAGAAGACCACAGTAAAATAACACTACCTTTTGGTGGTGTCGTGTTTATGTCGGTAAATAAGGTTCCAGGGCTCCACGGGGTAATGGATGGGGTCAGAGTAGGCAACAGCGCAAGTGATATTTTTTTGTATCGCAAGCGTGTTTAGGCTATAGTGGCCGCTTACCATCATTCGGCCATATGATGGTTTGCCAACTTTTGAACATAAACTATAGTAATCATCACTCAATTGATAATGTTTCTAAGAGAGATGGATATACTTTTCGGTTTATTAATAAGTGATATCAACAAAAAATTGTTGATGTCACTTATTGGACCACCCTGTATACAGTAATGAGGACATAAAAAAGTGGCATATTTTCACAAGAAGCTTTAAATGTAAAGAAAAAATCACTAGAAAATAAATCCGCGCGGTCCAGTAGCAGACGGGACTCGAACCCGAACCCTCCGCTATCCGGGCGGATGCACGGACCGATTATGCTACCACGACCTCAACGTATTTCTTAGGCTGCAAAGACAGCGCCATCTCGTCGCATTTTAGGTAAACCAAAAACAACTACATCTAGCAGATAAATGTTTAAAAATAAAAATATGATTAAAAAGTTCTATGTGTGTGTAATACCTGTGGGTATTTCGGCCCGATGCGGTTGAGCCATTGCAACGCGAAGTCGTGGAGTGAACGCACGTGTGGAGGAGCTCGAGGTAGCTCATTGCCTTCACGAAGGTACGACATCACTATCGGAACCAGGACCCAGAGTAGTTGAATACCTGTAACACATATTAATTCAAAGAAAATATTACTAGAAAAAATTACATGCGGACCAGGGTTTTTCTAGATTTTTTTTCTTTAGATTTAAACATCTAGCATTTACATGCTTAAAAAACAACAATTATACATATTTATTTCTTATTGATAATTTGTTTCAACGTTCCCGATGAATACCATACTGCTCCCTACGTCATACTGCTTTTCACGACAAATAGAGTTGCCATATCCCAAAAGTTCTACCATATTCGCGAAAATTTTGCAACAATGAGCACGTGTGGTGGTTGTAAAAAAATTATCTCTGCTTCGGATGTGATTACATGTTCGAAATGTTCTGGGACGTATCACTACATATGCGTTAATATAAGCAAGGAAAATTTCAAGAAACTGTCCAAAGAATCCAAGAACGCCTGGAAGTGCCCAGTCTGTAAAAATATGCAGCCAAAAGGTGGTGATAACTCTGACACACCAATACGGAGTTCCAAGTTAGACAGCAACGTTCATGATAACTCAAAAGTAGTTTCAACTGCAATCACACCTTCTTCTTCACAATTAGATCCAAACCTGTTAGCTTTTATTAAACAGGAAATTAAATTAACCATCAAAGAAGCAATGAAGTCTTCTATGAAAAACTTTGAGAGCGAACTTCGTGACATCAAAAATGAACTCAATGCATTGAAAGAGTTAAAAAACTCGATTGTCTTCCTGAGTGACGATTATGACGCTGTAAAAGCAGACTTAAAAACCAATACCGATAAGATATCTTCCTTGGAAAAACAGAACTTTGACCAGGCCGATACTATTCGTGATTTATCATCTAGATTGAACCTAATGGAACAGCACTGTCGACAAAATAATATCGAAATCAACGGCGTTCCAGAAAATAAATCTGAAAACATACTTTCATTGGTGAAGCAAATAGGAACAGTAATTTCTTGTCCCATCGAAGAGACTGATATTATTGCATGTACCAGAGTGAGAAAACTTGACAGCACTAGCAAGAGACCTCGATCAATAATCGTGAAACTGCCAAATACTCGCACAAGAGATAATATCATAGCTGCGGTATCAAAGTTTAATAAGGCCAACCCAAAAGATAAGCTTAACACCGTGCAACTGGGCTATGGTTGTGACAAAACAGCTGTCTATGTTTCTGAACATCTCTGCCCGTATTACAAAGAGCTGCACGCGGAAACCAGAAAAATAGCAAGAGAAAAAGGCTATAAATATGTTTGGATACGGAACGGGCGAATCTTTATACGCAAGAATGATGAATCACCGGCTGGGCAGGTTAAGTCGGCGAATGACTTGAAGCAGTTGTAGCCTTTTCGGAACTGTACGATTACATTGCCGTATCAACTGCTGCAAAATTCACCGTCTACTACCAAAACCTCCGTGGCATGCGCACTAAGCTACTTGACATTAGGCTCGCTTCTTTGGCAATATCTTACGACATCATAATCGCAACTGAGACTTGGCTGGATGACACCATCAACGACAACGAACTTCTGAGCGACAAGTATACCATTTACAGAAGAGACCGCCAATCAACATCCTCTTTATCTAAAAGAGGTGGTGGGGTACTAATTGCTGTATCGAAACATATCCAGTCAGCCCGCATTCAGCACTACGAAAGTAGAAACGAAGACTTATGGGTATCTATTAGAGTCAAAATCAATAATACGGTAGAAGACTTTTTAATTTGCGGTGTCTACGTGCCTCCACCTGTATCACTTGGCGTACTCGCTTCAGTACTGGATAACATCAGCTCTGTGGTTAATACAAACACGAGCAGGACTATGATTTTCGGTGATTTTAACCTAGGTTTTATTGATTGGTCTCCAGATGAGACTGCTGGTGGGTTGACTCCGTCAAACTACAATAGTCCGCTTGGTTATGCCCTGGTCGATTTTATGTCTTACAACAGTATAGAACAATTTAACTTTGTAAAAAATGCGAACAACAGAATCCTAGACTTAGTTCTTGCTAACTTCAAAAATATTGTTATTACCGAATCCTCAGACATTTTAAGCAAAATTGATGCTCATCACCCTGCTCTCTTAGCGGATATTGATGTAAAGGTTGTGACGAGTCTTGTAAGTAAATTAAGTCCTATTCTTAATTTCAAAAGAGCTAATTATCCAGCTATAAATGAAAAATTGTATAATGTGAACTGGGAGTCTGAGCTGGGGGGCGAGGATGTCAATGTCATGATGCGTAAATTTTATTCCATCCTCAATAACATCATTCATTCTAATATCCCCAAACTTATTATCCGCCGTAGAAAATATCCTAAATGGTTCACTCGCGCTTTAACGAACTTAATATCTGAACGTGATAATATTAGGTGCCGTTTCAAAAAATATAACAACCAGCGAGACTCATTTGAACTTAAGCTTGCCAATAAGCGAGTGGACCAAATGATAAAAAAATGTTATGCTGCATATCTAGATGGGGTGGAGGACTCCATTAGGCAAAATCCTAAAAAACTTTGGTCGTACGTCAAGGATCTCCGCGGTGGTAAATCTAACATTCCTGGTGAAATGCATCTCAACACGGCTTCAGCTTCTACCGGTAACGAAATATGTGATCTTTTCGCAACACACTTCTCCTCGGTCTATACCCAGAAACTAGATTCCATACCCAGTGATTTAGTTAATGATGGTGACTATCCCCAGCTATCTCTCGGTAATGTTGCTATATCCGAACGCATGATCACTAAGATCTTATCCAAAATTGACGAGAGTAAAGGAGCAGGTCCTGACGGCATTCCGCCACTATTTCTTAAAAGAACCGCTAAATACATTGCCCTGCCACTTAAAATCATATTAGCTAAATCCATTGCTACGGGTGTTTTTCCGAATTTGCTTAAAGAGGCTAATATCATTCCAGTCTTCAAAAAAGGTGATAATAATAACGTTAAAAACTACCGCCCAATATCTATTCTGAATGCAATATCAAAGTTATTTGAAAAAATTATCTGCCCGTTTTTAACTTCCCATTTTAAAAACATCGTTCATGTAAACCAGCACGGATTCTGTAAAAATAAATCAACAGCAACCAATCTTGTTTCGTATGTCAATGAACTAACGAAATCAATCGACTCTGGCGTAGAAATAGATTCCATTTATACAGATTTTAGCAGTGCGTTTGACAAGGTTGACCACAATATACTGTTTATGAAACTGAAGCGTTACGGAATTCATGGACCCCTACTGCTATGGCTCCGTTCTTACTTAGAGCATCGGTTGTTAAGGGTAGTTGTGAACGGCTACAAATCGAAACCATTCCTCACCTCGTCGGGAGTCCCTCAGGGTTCGATCTTGGGACCAATTCTGTTTCTCGTTTTCATTAACGATATCCCTAATAAAATCCGGTATAGCAGCTGCTCTCTTTTTGCCGACGATTTAAAGTTGTATCGACCGATTAAAAACGAGGAAGATATACTTTTACTCCAAAAAGATCTAGATTCGGTATTGGAATGGTGCGTAGACAACGGTATGACTCTTAACGCAAGTAAATGTCTATTTATAAAATTTACCAGGAAGACAAAAAACATGAACGCTTCTATCTATACTATCAATTCTGCACAGCTAACCGAAGTGGGTTCGACTCGTGATCTGGGCATTGTAATTGATAAAAAGCTCGGATTCATTGAACATATTAACGTTATTGTTGCAAAGGCATTAAAAATGTTGGGTTTCTTGAAACGCCTATCTAAGAATTTCCATAACACCGCAACAATTTTATGCTTGTATAAGGGTTTGGTGCAAAGTATACTAGAATACAGTTCCCAAGTCTGGAATCCGCAATATCGAGTCCACATTGATAGAATCGAGCGAATTCAACGTAATTTTACGAGGTTTCTTGCTTTCAAAGACAGGAAGTGTCCTTACCGTGCGGATTACCACACTCGTCTCAAATACTTTAAACTTCATACCTTAGAAAAGCGTAGAAAAACCGCGGACATTTTATTTCTGCACAAATTACTTCACGGCAATATTGTTGCACACGACCTTCTTGCGGAAATTAAGTTAAAGGTTCCCAGAAAAATCCCCCGCCAACCCATCAAATCATTCGTTAACTGTCCCTTTAAAACAAAATTAGCTTCACCGTTTAACAGAATTAAAGATGCATACAACGAGATATGCCATGATGTTGACATCTTTCATGCTCCACTCAAAGCTCTCAAAAATCATCTGTATGGTAACGTTCAAACCGAACAATAATTTTTTTCTGTTAAAAGTATAAGTACCTACCTACATATAGTCAATGTTGTACATGCCTACAATGGCAATTCACACGGTTGAGTACTACCTACATCTTAAATCTTTATTGAAATTTGTGAAATTGTCGATGGTATGTCAAATAAATAAATAAATAAATAAATACTTTAGGAAGTAAGTGCCTGTCCATCTCATGGTCACGATGTCGTCAATATGGAATGGTGCGGTAACGCATCACGGTGCGTTGACACGACGTACAAATTTACCACCAGATTTGCACGTCAAGTCAACCGCACCTTGCAATGTTACCGCGCCGTTCTAGTTGACGACGACGTCGGCGTGGAGATGTGAGCAGGCACTTACCTACTCAAAAATTTCCCTTTCGGGTATGCTGGGCCAAGTGTCAGAATGTCCTGTGTTTCAAAATGACAAGGAAATAATGGCCAGTTGTTAAAATGCCCAGTTATCAAAACACACAAATAACAAATTGTTAAAAAGGAAAAATTTATAGAGTTTTAGTCTTGTGACCACGGAGCTTGTAAAAGTTGCGGACCCATTACATAAAAATAGGTAATGTAAAATGAGGGTTTTCTGGAATGAAGGGAACCGTATGGCAGCACTGAGCCGAAAGGTCTACTCATCCGTCAGATCGCGTATGTCATCACAGTCTATAGAACAACAAAATTGCTCGGTCGATTCATTCGCGTCAAAAACTTTTTAAATAAAAAAGGGTTCATGCGACAATGGTGCCACCTGGTGATGTAAATTTTCATTAACGCCCTTATTAAATAAATCAAAATAGTGAAAAGATGTTACTTGTCTCTTTCTTACCTCTATGAGTATCCTCTGTAATGTAGCAATAATGAAAAATAATATCAAAAATGAGAAATATTATATTTGTTTCTTAGGTTTTCACGCACATCACTCATTAAATAAAACTAGTTTTTACGGGCTAATGCACGAAACTTTATTTATTTATTGACGTTTCGCAACCTTTTCAGGTCTGCATCGTCAGAATAATGATTTTTTATTTAAAATTGTCGAGCTACCTTCGAAAGACTTATATTGAGCGTTCGGTTATTTCATTGGAAGATTTTTAAAATTTTATTGTCTATGTATGAATTTATTATTTAATTTACTTAATAAAGTATTTTTTTTAAAATTCTTGTTTGTAATTTTGAGTTTATTTATTTGACCCTAACTACCGTAAACTACCACCGGTTCCAAAATTGGGAGACCTTCCTGAGAAGAACCGGCGAAACAAACTCAAGAGAGGCTTTCTTTTCTGGATAGAAAAATTAAATTCATACATAGACAATAAAATTTTAAAAATCTTCCAATGAAATAACCGAACGCTCAATATAAGTCTTTCGAAGGTAGCTCGACAATTTTAAATAAAAAAACATTATTCTGACGATGCACACCTGAAAAGGCTGCGAAACGTCAATAAATAAATAAAGTTTCGTGCATTAACCCGTAAAAACTAGTTTTATTTAATGAGAAATATTAATCGCTTAACAGTAACGAATAACAATTGTATCTCTAAGGTCCATTCGTTCAATGTTAATAATTTATTGCTTAATGAAGGAAAAACGAAAGGTATAAATGGGCACTTTACGGCATTATATCCGCTAAAAAAACCTGTGAATAACCTTTAAGCTGATTAGTGCGAAACCGCGGGATCCCCATTAGGGATTCTTCCGCGTCCCCCCTCGTTTATACCAAGAAACAAGTCATCTACTAGTTTTACAAAAAAAAATATAGAATACTTGTTGTTACATCTTTCGTTTACACTGCATAGGCAACGAGTGTCTTTACAAGTATTAATCACTATTTACTCAACAAGTTTGATGCAAGTTTTGTATAAACCATTTTTTATACATATAAGTGTGAACAAAAAATTAAGACATTGCATAAAATTTGTTATATACATGTACTATACCTTGGTGTAAACGAGGGGTTAGGGATTACTTTGGATTCTAAGCTTCAATGCGGCCCACATATTGATAAATCGTCAAATAGACTTAGCTCTGCAGCATATGCCATAATGAAAATGCGCTAGTTAACGAATGTAGATACCGCCAAAGACATTGGCGTAATAAAGGTCGCATTCGCATCACAATATATATATATGAAAATTTATTATTTGTAAGAGACACTTGAAAACAGTGATGTTCATAGACATAACACAAGAAATAAAAATAAACTAACTTTACCTGCTACTAGGCTTCACCAAATCTGTAATTCATTTAAAGGTCCTTGTGTTCGCTTATACAATAAAGTCCCAAGCAATATCCAAGAGTTGACCATAAATAAATTGAAAGATACTATAAGAAAAGCACTTATTAAAAAACCTAAATACAAAGTGTCTAATTACATTAATGACAAGAATGTTTGGGTATGAACTGTTCCAACCCTTCCAACAGGTTTTCTACATGAAATAAATCATGATTGTATTGACTTTGTAACAACATAATGATTTGTAAATGTTGTTACATTATTCTTTAATGTTGACGAGTTTTTTCTCCGCAGCTAAAAAATATGTCGGTAGCTCGGCGGCCGCTTCACTTCACTTGCCCGGAGGAAGATTTTTGCCTTTGGCCTTCGTAGGATACTCACGCGCGTGTTCAGGCGCGGCGCCCACCAGGTCTGTGAGCGCGGTGAGAGCACACACGGCAGCCTTAGTGTGCGTCATGTCGGCGGGGTGCCTGGCGGAGACGGCGCGCGCCATCACTCTGCTGGCCAGCGCTCGCGCCCACCACCCCGCGCAGGTGCCGCTGCCCCATACGCTGCGTAGCACTGACACGCATGACGCGAACACCTAGCGAGTAACACCACTTTAATCATTATCTCGTTAAAATTAAAAAAAGGCAGACAGTACAGTCACTTGACTGAGAAAAAAACACGAGAAACGCATTCAAAGACAAAAACGACAAGAATGAAACCTTTTTCATTGCTATCGTTTTTGTCTCGTGAATAGGCTATTGGACAGTATGAAAAATAATATAACAATTGTTAGCATCTGTATTAAATATTACTATTAGCAGCGATTTTACTGTTCTTAAACAGCAAGCTTTTTTTGCTACATGATCACGTGACCGAAAACGCCTGGGATTGACCTAGGCTAAAATAACGTCACACGCTGGTAAACTTGCGGTCAAAGTGACATGATATTGTATCATTTGACGTTTTAATGACAGTCTTGTGACATCACACACTAGTGAGACATAATGTCCAGAGAAACGTTTACGCGGCAACTTCAAAATTGTTTTTTTAGTATAGGGCGTTTTGTGGACTCCATTAACATTAAGTACAAGTATAGTAAGTAAGAATTACAGAACTTTCGAATAATCCATTAGGCAGATAATAGCACTTTGAGCAAGACGATTTCTAATAGAGGTCTAGATTTATTTCAAATTGATCAGCATTGGCTGTAAGTAAAGTAAGTAAAGTAAGTATTCAGTAAATAAAGTAAGTATTCAGTAAATACCTCGTTATCAGAGGTTTCCAGACACTGTCTGAAGTGGTTGATGCAGGGGTAGTGTAAGGGCGGCGCGGGATTTGCTTTGTTCAATAATACCGCCATAGCCCGAGCTCCTACCACTGATTCGATGCGTTGGTCGGGCTCATCTGGAATAAAATTACTTTATTAATCAATAATAAAATATTTTATAACGAAAACATATCCACGGAAATAATATATAGCTTCAAATATAAACTAAAATTACATTTTCATACAAATAGTTATTTTCATTTTCAATTTTCGAGAATTTCCTTTAAGTATTAATAATAATAATAAACATTTATTCCAGACTTTAAATCCATCGACAAGTGTTAGTAACAGATACATAGAGAGAGATCTTACAACAAAATAAAACATTACGTGACCAATAAAATATTGATACGACGTATCCGCAATATTTTAATTTTTCAATCTCCAGGGTTTTAACTCGTCTTGTGACTGTAATCAGGGACGTGAAATAAATATGTGGCATTTAAAGTCACGTATTATCTTACGTTATTGTTACAACAAAGAAAATAACAGCAATAAGTTTAATAAAATCCGCCAGTAATCTTTTATTTCATTCTTACACCCACCGGCATTTACAAGTTCTGCTATCATAGCAATATGTTGTTATGTTAACGTAGCGTGTAATAAAGCAGTATGTTGTGTCCTCTAGTATCTTCAGTTAGTCTGGCAGCGCGACATTCGCTAGATAATTGCAATAGTAATATACAATTCGACTAAAATATTTCTTTTATTCACACGCTTACCGCTTTTCACCGCATCGACGAGTTCAGCTAACGTAGCGTGTAATAAAGCCGTATGTTGTGTCCTAGTATCTTCAGAAGCCTGACTGCGCGACACTCGCTAGATGATTGCAATAGTAATATACAATTCGACTTAAATATTTCTTTTATTCACACGCTTACCGCTTTTCACCGCATCAACGAGTTCAGCTAGCGTAGCGTGTAATAAAGCCGTATGTTGTGTCCTAGTATCTTCAGTAAGTCTGGCAGCGCGACATTCACTAGCTTGTTGTAGTAGAAGAACTCCCGCTTCTGAGACTACGCCGTCGCCTTTGCACTCTTTGAGAATCGCTGTGCCTAGATATAGTATTGTTGGTAGCACGGATAATGCACCTAGAGAGGTAAATATAAGTATGTTATTGAGATTAGTGTGCATTTTGAGCGATTTCGTAAAAATAATAGTGAAGCGATTTCACGGTCAATATTAAGTGAAATTGCTAATGTATAAGTAATAAGACTTTTTTCACGGAAGCAACGGAAGTAGTGCAACTATACTTTAACACACAATGGGTTACAAAGGACAAGGATAGAAAACTACGTCACACGAGAAAGCTGCCCCCTTCATAGGCTGGATTACCAATCGCATCCAAGTCGCTACTTCAGCCAATGACAGAAAAGTCGGTACTGAAAGCTAGCTTCCGTGAATAGATTTTAAAGTAAGCATCGTTTTATTGAGGAACTTTTTGATATTTTATGGGGCAAGGTGGAGTTGAATTCTAACTAATATCACCTGATAGTAATCGAACGTTACCTTTTCGATACTAAAGGTATTTGAAAAATTTCCGAGACTAACATACTTCACTAAGTAAGTATTGATTTATTTAGAAACTGTTTGATATTTTATGGAGGTAGGTTGCACTAATGGAGTAAAATCCTAACTAATATCACAGAGGTCGAATTTAAACTTTTAAAGGACATGGCTAAGAAACTGCCCTTAACGTGTGTAAATATTACGCACTAGCCGGTAACTTTACAATATTTTTTTATTAATTATATTACGTGTTTATTATTCTCATACAACTTTCGTGAAATAATCAAAAACTTAAAAGTATAAAAAATTTACTTCATGTCTGTTTAAAAAGCAAAATGTTACGTTTTACAAAATAAATGAACAAAAAATGTACACAAAAAATATTTGTGTAAGTATATCGAAATAAACAATATTATTTCAATATTGGATTTTATTTTTTTGATCATGCTTGAGACAAGGCTGTATGATAATTAATCCTTCATTAATTTAATTAATGGACAAAATAAAACTTCACAGATACCTGTCAGGCTGACGAAAACAAATTATTTGTTTTTATTTTTGCTTTAAAAAAACTTTTTATGAAGAGTTAATCAGAGAAATGGGAAAAATGATTCTAAGAAAATGCGAAATTGATGACTCGGTAGATAACTGGCAACATCTTTTATCAACTGTAGTAAGGTAATTACATAAGGTAGTAGGAGTTCTCATAATTTTTAAGATTATGACTTTATCAAAAGTTCCCGAGCCTTTTTTCATATAAATTATAAATATTCAACCATTTACCATTAAATATTACTAAGTACAGCATTTATACATTGCCAGGGCAGTCGCTCATACAAAACTTTACCATGTCCTTACAAGACCATTTTATTTTGAAAACATTTCTAATAAAAGCATACTTCACTAAAAATTGGTTATTCGACGTTCAACCTTATTATTCATTTTACACATATCGATAAATTTTACATAGCATAATAAATAAAAACATTACATACCCTGTGGACTGCACAACGTGGGCAATTCCGCCATAGCGGCCAAGCTTTTCACCAACAAAGTGTCTCCATGCACCCCCAATCCTCTAGGGACCCCAATCACCCCCACATTACCGCCTTGCTTCATAGGGCTAAGGGATGGTAATCGCCTGACTAATAAACAAACGCATAGTTCTAACGCTGCGAAAACTAGCGATTTTCCAGGGGGTAAGTCGCCAGTGGGGCCCCCTTCACCTAATGTGTGAACCACTTCAAGTACTGATTGGGGTATGGCGCCGTCAGATGCTTCGTTTGGAGCCAATTCTAAAAGAAAGGAATACTAAATCTGTAATTATAAGGTCAAAAATTCATTAAAAATCCTGTAAAGAGTCCAAACCGTCAAGACTAATGTAAAAACTAATAAAACGCTATTTACACCAGTTTTAAAAATTTATCAAATCAGTGGTGTGCGATAAAATAACATAAGAAACGTGTAAATGACTCTGATTTCATAATACACAGGCTGTTTCGTAAACGAACAGGCAAAAAGAATAGAGTTCCGCATGGTACCATCCTTACAGGCATTAATTTATTGCTTCCCATACCCTTTTCGTACGAAATGAAAGTGTTCAAATAAATACGTTAAACACTTACTTCTTTTTATATTGGCATACACCAAAATCAAAACGCTGAACTCAATAATGGGCATAATGATGTTGTACGATTAAGGACATAAAATCAGATTTTGCACAATAGCATTCTTAACGGCATAGTTGTTGCAATCAAAAATATAAATGAGATAATCCTTTACCTTTGATCTTAGACTGCATATTGGCATGAAGTTGCTCCCTAGCACCATCTATAATAAGTTTGAGAACATCGGCGGCAAGTAACAGGGCTTCTATACTTTCTTGAGTGAGACCTGCTCGATGAATAATTTGGCACAATTCAATGGCTAATGCTCTGTAAATATAAATAATACAATATAAACATATAGGTAAACCAATAATGTTAAAGAAATTATAAAAAAAAATCAGGTTACAACAAAGAATGGAAGCAAAGGCAATAAAGAAAATCTTCTTTGTAAATTGTAAAAAAAAAATGTGTTGTTACCTGTCTTTTAGTAGCCGAGCCCTATTTTCGGGGGCATCCAATAATGTAACTAATGATAAGAGTACAGAGATCGTATTTTCAATGCTCATATCCCTTTGTGCGCATAAGGCTTCCATGCATATTCCTACAACAAATAAGGCATTATTTAACTAATTAGCGTCAATTTATACTAGCGCAGAGTCGAAGCGCATCGAAGCGTATATCCAATGATTAACATAACAAATTCAACCTTATCTCCACAGCGAACTGCATACATTACTTCGGAGATATAAAAAGACGCGCGCTCATTCGCCGCAATTCGCGTGTCTGCGCGTAACCAACGCTGATTGGTGCGTGTACCTACGCGTCATCAGTCGAAAACAAGCCTATGATGATAGAACATCCGGCAAGTGATGCAATAGCACTGCTGCTGGTGAAAGCGTATTCGTACAACTTCGCTTTAGTTGTGAAGAATTTTACGCTTCGATGCGCTTCTACTCTGCGCTAGTATAAATTGACCCATATATTCTAAAGACACTTCAAGACGTTCAACGTGAGAGCTCGCACGCTTACAGCCTTGTATCTGCTACGCATGAGATCATTTTACAGCCTTGCATACAACAAACGTGGAATTACCGAGTCTACAAAATAAAAAGTAGAAGTCAAGAATAAATGTGGCGAATAAAATAAATTTATCAATAATATATATTGGGTTACCGACAATGCGAAGAGATGGCGCTGCCTTACAGCCCAATAAAAACTAGAAAGAATTCGACACGGCCACTAGGGAGCGGTAGCATAATAGAAAATGCATCCGCCCGGATAGCGGAAGGTGCTGGTTTGAGTTCCGTCTGCTGCTTGGTCCGCGTGGTATTATTTTCTAGTAAAATATTCTTCAGATTAAAACATCTTTTTTCTCCTTTTTCATCTTCAATAAATATATTATTTTAATTTTCAATATACTTTTTCGTTGTGACAATATTTATGGCAAGACTAGGTACATATTCCGAAGTCAATGTCTTTTTTTATGAGTTATAAATTTTTACAGTTATTCATTCTTAACACTAATACAAACACTTCTGAAATAACAACATGAAGATTAAAAATATCATGAGATATCTCGCCCCGTCGGCAATACCATGTGTACCGTGTACACACCCACCGCCCCATGTCCCGCGGACCATTAAGAAGGTCGACTTAACAGCAGTCAAGCTATATTTGCGACAATGTATAAGCATTATAAGAAATAGTAAAAAAAAAACACTAATAATATCCAGCTCGACGGACCATTTACATCATTATTTTCCTGTATTATTTCAACAATATTGTGTATGTCAATGTCAATAATAATAAACACTCTATTGCCCACATACAAAAGGACATAGGTACAGAGAATACATTTAACAATAATATGGGCAAAGGCGGTCTTATCGCTAAAAGCGATATCTTCCAGACTACCTTGGCGGTATAGGTAAGCTAAACGGCAAAGAAGATTTAGTATGCCAGCAGAGTCGATGAGAAATGTAAATATGTAATTAACCTACATATAAGTAATTGTCTATCATACACTTACATATACATATGTCAATCTTATATTACAAAACACTATATTGTAATTGAATGTGTAAAAATGTAAATTTTACTTACCAAACAATAAATGGAATCTCTCGTCAACAGGTTCGAAGAATTCAAAATTCCCATTCTCAGTTTTTGCAGGTTTGTTGTCTACATTGTCGGTTTTGTCTGCAAAATTAGATGAGTCAATTTAAATATTTTACGATAATTAAAAATACATTTACATAATGGCAATAACTGAAGAAAACTATTAAAATTTAAACGTAGATTGTGACAATCTGGTGCAAAAAAAGAACCTCAAGACTGATTATAAATAGTGCATCTTTGATTGAAGTTTCCAACTTTCGCAAAGGCTGGTCATGTGATCAATAACTAAAAAAATAATAATTTCGATCTCCTCTGCTCTGCTCTCTGGTAAGTAATAATAACATAGTATATTTACCGTCTGGTTGTGGGCAGTGTGGGCATTATATCTTAATGCAGCAGGCAGTAATAATGCAGGCCACGCGTGGGCATAATAGGCTCGGGAAGTGTCCACTGTTTCAATGATAATAATGCAATAATATGGTATATTTACCGTCTGGTTGGGTGTCAGAGTTGTGGGCAGTGTGGGCGTTATATCTTAATACAGCAGCCAGTAGTAATACAGGCCACGCGTGGGCATAGTGGGCTCGGAAAGTTTCCACTGTTTCAATGATAATGATGCAATTATATGGTATATTTACCGTCTGGTTGGGTATCAGAGTTGTGGGCAGTGTGGGCATTATATCTTAATGCAGCAGCCAGTAGTAATGCAGGCCACGCGTGGGCATAGTGGGCTCGAGAAGCTTCGGCCGTTTCAGCGCTGTAGAAAGCGCCGCCTCCGTGAGGCAATTGGGAGGCGAATTCTATAAAATACAACAAATCAAAATGGGTTTATTCAAGCCTTGACAGACAACAGTTAACGTTATTTGTACATACATAAGGATTGAATAAATAAGACAATAAGAGCGAACAAAATCGAGAAGTCTCAATATTGAATCTTGGGCAGAAATACTTAAGTATAACTATTAACAAACCAATCGATAAATATCTATTTTGGATAAATTTATATTAAGAATGGTGAAAATTTTTAAATATCTTGGAATTATGATTCCTTCCTTGAGAGGAATAATACCGAGTAATTTTTATAGAACAGTACCCTTAGCACGAACCAATATTGAATTCGAATAGTTGAATTCGGTCGCGATACACGTCAAATGTGAAGAAATTTTGTATAGAAATTTAAACAGCACGGCAACGGACGTAACGAGAATTAAAAATCTGCTTATTAATAAACGAAGAATAAGCTAAGACCATTTACGCCATTTTTTTTGAATCCACTCAAATGCCATTTGCACTGCCGGATTTAGGGGAGGGCAACCGGGGCGAAAGCCCCGGGGCCTCCACAAACGGGGGGCCCCCACAATAGTGACTTCGGAAAAAAAAACTTTCAAATTCCAACTAGGAAACACTAGTAAACATCTTTTCCTTTGATATTTTTTTTTTGCTCTTTTACCTTTACCTACAGCCTACAGTACTTTGTACATCTAACATACATGATTATTTGATTATATTAATCTTAAATAACAGAAATCATTGATCTATATTTGTTCACTCCAATCAGGCAATCAGTGAAATATCAAATTCTCAAATGGCACTGATAAGCACTTCCAATTCACTACCTATCTTGAGGGAGTACCATCCCAATCGCTTAATGGCTGAGTGGGGTGGTACTTGCCCGCAACCTCGGAGGTCAGGGCCGAATTTAAGGCAGGGCAGGTGGGGCTGTGGCCCAGGGGCCTCCACAACAGCTTAAGAAATAACAACATTTCGATGGGTCAACAAGCATGCAAATCCTAAGTGGCCCGGGGCCTCCACAACAGGATAAAAGATAACAAAATTTCGATGGGTTAACAAGCATACAAATCCTAAGTGGCCGGGGCCTCCACAACAGGATAAAAGATAACAAAAATATCGATGGGTTAACAAGCATACAAATCCTAAGTGGCCCGGGGCCTCCACAATCCTAAATCCGGCCCTGGCCATTTGTCAGTCAATGAATAGAGGCAAAACATGGAGCATCTTATCCAAGCTTATATTTCGTTTATTAAAAAAGGTGGTACAAGTTAAAATAACTACTTAAAACAAGAAATAAAAACACAAACCTGGAGGTAAGCTCAGCAACGCATGATCCTTCAAGGCAGCCAACCAATTCTCGCCCAAACTCTCCAATTCCGGTTCAACCAATTTAAGCAAACATTCCCCTTTCGACTCAAACTCGCCGTACTCATCGTCTCCGGCTTCATGCTCAGAGTTATCGATCTGGTTGTTGTTTTGCAGTAAAGTGTTCCGCCATTTGGCTAGTTCAGCTTTGACATTGAATGGTTTAGTGTCCAGTTGTTTTACGTAGCTGCCGGGCGCGCTGCCGTTGCTTACCATAGCTACTATGTATACCTGTTATGGAATATAAAGAGAATGCTATTAGCATTAAGTCCGCCTTTATTATCATTCTCTTGTATTTTGGTCAATAAAGTTTAAAATAAATAAATAAAATATATATTACTAGCTGTCCCAGCGAACTTCGTACTGCCATAAAAAAATAGGGGTTGGTGGTAGAAGGATGAACATTTAGGGTTGTATGTATTTTTGTATGATGTATCATAAAAAATTAAAGACAAAAAAAAATATCCAAAAGAAATGTTTAAAGGTTGGACCACCCGTAACATTTAGGGGGCTGAAAAATAGATGTTGTGTGATTCTTAGACCTACTGAATTTGCATATAAAATTTCACGTAAATCGGTCGAGTCGTTTCGGTGTAGTTCAATTACGCACACCGTGACACGACAATTTTATATATTAGATACTGTTATAGCTTTAAGCCATATACGCCATATTATATCAAGTGGGATAAAAGAGCTTAATGTTTAATTATAATTTAAAAATATAGCATCTTATAGATGCCACATTCACAGTTTGTGTTACGTAACTGTAATAAAAGTTTGTATAATCTTACAACTTAAAGAGATTTTTACAAGAAACTACTCCACACGGTCTAGGTAAAAGACAAGATTTGGACAGCGTGGATTTTTTTATATATTGACTAGCTGACCGAGTGAACTTCATACCGCCATAAAAATAGAGGCAGGTGGTAGAAGAGAAAATTTAGGGTTGTATGTATTTTTAGTACCACATTATAATCCTAGTATCCCACAACACAAGCGTATAGTGCTTACTTTGGGGCAAGGCTAATTCTTCTGAGTGTTGGAAATATTTATTTTTATTTTTATTAACGCGTTATTTATATTAACATACTAACTAACCCAGCGAACTTCGTACCGCCATAAGAATAGGGGCAGGTAGCAGTAGAGATAATTTAGGGATGTCTGTATTTTTAATAGCATATTATAAAAAAAAAATGTCCAAAACAAATTTTAGGGGTGTGTAAGTAGTGTTCTATCAATTTCCTGGGATAACATTCCTCCTAACCCATATGAGAACACTACGTTACAATACCCAATAGTTTGAATTTTGGCGCGAAGGCGCATTGTAGGTTTCAGAACACTACGTTACAGGTGGACAACCATTATCACTTAAGGATATGAAAAATAGATATTAGCCGATTCTTAGACCCACGGAATATGCATGTAAAATTTCATAAAAATCGGTCAGGCCGTTTCGGAGAAGTATAGTAACTAACATTGTGACACGAAAATTTTATATATAAGATGAATCTAGCAGTTACATGTTTGAAATAAAAATATAATAAATCTTTCAATTTGATTTAAAATAATAAATCAATTTGATCAAATATAATAAAATATATATTATATTTGACAGCTTCTACGTCAAATATGATGTATCGTAAATGATTGTTCGTAACGATTTGAATTGTAATGAAAATAATATAAACTCATCAATACATAAATCTGAACTTTATCATTACTTAACATCAGCCCCCTAGTATGAGCATTGCGATATGATATAAAACGCGTTTTTATCACGCTCAATTGTCAAATTACTATGGAGTTTGACAGTTAGATGCGAAAAAAACGTGACATAATGTAAATTGTAGTGCTCAGGCTACGGGGATAGGTGGGGTAGTCATTTCATAGCTATAAAATACATAATATTTAGTAAATATATATAGAGGTTTATTAGTGAAGATTAAATAATCGCTGACACTGACCTCTGCCCAAGCTTTTAAGATAGACAACTTCTCGAGCGTGGCCATACTCTCGTTGTACACTAAAGTTGTGTTCCCTTTCGTGTTCAACTTATCCAAACTTGACACGAGTAGTTGATGCACTCTGTTAAAAAATTGAAAAAAAAATGTAAATGCAGTTACTTCAGCAACTTATTTCTTTTATACTACCGAAAAGTAAAATATGTCTACTTTCAGTGCATTCGCCCGGATTGCGAAGGGTGCGGGTTCGAGTCCCGTCTGCTGCCTGGTCCGCGTGGAATTTTTTCTAGTTATATTTTCTTTAGATTTAAACATCAAGCAGTTACATGCTTTAAAAATAATAAAAATTATAACTATAATTGCTATTTCTTCTTTCAAATGTTTAATACTTGTAAAAGTATTCATTTGACATTGTGGGTTGCCTATAATGCGAAGAGGTGGCGCTGCCTTGCAGCTTAAGAGTGGCTAGAAGAATTTCGACGCGGTCCGTGAGGGCCGCGGTAGCATAATTGGTCAGTGCATTCGCCCGGATTGCGAAGGGTGCGGGTTCGAGTCCCGTCTGCTGCCTGGTCCGCGTGGAATTTTTTCTAGTTATATTTTCTTCAAATTATTATTACTAATTCGTTAAAAGCTGATAAATTTGTTTCACCGTTTGTTCCTTTTGTCAGCTAATAAATGTCCTGAAAACCACCGTAGGAAAACATTAAAGACGACAAAAGAGATTTTAATAAGTCAACTTGAATAAAGTTTATTTTTAAATTCATTCAGTCGTTAGTCACACAAATTGCCTGCAACATTGACATGGTAAAAAAATATTATTTGTGTTCATTATCTTGTTGTTGTTATATTGAGACTTAAATATTGTAGCAAGTATTATTATTTTATGGAAATTGTTTTAATCCATGGAGAAAAGTTATTACATTTAATTTTGGACATGACGAGATTGAAAGTTTGCTTATCGCTATGTCGGTAAAACACGCATGTACGAATTACGCATAAAACACGGTAAATATAAACTTAAATGTACCGTGTTTTATGCAAATTAATATTACTACAACTTTTATTAAGTTTTCCATACAAAACTAAAAATCTGTGACAAGTCCTCGGCGGACATTTTCTTCGCGATTCAAGGACTTTTCTCCGCGGTAGAAAAAAGTCCTTCGTCTGCGCAGGCCATTAGTTTTCGTTCCCTATAACAATAAGTTTAATCTCTAGGCTGTGTAGCCATCTACTTTGTTTTTCACGGCCGGAAAATCAAAGAGTTTTCCTGTTATTATTCGAGTTCTACTGTACACCCAGGCTTCATGTATGTTAAGACAATCAATTATGAATAGTTTCTCTAAAAAACTTATATATATACTAGATGTGTGAATTAAAAAACGAGCGAGCCTTCTTAGCCTATTAGTAAAACAATAAAATAAAATCTACTACAAAAGGAATAAGCCATTTGGACATTATGTTCTAAAATCAAATCAAATAGCGCGCGCTTCCCAAACAGCCTGTTACACACTTGCGTCCCACTTCACGTAATCATTCCCACAAATTGCACGAAAGCGAGAGGAAAGATGTTACACATCAAAAACCATTACTAAATTTAATTAAATGAAAATAATTTTCTCAACTCGTGGTAGAAATCATCCACTTACACAAACGAGGGGTTATTAATTATACCTTCGTAGATCGTTGATGTCTCGAGCTACTCCGCATCCGATCCAGGCGGAGCACACGTCGCAAGCGGCCGCCGTCACGTGCGAAGCCGTTTCACCGGCAAACGCCGCTCGCACTGCTGCACCCACCTAATATAGACAAACCCCTTAGAAACAGTCTACACTTAACCTAACACACTACAGACCTTAGAACAACAACTGAAGCATAGAGGTAATGCTAAAAGATTTCGAAAATAAAGTATTACCAGCGTTGCCAGTTTTTGTTACCAAGTCGGGATTTAGGAACTTTTTGAGTGAAAAAAGCAGGATTCTTTCGTCGCAAGCGGTACATAGTAAAAAAACGTATATAATCAAAAGTTTCTGAATATTTATCTTTTTAATTGAGTTCAAATCACGTTTACGTCACAATAGATAGGTACCTATTAAAATATCCATAGAAAATCTATTTTAATAAAAATGTGATATTTTAAATCAGATTTTATCGATAGGGTTATCGATAAATAGTTGTCTTTGTTTGAGAGTTCTTCATTACGCGCCAGGCATGCGGCCAGACCTCACTTGTCTGTACCACCCGCCCGCGCTTTCTCAGTACACTGCTCGCACGGTGGACTTATTCCCGACCAGAGTCTGTCCCGCGCGGGACATTTAATTTTATTTTAAAAATCAGGACGTCCCGCGAAAATCGGGACGTCTGGCAACGCTGAGTATTCGCTACCTATAACGCTGTTCATAGTATGGGTTCGTAGCAACATAATATATTGTCCCTTTTTGGTCTAGATGTAAAAATAAGATAACTTTATGAACTGGACCTAAACTCTTTCTATGCTATGCTTATGCTTTTAGTTCTTGTCGTGAACTACAGACCTTACTCCAGATACAGTATAGCATGGAAAGCTTTAAATCATATACGTTACAGTGTATTTTTTACATCTAAAGTTTAAATGAAACACGCTGAAACGGTTTTAAAATAAAAATATTCATCAGTATTAAGAATCAGAAATAATTAAGAGTTATCTTCCTTTTGATGAGGGTTTAACACTGTTCCGATTTGATTTGCTCTCAAATTTGTTACTGACAGTTTAATTCAATGATGTTAGGTTGCGTAAGCTCTCTTCTGTAGGTACCGACTTGTAATCTAATTAGTTACATCTTTAAGTGAATAAAAGGGTAGGACAGGACAGGCTCAGAACTCTAAACCAGGCCCTGAATATACCTATAATTTTATGAAACATACAAACCTGCGCTTGATACTGTTCAAGCAGTAAATGTCCCGGGAAGTCAGGCTCTGGCGCACGCGCATACGCCCTTATGATATGTTGCAATGTACGCAATCCCGTCAGTCGCAACGCGTCCGATTCACCGGTCGCGCCAACAAACGACATGCGTATGAGTTCCGATAGGTGCAACGACAGATACTCGCCTGAAATTAGGTACGAGTCAAGGTTATTAGTCATCTAAACGCCTCGGGGTCTACCAACTAAATTGATATTTTATATAGTTTTATAACAGCTAGGACTCATAATATTTGTAATTAAGTGGTGCAACGACAGATACTCGCCTGAAATTAGGAACGAGTCAATGTTATTAGTCGTTTAAACGCCTCGGGGTCTAACAACTAAATTGATATTTTATATATGTAGTTTTATAACAGCCAGGGCTCATAATATTTGTAATTAAGTTTTAATTTATGTTGCAGAATGAGCAATCCCGTCAGTCGCAACGGTTGCGATGCACCGGTCGCGTTAAAAAAATGACATGCGTATGAGTTCCGACAAATACTCGTCTGAAAGTTTGTGCGAGTCAATACTCCAAACCGAGCAATTTTAAATCGTAGAAAACCGCATATATACCTACATACTTAATATTATAGATTTCTTAAGCTAGGGCTAATAAGAAATCAATAAAAACTTAAGGTTTAAAATGCCCAAAATAACTATTACTTGTTTTGTAGTATATTATTAAGATGCATAAATGACGAAATTAAAATAACCACTTACCATTTGTGTCAGTTTGCAATTTCTCCTTAGCTTTGATGAGATCGAAGTGGGCGATGTCGCCAGTCGCTTCGCAAGCGCTCATCAACTTCTGAATGCATTCCATAGCAAACACCTACGAAGGAATATTAGTTTATTATATTTATTTTAAGCATTTAACTTATGCTACCGCGGCCTTAACGACCATGTCGAATTTCTTGCTGCAAGGCAGCGCCATCTCGTCGCATTGTAGGTAACTTCCACTTTAACAAGTTTTAAACATTTTACGACCACTTTAAGCGCTGTGCCCTCCGAGTGTCACTGGAAGAACCTGTGTATCTTATCAAAACTAAGCAGTTTACTCTTAGAGGCGTTATATCTTAAGGATCGGACACCGCGTGAAACTCCACCTGTGTCTATATTATTATTGTAAGTAAGACTGATTGTAATCACCCTAGTCGGCCACCTGGACTGCACTGCGGGGTGAGTGGATTGCTCGGACTCCGCGTGGAACTCCGCCTGGTCGTCGTCGCCTTCTGCGTCCAAATCTGTATCTGGATTGTTGTTGTCTTCTGCACAGAGAATGTTGTTTCAGTTGGTTGTGAAGTTGAAACTCAAACTACCTATAAAGTAATACTAAACCTTAGAGTAAATAATACCATATTTTCACCGTTTTTGTTTTATTATTTTTTATCTAGTTTAAGGTAAAAAGATATGAGCAAAGCTAAACGACAAAGCACCCATGAAAAATGTTTCTAACTCGATAGGTAATAAAATTAATACAATATGTCTGTACTAGTCATACATTGTTACAAGCTTGGGACGGCACTCATAGTAAAATGGCCATTCTCTTTTGATTAAATTAAGTGAAAAAAAAACAGGCCAAGTGCGAGATGGACTCGCGCACCAAGGGTTCCGTACAAACTCAATTTAATACCTTTACACGTTCATGAGAAAAGAGGTAGTAACTTTAAAATTTTCAATAATATTTTTTATTATATGATGTAACTTAAAAATTTACGGTTTTCGCAATTTTTCCTTTATCTGTACCCCTAGCATGAACCATTATCGAATTCGAATAGTTTGCGAGTGCGAAATGTCAATGTCAAATTTTGTATGGAAACTTGAACAGCAGCGCCACAAAGTACGTAACGAGAACTAAAAATCAGTTCACATTAGACAGTGACATTTCGGACTCGCAAACGTTACGAATTCTTTATTGGTTCCTGCTAAGGATACTGTACTATAAGACGTTACTTCGTACCAAATTTCAAGATTCATAGTTCACGGGAAGTACCCTGTAGGTTTTAATTCCCGAGTTTCAAAAATTTGCGGAAATTTGCGGCATAAACGGCTGTATCTTTTGATAGCTTTGGCTTAGAAGTTTGATTTTTTTACAGCTCCTAGGGACAGTAGACATGAGTATTAGATATGAATTTCAGATTGATACCTCCACGGGTTCCTGAGAAAAACGGTCTTGACAGACGGACGGATGGACAACAAAGTGATCCTATAAGGGTTCCTCCCTAAAAATTATATCTCTGCATACACACACAAACACTTACCTAGTCGCACGCACAGCACACGTCGGCACAGCAGCAGCCAGTCTCGAACCGCAGGCGAGGCGGCGGCGGCGGCGGCTAAAAGGCAGCACGTCAAAGTGTCCCGCGCGTACGATATCGCGGTCATATCCCGCTCAATGTCCAAGTACGCGAATAAGGCGCCCGGGAGACCGGTGTCGGTTATCACTACGCCTGCGATGGAAAGTAAAACGCGTTAAAATGCGAAAACACACAGAAAGAATATCGCGTTTAAATCCTAAAGTATTTTTGACGACCTCCGTGGTCGAGTGGTTTGTACGCCGGGTTTCATGATGTCGCAGACTCGAGGTCCCGGGTTCGAATCCCGGTGGGGGCAGATGTTTTTGTGATGAATACGAGCATTTGCACTCCAGTCATGGATGTTTAATATGTATTACTATGTAAATATACTTATATAAGTACAATATGTGTATTCTATCCGTTACCCTAGTATCCCATAACACAAGCCTACAGTGCTTACTTTGGGGCTAGGCTAATTGGTGTGAGTGTTGGAAATATTTATTTATTAATTCATACCGCTGTAAGGCCTGGTGGGTACATGGTCCTTCGCCAGCATGGCGTATTTGCACACCTCCGCCGCTTCCTTCTGCGACAGCTGGCGGAGACAGCACAAAGCCGCGCGACGCACCGCCAACTCTGAGCTTGAGAGATCCCGCTGATAAGATAAAATACGAAATCATCATCAGCCTATTAATGTCCCCACTGCTGGGGGCACAGGCGTTCCCTATGGATGGAAATAGGGAGATTAGGCCATGACCCAACACGCGAGCCCAGTGCGGATTGGCGGGTGCTAACTAATGCCTTCCGAAGCACGGAGGAGCTCGAGATGGTAAATTTTTGGTCACCCATCCAATGACCGACCACTGTGAAAGTTGCTTAACTTCAAGGATCGCAGCCGAACGCGCTAACCACTTGCGCCATCGAGCTCCTCAAATACGAAATATAAGAACAGAAAACCCTTAGCACGAACCAATATCGAATTCGAATATTTGAATTCGATCTATTTTATACGTCATATGTGTACTGATGTTTAGTTCTCGTTACGTCCGTTGTGGCGCTGCTGTTCAAGTTTTCATACAAATATTAACAATGACATTTCGTACTCGCAAACTATTCGAATTCGGTATTGGTTTGTGCTACGGGGACCAAAACACTTCAACAATAGCTGAATTCTATCTAGATACGCGTCAAATATCAAGTAGTTTTATATGTACATTTGAACAGCGACACAACGGACGGAACGAGAATTATAAATCTGCCATAAAAAAAATATTGATATTTGACGCGTATCGAGATCGAATTTAACTTCTACGAATTCGATATTGGTTCGTGCTAAGAGTACATTACCCCAAGCACGACAACAACTATAGTCTGTCCATTCATTTATTTATCTTTTTGACAAATCGATCAAAGTAAAACTAGTGACAACCTATCACATAACTCGTTCGATTCAAAGCTATAATCGATTTTATGCTAGAACATTGATTAATCGATTATAAGTATTAAAATTATTATAGTTAACAAAATTACTGGTTATATAAATTATTACAAAATCTCATTAGATATATTATTTTACCTAGTACAAATATTTGAGTATTTGTTCTGTATTTGTCTGTTCCTGTCCATGAAGTACAATATTATTTGTATGACATTTTAACGTAAACTATACAAAATTACATGGGCGTCGTCAAAAATATAATATATGAATGGACCGACTATAGCGAGAAATTATACTTAAAGCCATGTTAAATTCTTTACGGAAACTAAGCAGCATTCCTATACCGGACGTAAGAACAATAACTGGCTCCGTCCATAGAAACTTTGACGATAATGGCGCGATTACACTTGGTGGTGAGCCTGAATACGAGTGGCAATGGAATTCGGGTAAACGACTAAGTGTGATTTCTTTTTGTTTACCAGTCATAGGGCGTAACAACCGGTCCGTCCTGCTGCAGCCCGCCCGCAGCTGCAGCCCGCGTATCCACTGGCCCGTATTATACAGTTTACGGGAGCACCGTCACTCGCTATGTGTACGGGCGGTACTCACGCACAGCTGCGGCACGATAGTATGTAGACTGATGTGGTCGGGCGAGAACAACTGCAGCTGCTGCAGCCCGCCCGCAGCTGCGGCCCGCGTATCAACCCGCCCGTATTATACAGTTGATGGGAGCGCCGTAACTCGCTATGTGTATGGACGATACTAACGCACAGCTGCGGCACGATAGTATGTAGACTGATGTGGTCAGGCGCGAACAACTGCAGCTGCTGCAGCCTGCCCGCTGCTTCGTCCCGCATATCAACCGCGCCCCTATTATACAGTTGACGGGAGCACCGTCACTCGCTATGTGTAGGGGCGGTACTCACGCACAGCTGCGGCACGATAGTATGTAGACTGATGTGGTCAGGCGCGAACAACTGCAGCTGCTGCAGCCTGCCCGCTGCTTCGTCCCGCATATCAACCGCGCCCCTATTATACAGTTGACGGGAGCACCGTCACTCGCTATGTGTAGGGGCGGTACTCACGCACAGCTGCGGCACGATAGTATGTAGACTGATGTGGTCGGGTGCGAACATCTGCAGCTGCTGCAGCCCGCCCGCAGCTGCGGCCCGCGTATCAACCGGCCCGTATTATACAGTTGATAGGAGCGCCGTCACTCGCTATGTGTACGGGCGGTACTCACGCACAGCTGCGGCACGATAGTATGTAGACTGATGTGGTCGGGCGAGAACAACTGCAGCTGCTGCAGCCCGCCCGCAGCTGCGGCCCGCGTATCAACCCGCCCGTATTATACAGTTGATGGGAGCGCCGTAACTCGCTATGTGTAGGGGCGGTACTCACGCACAGCTGCGGCACGATAGTATGTAGACTGATGTGGTCGGGCGCGAACATTTGCAGCTGCTGCAGCCCTCCCGCAGCTTCGGCCCGAGCTGTCCCACCTCCACCGGTGCTGCCTTCGCTTAGGGCCGCGCAAGCGCATACGAATCGGCTCACTGCGCACACTGCGAGAACGGGACAATTTTAAATTAAAAAGCGCGATAATATTGCCAAATATACGTAAAAAAGTCGAAAAAGAATAATACAAGCAAGTATAATATTAACATATATATATTTCGAAGGAAAAATTAGTATTTTTTCGAAGAACGCGGATCAATTATAAAACACCGATTTCTATAATAAACTTAGCTGCTGTAGCTTAAATATCTTAACGTCGCGTTACGTTAACAATAGTTACTGAATACAAACCGAAAACCATATCACATTCATTATTATTTCTGATAGGCAAGGAGCTAAAACACGTGGGTTACGATAAAATTAAAACATATGAAAAGAATACAATATGACATTTAATAGAAGTTTTACATATCCTCTCAAATAAAGCATTTACCTTGCAACTCCGGTCCCACGACGGTGATCAAAGCTGACAACAATCTTCCAATGCTTCTATGTAAGTCCTCCAAGTAAGGTGGGGTCGTGAATAGCAACTTCAGAGCGAGATTCAACGTGGACTCCACGTGGGAGCGGAACATAGGGCCCGATGCGTCGGCTAGCACTGATAGCGCGTGTACGGACCAAACCTTGAAAAAAAAATTAGCAATATTTCATTAAAATCATAATAATAATCTTCATGTCGAACGGAAATCTTGATCTTCTTGACAATGTATTTGCAATTTGATGATGATGAATTAAGTTGATAAAATTTGTCGTTTGCATTTTAGATGCAAAAGTCATTTAATGTTCCCACTCCTCTGGACTGCATTTATAAGAGATTCAAAGTGGACTGCACAGGGGAGTAATCTCTATGCTCCCTCTAATATTCTTTTGGTATTAGTGGTGGTGGCAGTCAAGTTACACTCAAAAAATAAAGTGATAGTTTATTATATAGATAGTGATTTATTTTATTATGAAGATCGAGCTCAGTGAGTGCGTGAAAATATTAAAAACCGTATCTAATGTGTAAAGCACATTTGAACGCACATTCTTAAAGCCATTATTCAAAAATACCCAATATGATGATGCATACATGAGAAATATAAAAAATGTTACGTATTAAATTTTAAGTAAGTTTGGAAAAGAAAGATTAAAAAGATACAAAAACATAAGGACCATGAGCAGATATAAATTTCAGTTAAGAAATACAATAAGGTCAATAATTAAACGCAGTTAATGAAAATATTAAAAATATCAATTTTCTTACCTGTCGTTCCTGTAATGGAAGCAGATTCATGGTTCATCATCATCATCAGCGTATTAATAGTCCCACTGCTGGGGCACAGGCCTTCCCTATGGATGGAATAGGGAGATTGGGCCATGACCCACCACGCAGGCCCAGTGCGGATTGGCGGGTGCTAACGACTGCAGATGCAGACGGGAGCAACGGTTTAACGTGCCTTCCGAAGCACGGAGGAACTCGAGATAGAAGATTTTTGGTCACCCATCCACTGACCGACCATTGCGAAAGTTGCTTAACTTCAACGATCGCAGCCAAACGCGCTAGCCACCTGCGCCATCGAGCTCCTCATTCATGGTTACGGGATACTACTACGTATCAAGCTTTATATTTACCTGTACTTCAACGCTGGCGCTGTCTTGAGCCAGCGCTCGCAGCACGGGCAGCGCTGCAGCGCTAGACGCGGTGCCCCTAGCCCGCTGCACGGCCCCCACAGCGGCTGCAGCGGCCGCCCGCGTGGGTCTAGCGGCCGCTGTTCTCGCTAGAACGAGCACGCGTTCGCTTAGCGATTGGCTTTCAGCTTCAGTGATGCAACCGCAAAGGCGGCCGGCGCAGGAAGCAGCTGCAGCGCGAACTGTTGCGCTTGATGCCGATAAGCCATTCTAAAAATAAAAAAAATGTGATTACTATCGTACCAACTACGTTATACGTATATGCATCAAAGCTGACTTTAAACTAAAAAGTGTAAAAATATCACTCATATAGCTAACCCATACATCTTGATGCTTATATGTTCATTGATAGCCTTTTCATGGCTCATTCCATATTTTTCTTTGGTTCTCAGGATTCTTATCTATAGTTATCATTTTGTAACAGCTGCAATCCTCTGACATCCCTCAAAGGACGAAAATGAAGTATTCTATTAAGTGAGCAAAATCATTCAAAAATCTGTAATTAAAAATCCGGGAAACCTCCAACGTGAAGGCCTTGGAGGCGTTCCAGACTAGGGTTACCATTTAGGAATTTCATAATTCCTGACAAAAATACTGACATTACAAAAAAAGTCCTGACTTTTAAGGCTCAAAATGGTTACATTACTCACTTAGTTACAATGGTATTGTATTTAAATCTATATGTACTTTTATTATTCATATTCAATGTAATTAAAAAAAAACCGGACAAAGTCCGGACTATAGTCTAAAAGTTCGGACATGTCTGGACTAATCCGGACGGATGGTAACCCTATTCTTGACGGAGCTGGGCTGGATGGAATGATTTCGGCTACACACCCTCCTCACGCAAAGCAGGCGCCATAAAGACGTCGAATTAAGAAAACGCCTGTTGCAAGAAGAAGAAGAGAAGCTTCGCAAGAGAAAGACCTTTATCTAATAGTAATTACCACAATGAGTTCCGTAGCAACTGCCTTCACCGGGTCCTGGCCGAGCGAGCACTTCTGCTCGGCCAACGTTCGCAGCGCCAGCAGTAGGGCGGTGTACACGTTGATCTGTATCGCCTCTTGTCTAGGGCCTTTGGACATCTTGATGCATTCCGCGAAATGCTCTAGCATTTGCTGTCTAGAAGACAATAATTACAATCTAAATTAATATCGTAAATACAATATCATATATGTACCTACTTCTGTTAGCGATTGAAAACACTCTTTTATTTCGATTCAGAAGCCCAAGCACGATCTTTGACAGCTCCATAAATGTATCGCATCGTCAGCTTCTACGATGATTAAGCAGCGCCCCTACAGGACTTAAGAACAAACTGGCTGCTTACATACAAAATTTGACGATGACAATACGATTACGGAACTGCCAAAGTTCGTCCTTGGGCTTTTTATAGTCTTGTAACGTGTAGTCTTAGCATAAAGATTTCCACCGGTTATTTAAACGTTTTTTAGGACAGACACTTCAAGACATCGTTACAACTGACAAATAGTTTTATAGACACGTGTGATGACTAGTACAAAAATACGCAACAATATTCAAAATAGACACAACGAATCAATTTAAATATTGGTTTTTCTTGTGTCAAGTAGGTGGTAAAAAAAAAATACCCCTGAAGGTAGGCGGCCACTAAAGCCTGTAGACGATTGCGATACCAGAGAATTACTCGCGCTTTGGCTACCCTGACGTAGACTCCTACCCTGTGGAACCCTAAAAAAACTAAACATCGGAACGAATAAAAAAAAATACAATCTTTCTGATATAATAAACTTCCTTGCCTGTGTTTATTCGCGGCTCTAGCGAATATAAGCGGGAACAGTGCCACTGCAGCGTCTATAACTGCCACTCCAAGCGGTTGGGCCGCGGTACCTGTGCGCAATAATAAATATATCAGACAAAATGAAATTATGATTTTTTCATGCGGTGCCGGTAGCGCATTTTCAAATTATCAAATTTCTTTAAGTATTCATTTTAAGTTGAGCGTTTATCAATGTCGAAAAACTACACCAACGGTTAGTACATCTAAGAGAAGAATCGGCAAGAAACTGAGTAAGAGCTTTGTTTTTTTTTTACACAACGTGTAAAATATCTGTGAAAGCAAAATTCAAAAGGTTTCATGATAGATAGTTCGATTTGCTATCTATACTGTAACGGAACAACAGCAGGAGCTCGATGGCGCTAGTAGTTAGCGTTGAAGTAAAGCAACTTTCGCAGTGGCCGGTCATTGGATGAGTGACCAAATATTTACTATCTCTAGCTCTTCCGCGTTTCGGAAGGCACGTTAAGCCGTTGCTCCCGGCTGCATATGCAGCCCTTAGCACCCACTAATCTGCACTAGGGCCTAGTGGTAGGTCATGGCACTCCCTATTCCATCTATAGGAAAGGCCTATGCCCCAGCAGTGGGGACGTTAAAAGGCTGATGATAAATATATAATCGGAACCAAGCTTGTGCCGGCGAAAGTTAAGCCTTCCTGTCACTGACCAATGGCAGTCCCCTTTATCATGTGACGCCATTCCCATCCTTGAGTTTTCTAAGCGATTGTATGTTAACAAAGTATAGTGCAGTTATATTTTTATTTCTTGAGTATTTATGTTTAAATCTACTATAGAGTAAGTGTCTGTTTTTCAATAGCTGAGTCATGGTTCTAAGTAAGCTAATTTGCTCAGTAAAGAATAGGGGTGTTGTAAATTTTTGTAATAGAAAATCGTTTAAAAGCAAGCTAAAGTGCCCTTTCAGCGTCAAAGTTAACATCTCTATTTGTTTACTGTGCAGATAAGTTCCAAGAAGATTATTCAAGAACAAGAGCATTCAAAGTTCATAAGATAAGCATATTATACCAATCAGATATGAATTTTCTGAATCGTCATTATTAGACTCGGACATTACATTACATCTATTACAATTTGAAAAAAGTTCCGTAATGTCGACTATATGACCCAATTGACCGTTTTTATTCAAAATAATAAGTATTGATAAAGTGTGCTAACTTTATAAAATTTTGGAAAATATCAATAATAATATAAAAAAATAACCTCCAAATAAAAACTTTAAAACCGGTATCGCCGCAACAACACTACACACAATCAAAGCTGGCACTAGTATTTGCAAACTTGACATTTGCATGTGTCATTTTTGACTTCGAGATTAACCCTTCAATTGCGGGAAAGCCGCCGCCTAAAACACCCCCCGCTTGCGGAACGATTGCGCGGCCGCAGCGCGCGCTCGACGCGGTTTGAAATTTATTCAATAACTTTAATAAATCGTTCGTTCGACATGCAGCAAAATATTTTATTTCAATTATAGATAGTCAATGTACCTTCTTTTTTAGTAATTTCCTATATAAATTGTTTCAACCTTTTTATTTTTAACAGGAAACGTAGACAAAATCAATTTCGCACCTTAGGTGGCATAAACGCGATTTGATTAAATTATACGAATACTTGTGCTTTTCATTGATAACCTTTTCAAAGTTGAATAACTAAACAATAGATTTTTGCAAAAAAATAATATACTGTTGTAATATAATGTTGTTAATAAACTGTTTTAAAAATTACTTTTTAGTTGCGAGCTCCCCGATACTCGATTTTAAAATCATCGTACTAACGGTTGTTTGGTCATAAGAACGACTTCACCACAATGAGTGAATGGTGTATTCATCTGGGTATAAAATTCAAAAGACTTTGAACTGTATTGCATTGTATTTATTCCCAAAATTGCAAAAAATTGAATGCGGGTGACGAGCGAGCAGATCTACACTTCCCCAAACGGACTTTACTCACGAAGGCGTGCAGCGCTGCACTACAGCAATTGAAGGGTTAAAAAAACCGGCCAAGTGCGAGTCGGACTCGCGCACCGCGGGTTCCGTACAAACCTGAATTTTCAAATATATTTTTATTATATGATGTACTCGTAACTAAAAATTTACGGTTTTCGCAATTTTTTCTTTATCTGTACTATAAGACGTTTACTTCGTACCAAATTTCAAAATTACCCTCTAGGTTTTGATTCCTGTGAGTTTCGAAGGTTTCGAAAATTTGCGGTATAAACAGCTATATCTTTTGATTGCTTTTGCTTAGAAGTTAGATTTTTTCACAGCTCCAAGGGACAGTAGACCTGAGTATTAGATATGAATTTCGGTTTGATACCTCCACGTGTTCCTGAGAAAAACGGTCTTGACAGACGGACGGACAACAAAGTGATCCTATAATAATAAATATTTCCGACACTCACACCAATTAGCCTAGCCCCAAAGTAAGCACTATAAGGCTTGTGTTATGGGATGCTAGGGTAACGAATAGAATACATATACTGTACACGTATAAGTATATTTATATAAATACATATTAAACATCCATGACTGGAGTACAAATGCTCGTATTCATCACACAAACATCTGCCCCCACCGGGATTCGAACCCGGGACCTCTCGAGTCGGCGACAGCCATGAAACCCGGCGTACAAACCACTCGGCCACGGAGGTCGTCAAATCGTATAAGGGCTACGTTTTTTCCTTTTGAGGTACGGAACCCTAAAAACAGACTATATTAAAATGAAGATTGTTTGGTTACCGGAAGCGGCGGCAGCTGCAGGTGTGGCCGGCACCGCCGCTCGGTACACGCAGCACGGGTCGTGTTCCAGCGCGCCAGAGCCGCGGGCGCTCAGCGGCGATATGAGCTGCGAGGTCAATATACACTGGTTACTCACCCTCGAAGGCCTCGAAAGGAACGAAATAACTCGCGCAGAAAAAGCGTTCTTGCAATCAATGCTTATGTAGGTCCATATACACTGGTTACACACCCCCGAAGGTCTCGAAATAACTCGCGTATAAGAAGCGCTCTTGCAACGCTCCAACGCAGCGCGAGCAAAACGGCTGAGCTATATTGTTGTCCTTTTCTTAATAACGAAATTGCGTAAATAACATTTACGAAAAAAATGTTTTTACAGTTTTACGAATGAAAAGTGTTGCCGAGGCATTTGTTATTTGATTTTGAATCATAAAAGCATCGAAGGCATTGTTTTATCTTTATAACACAGATTATACGCAATATTGTTATATTGAGTGAACATGCAGCGTGTTTGAATATCCAATTGTGACTAAAGCTAATTATGGTCATGCACCACAATTTAAGCGGATCACTTTTGACCCGCGAGTGCCGTATCTCCCCTTTTTGTTTTAATCTAAGGTCAACACGCCTGATTATTGAATTATAATGAAGGCTAGACGTAAATCGTATTAGGCCTCTTTTTTGTTACATACATTTCGGCGATAATTTTTTATTTATAAAGATTTTATACTTAACTGTACCAGTACATGTAGTCAGTCAACCTATCTAGTCATTTTGCGACCTAGTCATTGTAAGGTGTCGTCAAATAAAGATGTAGTCATTTTACGCTCTAGACATTATTTCATGTGGTCAAATAAATCATTTAGTGAACTTAGGCATTATGCGATGTAGTCGATTTAAGATCGAGACGAAATTGCGATATGCTTGTCTTTGTATAGAGACGTATCGTTAACAAAGAACAAATGTTATCAAATTTCCTTCGTATATAGAACCACGCGTGCTGACCTACGTTGCCACGGACTCAATATTCAAAGAACTTGTGACCAAACTAGGTAAAAGTATGGATGAACAGCGAAAGGCAGAGAATGGTTACTATCAAACTAGTGCATTTATTCAACTTGAGATAAAACTCTTAAGTATTTGAACCCTGGTGATTATTTTTAGAGTGCCTTACTAAAAACTAAGTAATGGAAATTATTATTTTTATGTTAAATCCAATATTTACGCATTGAAAAAGAAGAGATTGAAAATGAATAACTGAAGCAAACTGAAATAAACACAACGTAGGACTTGTATTAAGAAAATTACATTTCTAAGCATTTACATACCTGTTCTTCAATTTCAGCATGATCTGTATCATAGATCCAGCATTCTTCACCTAGCAGTATAGAATCTCGTGGATGCATCGATGACATCAGAAGACCTAAAAACATCACAAAATTATAGTGTTAATTTGTGTATTTTTTTAATGTTTTAAGCCTGCCAAACAAGCTTATGACCCACCAGGTGGCCAATCGCCTAACGGGATTGCTATGGCTATCGCTATCGCTTACGATTTCAATTTGTTATTTCAAATGTCACGCGCTATTTTTTTTCTATTGTAATTTACAGGCGGCGGGCCCTGTTGCCAGCTGAGCGCGCAGCCCGCCTGGTACAGACCTGTAGCAACAGTAGCGCCGCTCGGGTCAGCCGAGCCCGCTATCTCGGCGGCGAGTAGTCTCAACAACGGCGCGGCGGGCGGCGGCGGCGGGCCCTGTTGCCAGCTGAGCGCGCAGCCCGCCTGGTACAGACCTGTAGCAACAGTAGCGCCGCTCGGGTCAGCCGAGCCCGCTATCTCGGCGGCGAGTAGTCTCAACAACGGCGCGGCGGGCGGCGGCGGCGGGCCCTGTTGCCAGCTGAGCGCGCAGCCCGCCTGGTACAGACCTGTAGCAACAGTAGCGCCGCTCGGGTCAGCCGAGCCCGCTATCTCGGCGGCGAGTAGTCTCAACAACGGCGCGGCGGGCGGCGGCGGCGGGCCCTGTTGCCAGCTGAGCGCGCAGCCCGCCTGGTACAGACCTGTAGCAACAGTAGCGCCGCTCGGGTCAGCCGAGCCCGCTATCTCGGCGGCGAGTAGTCTCAACAACGGCGCGGCGGGCGGCGGCGGCGGGCCCTGTTGCCAGCTGAGCGCGCAGCCCGCCTGGTACAGACCTGTAGCAACAGTAGCGCCGCTCGGGTCAGCCGAGCCCGCTATCTCGGCGGCGAGTAGTCTCAACAACGGCGCGGCGGGCGGCGGCGGCGGGCCCTGTTGCCAGCTGAGCGCGCAGCCCGCCTGGTACAGACCTGTAGCAACAGTAGCGCCGCTCGGGTCAGCCGAGCCCGCTATCTCGGCGGCGAGTAGTCTCAACAACGGCGCGGCGGGCGGCGGCGGCGGGCCCTGTTGCCAGCTGAGCGCGCAGCCCGCCTGGTACAGACCTGTAGCAACAGTAGCGCCGCTCGGGTCAGCCGAGCCCGCTATCTCGGCGGCGAGTAGTCTCAACAACGGCGCGGCGGGCGGCGGCGGCGGGCCCTGTTGCCAGCTGAGCGCGCAGCCCGCCTGGTACAGACCTGTAGCAACAGTAGCGCCGCTCGGGTCAGCCGAGCCCGCTATCTCGGCGGCGAGTAGTCTCAACAACGGCGCGGCGGGCGGCGGCGGCGGGCCCTGTTGCCAGCTGAGCGCGCAGCCCGCCTGGTACAGACCTGTAGCAACAGTAGCGCCGCTCGGGTCAGCCGAGCCCGCTATCTCGGCGGCGAGTAGTCTCAACAACGGCGCGGCGGGCGGCGGCGGCGGGCCCTGTTGCCAGCTGAGCGCGCAGCCCGCCTGGTACAGACCTGTAGCAACAGTAGCGCCGCTCGGGTCAGCCGAGCCCGCTATCTCGGCGGCGAGTAGTCTCAACAACGGCGCGGCGGGCGGCGGCGGGCCCTGTTGCCAGCTGAGCGCGCAGCCCGCCTGGTACAGACCTGTAGCAACAGTAGCGCCGCTCGGGTCAGCCGAGCCCGCTATCTCGGCGGCGAGTAGTCTCAACAACGGCGCGGCGGGCGGCGGCGGCGGGCCCTGTTGCCAGCTGAGCGCGCAGCCCGCCTGGTACAGACCTGTAGCAACAGTAGCGCCGCTCGGGTCAGCCGAGCCCGCTATCTCGGCGGCGAGTAGTCTCAACAACGGCGCGGCGGGCGGCGGCGGCGGGCCCTGTTGCCAGCTGAGCGCGCAGCCCGCCTGGTACAGACCTGTAGCAACAGTAGCGCCGCTCGGGTCAGCCGAGCCCGCTATCTCGGCGGCGAGTAGTCTCAACAACGGCGCGGCGGGCGGCGGCGGCGGGCCCTGTTGCCAGCTGAGCGCGCAGCCCGCTTGGTACAGACGCAAGCGCAGCAACGCCGCCGGCGCCTTCAAAGCGCCGCCGTAGTTGCGGACCACGCCGCCCACACTGTACATCCATATTAATATTTTAACTTGTACAATAAAGACAAAACAGCTTAACCAATCCTACTTATATTATAAATATGAAATTTTGTGTTTGTTACTAAATCACGCTAAAATGCCTGAAGGTTTTTGGAAGACATTTATAAAATAAATAAATAAATAACTTTCGCAGTGGTCGGTCATTGGATGAGTGACCGAATATTTACAACCACGAGCTCCTCCGTGCTTAGCTAGTCACGTTAAGCCGTTGGTCTCGCAATCCGCACTGGGCCTACGTCGTGGCCCAATCTGCCTATTCCATCCATAGGGAAGGCCTATGCCCCAGCAGTACCCATCAGCAGATAATGATGATAATAGTTTGTTTGGACGAAGTCACAGGCGGCCGTTAGTTTAAATTATATTTGGTATAGAAATAGTCTGTGTCCGGCAAATGGACAAAACGATGCATTTTTATCGAAGATCACAATATGTAAAGGGCTGAAAATAGAGGTGGAAGTTTGTATGATAGACGAAGAAGCGGAAGGGCGAAGGAAAACAAATGAACGCGGGAACACGAAGATGGTGTTTTCGTCGAGTTTAATTCAGTTACATTCTCTAACAGTGACAACAAAGCAGTTGAAATTGTTACACATCTATTCCAAATTACATACGTGATCCTTCGAGCCGGATACAACAACCAACTTACTTAGTGAGAACAGCGATAGCCCCGTCGATTGGCTGCGACAGTCGTTTTGCCGTGTCGTCACTGTTCACGAGAGACGGACAGTGTATCAACAAACTGTGCAGCGCTGACAATGCCCCCGCTCGCCCTTCCAATGTCACCTGAAAAAAAAACAAAGAACATAGTTCAAAGTTGAAAATATTGCCCTAAATACGCAATTGAGTCTTTTCGTGAGAGGTATTTCTAAACACAATAAAAAATAGCAGTTAAATCAGAAATAATTCAACTTAATTCATCTATCAAATTAACTGGGTAAAGCAATATACATCTCAAGTTTAAAATATACTAGTGGCCAGCCCTCGCTTAATTTCGGTACAGCGATAATACTCACAAATAACGTGGCATACTTTAAGTAAAATCATTTTCATAATCAGTTCACTACATCGAAAGATTACCGCCTAAAACTTCACATAACTGTACCTCTTTAAATATTAGTATAGATGAGAAATAAAACTTATGACTCTACTCAGTCAGATCAATTACCTTTTAATTAAAAAAATGGTTCATATATTATCTTTTTAAAACAACACGGGACTTAGTGAAGCATGAATTCAAAAGACATCTCTAAGTACGGACGTTACGAGCTTTTATGCATATTGACAATCAAAAAAGTAAGTTTTTTTTCTGACCTGCCAAGTGAACGCATCTCCGCGAGCCTTTTCGGATTCCAACTCTTTGGCCGAGCGTGGAAAACTATTCCTCCACAGCAGCAACATTCTTGGTAAAAGTCCTCGCACTACTGGCACTCCTATTTACAAAATACATCATCATCATCAGCCTATTAATGTCCCCACTGCTGGGGCACAGGCCTTCCCTATGGATAGAATAGGGACATTGGGCCATGACCCACCACGCGGGCCCAGTGCGGATTGATGGCTAACGACTGCAGATGCAGCCGGGACCAACGGCTTAACGTGCCTTCCGAAGCACGGAGGAGCTCGAGGTAGTAAATTTTTGGTCACCCATCCAATGACCGACCACTGCGAAAGCGCCATCGAGCTCCTCAAAATACAAAATATACAGAAGCTCAGCAGTGCAAGTGGGCGATTATTGAAGACTAGCAACTTTCGCTATGATCGGTCATTGGACGGGTGACCAAAAACGACAATGCTCATACCCCGTACCACATTGCGTCATAGATATATTAACACCAAAAATAATGTTTTTTTTTTATGTGTATTATGTACTGACTTCTAACCGTTTTTATAGCCACATTTAAAAAAATCATATTCATATATCATATCATAGATGCTTAATAATTATCAAATACCTACTTCCGCAAAAAATTACATATACGTACTTATATCAATAGTTCATTTCCGAAATCTTGCACGTTCCGACAACAGTTGTCTGTTATTTCCGAGGTTTAACAATTAACATAAAAAAATTTGTTCGCCTTATTAGCTTTAGCCGTTGTATAAGTAAATAAGATTTTAAAGTAGAAAATAAAATATGTAATTCTTTTACTCTTCATTTTATTTTATCTCACCATTTCATAAAGTAAACATTGCGTATTTTCGAAACTCAAAACATACATTCATGGCGTTTCGGAACGCTTAGTTACTGAACTGTCAGTGCCAATTTCAATTTCGTTTTTGTTGTATGATTTTTGTTTTGTTTGTTTAATCCATGTTGTTCCTGCTGCGTTTGAGTCGATCTGGTAGTTATTATCGTTTAATTAATTCACCACCACTATAATAAGTATTGACAGTGATGATTTTATTCTTATGATGATTATCGAGATAGTGATTTATTAGCGCTTTATCTATGTCGAAGGTATATATCACAATTCAGAGAGTTATCCAATTTATTCACGGTAATCATTTTTTTAATAATATTGCTTTTACACCCTTCCCCCTTTTTTGTTCAATATATACCTATTTCAATTTCCATCATGGGTTGCATGCAAAAGATTACTTTTTAGCAATAAGGCCGCCCATTGTGTAATGTCTCTATTTCGGTGTAATCTGACTTTTGTGTCCTTTGTGGTATTATACAATAAAGAATATTATTATTGATTTCTTGACCAAGTATTGTGTTTATTGCTATCGTATCTAATAAAGGAAAGTTTGATCTAGCTTAAAAATTAGAAACGGCTCTTGGTGCGCGCGAAATACTTCAAAAGACAAATTTTCTTCCAACTTTGATCCGAATCCGGTCTGAGGTACAAACACGAATTTTGACAGCTCCGTAATCATAGCCTCATCTTAAAAATTTTGTATGGAAGGAGCCAGTTAGTTTTAACGTCCGGTAGAGGCGCTACTTAGTTTTAATAGAGACTTTGACGATGCAATACGGTTACGGAGCTGTAAAAATTCATGCCTGGGTCTAAGGTACCTGTAACCAGTAAAATATTTATTTACTAACTCACCTAACGTGCAAATAGCCCCGACTATAAGCCACCCAGCATTAGTCCTGGCGGCGGTTAATCTACTGCTTTGGCCGGCAGATCTTAGGAGCTGTTCTGCAGCGTTAAATGCCACTTTACCCCGCCCGTGTGGAATACCCAGGGGGGATAGACGGACAGCGCCTAAGATAGCCGCTAGAGCCGCTGAATAACCTGTGAAGAAATAGGCCTATTAATATAAACCCAATGTTCTGAATAAATTTGTTCTTTCTTTTGCGTGACAACTTTTATTGTTATTTCGTAAAAAAAAAGCGTATCACTTCGCTAGCTACTAGGTGCATAATCGTTATTCGTCTTTGGAAAAATTGTATTTTTTTTTATTTTTTTATTTGGCAGTAAAGTCTAATCTGCTTTAAAAAAAACTGATTTGAGATTTAACAAGATAGTCCCTATCTTGTTAAATTGATCAAACGATTGATCTTGATGAACTTGCAAGTCAGTCAAGGTCAGCGCACATTGTGGAGAGCACTCAGTCACCGTTACCAGTGCATTTCAACCAATTTCGTACATTGATGCACGAACGAATCATTTGGGACCTTAATTATCATACTCTGTCAAATGCAAATATAAACATTGTCCTCCATTCTCGTATTCTTAGTAGCACCCGCTGGGTTAAAAGCGAAGGCGATAGGCGATCCAAGAAGTCCTTTCCTAGAATGTAACCTAAATGAACTTGAAAATTATTAAGTTTTCATAGAATCGCGAGTAAGGTTGGACAGCAGCGGCGTCAGCTGCGACAGCGGGCGCACACGGAAACGCACACACCGACACATACACATACGTATACACACAGACACACATGTATACACACAGACACACACATATACACACACCCACACACATGCACGCACGCACGCGCACGCGCACACACACCCACAGACACATTACCGGCGATGTGGTGCGGCGTGGGGCGCGCGTTGTCCAGCGCGGTGCAGCACGCGTCCAGCAGCGGCGTCAGCTGCGACGGCAACGCGACGCACACGCAACGCGCGCAGCGAGCGGTTGCTAAACGGGCCGCGGCGCAAGGGTGCTCTAACACCTAGTAAAATCGAGAAAAAACGACGCCTTTAACCCCTCGTCTGTGTAAGTGGATGATTTCTGCCACGAGTTGAAATAATTATTTTACCTTTAAAATTTTGCGTTTTATCGTATATAGTAATGCTTTTCTATCACATCTAATATATAGATATGTTTGTAGAGAAACTTTTCAGGATTGATTTAAGACATAAATGAAGCCTGGGTGTACAATAGATCTCGAATAAAAAGAGGAAAACCGGGCGGTTTTTTCCGGTCGTGAAAAACAATGTGGAGGGCTACACAGACCAGGCGTTAAAGTTTAGACCAGAGAACACAGAAAGAGGTTAGACGGGCCTCGTGGACGGGGCAGGCGCGCCACAGTTGTGTGAGCAATTGCTCATAACTTATACAGTTCCTAAGATGTGATAGATAACTTGCTATTGAAAATTAACTCATTCTATCCCCAGAGAAAATCGCTTTAAATTTGACTTTTAGGGCCCAACCTTTTGAGACAGCAACTTCAAGGATACAGTCAAATTTTACGGCTGGCTTTTCTTTCCGATACCCGCTTCCAAAATGCCTGGTAAAAAAAACTAACAGAGAAGATGGTGACCATATTGAGCCAGGTGTCGTTGATCTAGTTCTGCACCGCCGTCCCCAGTTGTAAGGCCACCTCACCTGCTTTTATGAGCGCACATAAAAAGTGTTGACTGAATACGATTTTCTACAAAATATAAAACTCACGGAGAAGATGGCGTTGACCATATTGTCATTGATCAAGTTCTGCACTGAAGTCCCCAGCTGTAAAGCCAACTCGCTACCTTCAGACAGCGCGCATAATAATAAGTGTTGGCTGAATAGGATTTTCTATAAAATATAAAACTCACGGAGAAGATGACGTTGACCATATTGTCATTGACCAAGTTCTGCACTGAAGTCCCCAGCTGTATGGCAACTCGCCTGCTTTTGACAGCGCGCATACTAATAAGTGTTGGCTGAATAGGATTTTCTATAAAATATAAAACTCACGGAGAAGATGGCGTTGACCATATTGTCATTGACCAAGTTCTGCACTGAAGTCCCCAGCTGTATGGCCAACTCGCCTGCTTTTGACAGCGCGCATACTAATAAGTGTTGCCTGAATAGGATTTTCTATAAAATATAAAACTCACGGAGAAGATGGCGTTGACCATATTGTCATTGACCAAGTTCTGCACTGAAGTCCCCAGCTGTATGGCCAACTCGCCTGCTTTTGACAGCGCGCATACTAATAAGTGTTGGCTGAATAGGATTTTCTATAAAATATAAAACTCACGGAGAAGATGGCGTTGACCATATTGTCATTGACCAAGTTCTGCACTGAAGTCCCCAGCTGTATGGCCAACTCGCCTGCTTTTGACAGCGCGCATACTAATAAGTGTTGGCTGAATAGGGTTTTCTACAAAATATAAAACTCACGAAGAAGATGGCCTTGACCATATTGTCATTGATCAAGTTTTGCACTGAAGTCCCCAGCTGTAAGGCCAACTCGCCAGCTTCTGACAGCTCGCATAATAATAAGTGTTGGCTGAATAGGATTTTCTACAAAATATAAAACTCACGGAGAAGATGGCGTTGACCATATTGAGGGAGGTGTCATTGATCAAGTTCTGTACTGAAGTCCCCAGCTGTAAGGCCAACTCGCCAGCTTCTGTCAGCGCACATACTAATAAGTGTTGGCTGAATAGGGTTTCCTGTAAGATAGAAAATATTTAAGCATTCCTAGAAATGTAACAGTCGGCATTAAGAAGTACGACGCTGAATGACAATTCCTTTCATGCCACTGGTGGTACAAGTTGGTGGCATGACGAGGTAGTAGGATATTCAAGAAGAACAGACTAGAAGAGCTAAGAGAAAAGAGTGACATATTTGTCAAAACTTAAATTAATAAATAAATAAAATAAAAGTTTTAACCTCCATATACTTAGAGCATATACCAATGGAGATGCCATACCAATAACTGTCGAACAAAGTTTTCGTAATTTTTAGTGAGGGACGAGGTACACATGTATAGCACACTTACGAAAATATGAAATACTCGCACAAACACGGGCGTGTTGTTGCTATAAACGCAAACTTCAAAAATCACGTAACACAAACAAAAAAACGCACACACTCTTTATGTAACTATGCAATTGTTCGAGTGTACACAAACTGAAAAGTTAGGGATGGGACATTGAAAGAATGAACGATATTTGAATGAACAGTATTTTGTCACAAAACACGACGTAACTGACCCAAGCTTATCTTAAAGCTAATGTATACTTTGTTTAATATAAGGTGGATAGCGAATTCATAGACTTCAGTGAATAGAGGTTATTTGTTTTCCTAATAATGTTTTCCTCGATGATTTAAGAATTCAATAATTTTATCATGTGTGATAAATTCGATAATCTATACATATAATAAAATGGTAGGAAAGTCAAAACTGTGCATTGAATATTTTTTTAAAAGAATACTTGGGGTGTGATCCACAGTCGATACCGCAGCCAAAAATATAGTTTTTAGAATTTTTGTCTGTTTGTCTGTATGTAGGTCCGGGATAAACTCAAAAGTACTGCATGGATTTACTTAAAATTTGGAACGAATATTATTAAGAAGTCGGGTCAACATATAGGCTACATATTATCACGCTATCATTTACGGGGAACGAGCAGTGAACCTTTATTGCTAACTAAATCCACGCGTACGAAGTCGCGGGCGGCCGCTAGTGTAAAATAAGATGCTAGGTTAGGTACCTGATTGCAATCCTTAGCGTTCTCCGGGTTGAAGTCGATGCTGTTCATCTGCTTGACGACGATCTGTATGATCTCGCGACACGCAGACGCTTGCGCCTTCTCGCCCAACATTTTGCCGAGCGTGTTGCGCAGAATGTAGTTTATGCACTTCCTGAACCAAATGATACTCATCGGATATTGGTAATAAAACTATCTTTGAGGTAGACAGAATTGTATGTGGAGTAAAACATTATAAGAGAAAAATAGAAAACCGCCTGTATATCTGAGGCACAAGCAAGAATTTTGACAGCTTCGTAATATGGGAATATGCATGTTATTCAAATAAGCCTCATTTTATTTTTATTTTAACTACATTACTTTAAAATTTGGCCCTCCATCAATATTTCTTAATAAAATTGCTTTTCGAACAAGAAATTAATGATAAAAAAGTGCGAAGAACTTGTGGGAAATTCAGATATTTTTGTACGTAAAGATATAAAAAAGTGATGTTTACAGGATATGCCAATGTGAATGAGATTATAGTGCGAGTGCGTAGATGTCAAAGCCGCGCTCCACCTAGACACCTAATGCAACTTTTTACTTTGACACTTACATTTTACAAAAAATGTATGAAACATGTGATGTTAAATTCCCCTCCACTGCCCTCTCTTCGCTCACTCAGAGCACCGGGGGAACAATAAAAGAAAACCAAAAAAATTAAGATAATGTTATAAGTATATTTTATCCACTTTAGATACCAAAGCATAGGAATTCAGTAGTTTTAAGTTATTGCTTATATAAATCAACAAGTCTAACTATGTTTATTATTTATATAATAACTATGTTTCACTAATTATAAATATCTAAGCTGAATACAGTAGTTCAAAGTTAATGTGTATATAAACCAACAAGTTGTCATGAAAGGTTATAATTATATGAATATCAGACATTCATAACACTTTACCATGTACTTACAATACAATCCTTACTAATATATTTTATCCACAAATACCACATAGACTAGACTGAATAAGCTATTGAGTGGATTTCAGAGGTTCTACGGCTCGTTTGATCGATATTGGTGACAAACTTAGTTAATTCTAGTTCTCAGCGAGATAACCAGTTATATAGGTATATGTAAATATATGGAAATGGGCAAGTCGGGGTCCAACCTCGCCTGATGGTTCCTTTTCACGTTCACCCGGGGTTAGTAGAGAAATACCTTGATTATGATAGGTTAAGCTGTGTATAATCTGTCTGCTGTTCGGCCGGGTTACATAAAACCGGAGAGCGGCTGGCAAATAAACTCCCGCGCCCCTTCTGGTCCGTGCACAGAACAAAAGTCTCCTTGTTAGTCCTCCAGTATTTCTTGAGGGGAACGTACAAGCCTGAAGTTCACATTGAAAAAGAATGATCAGATATGGGGAAAATACATAGATTACCACATCTGTGGTGGGTGAGGGAGTGAGGGATATTCACGGTCAATGTTTACACTTTAAAATTTGAATCACTACAGGACTGGGGGCCCGTCCCACCCGGTTTGAAGAAAATCAATTCCACGTTCACTAACTTGACAAGAATGATTAGGTATATTTGATGACAAGAATCACTATATTGTGCATAATGCAGTTCAATTAGTGCTAGGAGAATAAATATGAGGTCAGATGATAGCTTACCGTTCGAAATATGAAACTATCCGTAAGTATTTTGTTTCCTATCACAAGTTACCGCCTTATTATTGCAATCGCCTTGCGAAGGTTCGTGTTCGTCCACCTACGATACAGAATATCAACAGAAAGGTTATTTTCACAGCCCAAACTTGCAAATTATGTAGGAAAAAGAGCCACTCCAATATACCTACGAAACTCAGTTCGGTTAGCGACTCCGCGCTTTTTCCGCCAATATCCTTCGGGATATAAACTTTTCGGATCTATCTCACGACTTCGACGACAATAATATGCCGTTTATTATACTTTGGGCAGAAGAAAAGATGAAAAGTTAACTGTACCACAAACAGATTGTGAAATTTTAAAAGTTGTTTTGACAATTGCTCATAGATGATAGACGGATCGTCTACTCCCAAACATGTGTCTATGATTTGTTTCCCACTTCAACTGAAGGCAAAGGCCACAGTCAAACAGACAGCCGCCGCATTCGAGACGAACCGAAGAATAAACTCAAAACTATATACCTACGCTCGCCGTAAGCTGAGGAAAAGGGAATACCTACCCAAATCAGCGAGGAAATTCAATTTCGAGTAAAATTCAAAATCGATTAAAAACAGCACCCGATAATGAGGACTCAAATCGATCTGGGAAAGACTATTCAAAATTCAACAACTGTCAAACTCCATCCATTCATCCACGCGCCCCCACAGAGATTCCCCGCCTGATTACTTTTTTTTTTTTTTTTTTTTTTATAAGTCTCAAGGCGAATATTTTAGTCGAATAGGAAAATCGACTCTTCCCTCAAGGCTACCAACCCAATCAATGAAGTTTGACAGCTACGCTGACGTAAGCGGTTCGCTATCATAGACAAAACAGCTGTCCTACGTGTGTCAGTGTCACGCTCTGTTTAAAAACAAACACTACAAACATAATGTCTATTTGATTGACGTAGGTTCCGAATTCCATCCGCAGTGAGGGTATGGAACGCAAAATGTCAGTATCTTGCAAGGTCCATTGATCTTGTTTGTAGGTTTAATGAATCGTGACGTCACATCCAAGCGTTCCAAAATAGCGCGCGTTTAAACTGCCCGTGCAAAGTGGCTATGTTTAACTTATTTTTAGACACTTTATACTAAATAATGTTACTCGAAAAAGAACCACGTGGACCAAGCAGCAGACGGGACAGGAAGCCGTGTCGAAATTTTTCTAGTATTTCTAAGGCTGCAAGGCAGCGCCGTCTCAACGCATTGTAGGTAACCCACAATGTCAAACGCACAATTACAAATATTAAACATTTGAAAGAAGAAATACCAGCTGTAGGTAGTTTTTTTTCAAGCTATTAACTGCTACATGTTTAAATCTAAAGAAAATGTTACTACTTACGTTCGATACTTAGTTAAGCGCTGCTAATGATTTCATAGAAACATTGACGATGCCATACGATTACGGAGCTGCCAAAATTAGTGCTGGAGCCTCAATATGATCACGCGACACTCTGACGCCAAGTTGTGCATAATATAGTTTTTGCACCTCCTGAACCGATGGCGCAAGTGGTTAGCGCGTTCGGCTGCGATCGTTGAAGTTGAGCAACTTTCGCAGTGGTCGGTCATTGGATGGGTGACCAAAAATTTATTATCTCAAGCTCCTGCGTGCTTCGGAAGGCACGTTAACCCGTTGGACCCACCTGCATCTGTAGTCGTTAGCACCCACCAATCCGCACTGGGCCCGCGTGATGGGTCATGACCCAATCTCCCTATTCCATCCATAGGGAAGGCGTGTGCCCCAGCAATGGGGACGTTAATAGGCTGATGATGATGACGATGATGATGACCTCCTAAACCAGACAACGCTCATGGAAAATTCCTTTACGTGCGTTCACTTGCCTGGAATAAACAGCGTCGACGTGAGAACTGGCCGCCTTGGGATTGGCCACAAGGTCCAACACGTGCGTCAGAAACGTGGTCATATTGCGTTCAAGCCACACTCCGCCCATGTTTTGCACGAATATCACGTAAGCCTATAAAAGAATTGCAGCTTTAGAGAAAATGAAACAACATGTTTGTAATAAAACAGTTTTTACGGATTATATGCACTGAATTTATTTATTTATTGACGTTTCGAACCTTTTTCAGGAGTGCATCATCGGAATAATGATTTGCAAGTAACCGACAATGTAAACAAATATCTTTACAAGTATTAACATTTGAAAAAAGATAGCAATTCTAGGTCTAATGCTTTTATTAAAGCATTTAACTGCTAGATGTTAAAATGTAAAGAAAATTTTACTAGAAAAAATGTTTATACATATTTTATTACCTATATCTATAATTGGCAAACATATGTAAACAGTAAAATCATCCTCTACATATTACGAATGTCTTGTATGTTATACTGTTGCTGTACCTATAAATAAATAATTAATAGTGCAATAAAAAGTATTCATTCATTCACAAATGTAACTTTGAAAAGTCAAAATTAAAAGTGGCAGAATAGACGGGCTTCTAATAGTTGCGCAGTGTTCTGTTTAGATTGCTTAAAATAAGTAATTAGGTAAGTGTAACCAAAAGGTACTAGGACCGCAATGTATGCCACCTAATATTACCGAAAACCGGATATGAAAAGACACGCGGAAAGCGACTTTATTTAGGTTTAGGTTTAAAAAACTTGTTCTCATAAAAACATAAAGTTCCTTTACAATGAGAATACTTACTAACTATTATATGAGTAGCGCACGAACTATACATATTTTACATGTGTAGGTAACTCCATAATTGCAATTTTAAAACTCTAATTACATTGCACTTATTAAACTTTTTCAATGCACAAATCACACACTATTTTTTAGATAACTTATCAATTTAATTATAATATCATTCTTTTCAGTGACCGAACGTCCGAACACTTTTATATGTGTTCTATTAAATCGTTTTTTTTTTCAATTTTGTTGATGATGATTTTGAAAATATGAGGATATAGGATATATTACTATTATTATTGTAAAAAATCCGATTATGCTTCTTTCTTAATTGAATTTTAAGTACTGTTTTTTTTTTATTTGTTACTAATGACACGCCTAAGTTTTGTTTTAAATGTATACAAGTTTTTACATTCTTTGATTTTAACCGGTAATTCATTATATAATTCTACACCTTCATATATAACAACACTTTCTTTTTTCTGCAATAGGCCTTAGGCCTTTATTTTAAACAAAGTAAAGATTAAAATAGTCACTCACATGCGTGACGCACACTCGGACCTCCCTGTTGACGCCTGAGCCAGACTTTATGATCTCCCCTTTGAGGAAAGAAGTGCCCCCTCTTAGGAACGCACCCATTAGGAGGTTTAGGGCTTCGTCGAGCGACACAACATTCTTTGGAGGATCCTTCTTTTGTTGAACTGTCAAATAAAACATATTGATATTATCTCCGTCAGTCACTTGTTTTGATTTTTTTTTATTGTTTATTGAAGTGTGGCAAACTAAAGTATGCGATCATGAAAGGTAGTCAGTTCCTTATGTTAACAGAATAAGTAAAAAGGTCACAGGTCTAGTAAAAAGAGATCGGAAAATAAACTCCAAATTCGGTCGCCATAAGGAATTGACACGACCTGTCAGGATCGCATTCTTTTGTTGCCAGCTAGCTACTGCAGTTCTATCTATCGACTTTATTAATGGCTAGTTTCAGTCAAGGAATAATAAAAAAAACTGTTGTTAAGGAACGAAACCAAAACATGCTTACTTTTTCCTGGAAGTTGATTATTGAAACTCGCCGTTAATAAGCAGACTTATACATTGGTAATATGTAATTTTAAATCACTTTGTTTCTATGGTTGAAGTGAAAATAAACACCTGATTGAGCTCCTGCTTTTAGTTTACTGTTGAGATTAGGGTCTTCTCCCGCTTGTGTTTGAGCAATGAGACTGCCGAGAAGCTCTGCAATAGCACACCTGTCAAACAAAATAAATAATTTGTGTATGTACACAGATATTAGCGAATTAATATGCACAAGTTCGTATAATATCCCTTAATTTATTTTTAATATTTTTTTCGTTTCTTTGCATGCTTGTATTCAAACAACTTGGTCATTAATTTATAACTGTAACTCAGGGGAAAATTGACAGCCTATTTTGGAATCAGGCTCTGTAGCTGTAGCGTAGGCATTTCAATTTGATATTTTATCACTTCATGGCTTTCATGTTAGTGGAGCAGAAGCTAGAATTTGGACAGCTGTTGTAATGAACGACATTGTGAATGAAATTTATTTTGATATCTACAACTCACCTTAAAGCATAGTCACTAGGATGAGCGGCGCGCAAGCAAGCCGCAGCCAACGCATCCAAATCAGCCGGGGTCAGACGTACAAGCGGCAACAGCTTGCAGAGGGCCCTCGCAGCCCCGGCCCGCACCGCCGACGACCGCTCCGACACTAGGGCTCCCCGGGCCGCGCGCCATACTTCGCGCAAAGCACCACCGGCGGCCCCGCCCATACCCACGCAGATCTAGATGCGATACATTATTCATATTTAGATGACAGGGAAGAATGTCTTTCATTTTTATGGTGCCAAAGACCATGTATTTTGTTTTGGATGGATTCAGAACCAATTGTTATGGGACCAATCGTATATAGAACGCAGTTCATCGTTTATCGTGACAATGGCCGATTCATAGTCACAAGGTCTAAAAGACGAATAAAGTTGAACATATCCACGTGAATGTGATATGGACATATTCGGAAACAGTTTACTATATCAGCACAGAACAATATAAAAAGGGTAGGACGGGGTGTGGTGAAATTGAGGCAGATTTTTGTTCGCTTCGAGGAAGAAAAAAAAATATATATCTTTACCTTCAGCATTAGATTTTAAGTTTTGTATTATGTATCGTAAAACTTCTTTTTTGGTAACGAGTGTGAAGACGGCACTGCCATAAAAATTATTGTCAAAGAAGGCTTTATATTCAACATTGCTGTGAGATTACCAGGTATGTGTAAAAAATAACTGTTGATTAAGTTTGGATCGTCAAATTGTGACGGTAATTCATGCTTTTTGCTAGAACGAAGAACAGTCTTTTTTAGATTTTTCCGTAGTAATTATGGATTTGGAATTTTATTATTTATATTAAGCGAAAATCGGCATCGTATTCCATAATATTTCTAATTTGTTAGTACAACATATTGAATACTAATTTGATAGTTAATTTAGCTTAAGGTACCAAATGATATGAAAAACGAAAAGACCCTAAATACTTAATTGCTGCTTAGCAATAGTTTGCATAACCAATCCCATACTAGGGATCTGCGGGCCAAGCGCCATACTTCGCGTATAGCACCGCTGGCAGCCCCACTCATACCCACGCAAATCTAGACCCAGTGCGGGTTGGTGGGTGCTATCGACTGCAGATGATGGGACCAACTACTTAACGTGCTTTCGAAGCACGGAGAAGCTCGAAATAATAAGCATTTGGTAACACATCCAATGACCGACCATTACGAAAGTAGCTTAACTTCCACGATCACAGGCCGAACGCACTGACCACCTGCCTTTTTTTTGTTAACGGTGGAAAATCCATTTACGGACCATACCGCGCGCTAGCTAGACGCGCGACGTGTGTGGCAGTCCCCGGCGCGGAACAGCACCGGTCCTACCCACTAAAAACCACCGGTACCCTCCTACGCCCTTGAGGGAGGCGTCTCGGGCTCGACGCCTGTGTGTGCCATTTCACCGGGACGCCCCCAGGCTAGGATTGGCATCTGTAATTGTTACCACCGACAAATCAGCACTAGCCCTGCATGGATCATGGCCCGTTTTTATTCAATATCGTTTATTCAGTTCAGACTGTTACAAGCACTTGTGAATGTAGAAAAGCTACACAATGGGTTCGCAAATCTACAGCGGGAGACCTTGTACTTTTCTCCCTGTATTATATAAAGAGTCGTCAAATTGAAAATTGACTTCAATATGAAATCTCATGAAGTTACTTTCTATAAATAAAAAAATCATATAAACACAAGACGGTGGTCGCACTGCAGACGTTTCTGCTTTACGTCGCTGTGGCCGTGAGGCCTCGGCCTTACTTCTTACATTTATAACACGAAAATTCTTCACTGAATTTTTTTAACATGTCACGTTAGTTCACGTTCACATTGCGCGGTGTGTGTGAGGAGAGGTCAGATTTTTCAAGCTAGTTTAGCTTATAGAGGGAGGGGGGGGGGGGGCTTCTCGATAGAGAATTAGCACTTTAAGTTCAATATTTCGCAAACGAATCCCTAAATCGAAAAATAGTCTTAGCAACCCCTAAGTAATTTTAAAGGACCTATTCACTATTCAACGATGCCTCAAACGATGGGGAAGACAATGAAAACAAAATTCATTTAGGAAAGCACAAATATTAAAAAAAAAAATACCGTGTTATCGGCGTAATTAATGTACATACCTTTAATGAAAGCTCTCAAGTGCTAGTCTCTAAGCAATAGCTCGGTTGGACAGACAGACGGACATGACCAAACTATAAGAATTCCTTTCCCGGAGGAAAACAGCAAATGACACGTTATGTAAAATTGTCTTCCATAAATCTACTTTACAGACAACCATCAATATCATTACCTTTTCTAATGTGTTCATAATCTCCAGCCTAGTTTGAGATTCTGCACTCTTGAGAGAACGAACTAGGGTAGTCACTGTCTCTTCATAGGATCTGCCCATCATTCTGCCAAGCTTTTCATACATGCTTCCCAGGCAGCAGATTGCAGCACTAATAATAAAAACGAAATAAATACAATAATAATATTAATTTCTTAACAATTATAATTACACACAAAATAAACAAATGACTAAAATTACTTGTTATTTCCTCCTATCCAATTTAGTTATAATTAAGTCATAACATTAACTAATAATTGTTTCAATTATCTGTTTCGTTGATGATTCAAGAGCACAGAACCTGACAATAATTGAATAATAGAAAGAGTAAGCTTAAGTTTAAGTTTATATAAAAAAGGTTTAATGTGAATTTTAATTATGCTCATTTAGATAATTATAACACCATATCATATAACCATTTCCATCACACACTCAAAAAGGGTCAATCATACTACTACTGTTAACATCAAACAGTTAAAGGGTCACAGCAACAACCCTCTAGGTGGCCCCTGAAAGCACCAGAAGTAATCTGCTGAAGTAGAAAGCCACTCAAAAAAATATATTATATCAGGAACAATGCTAATTGATTTACAAATCCTAGAGGGGGTTAAGGTGCAAATAGCGTCCATGATCAAAAGGAAATTTTGACAAATGGGCTCTTGTCACTAAAAGGTTAAGAACCACAGCTCTTGAAGCTACAAGTTTGCAGAGGTTAATACGCTATAGCACTTGTCATCTAAACATCTCAATAAATATTATCTATGCAGGTGGCATCTATACTTAATAAGGAAAGTGTTTTAAATTAAACAACTCACAGTCTTGTTGGCAAATATGATGGTGAGTCATCTTTCACTTTGATGATATCATTACACTTGTTGACTGTATCAAACAGTAGAAATGTATCGCCAACTGAAAACAGGGTGGCAAGACATCTGGCCAGCAACCGTCGAGCGGGAGCACCCAATGACTCACGCAGAAGATTGAGTAGTTGAGCCACTAATTTCTGCTGACAGCTTTTGATGTCGGACTGTGAAGAAAAGTAATCGAAAATGAAGTAATTGTCAGTTACAACTTGGCAAAATTTATACTATAATGAAAAACACTATGCTATTTCTAAAGCTTTCATATTTTTATTTGATACTAGCCACTGCCTGCTACATTGCCTGTGTCAACATTAGCTTTATAAGAATCTCTCAGGAACCTAATATTTTTTGTATAAAAACTAAACTATGTCTTAATCTAGGTAATAAAGTGTATGTGTGCCAAATCTCATCCAAATCTGATTAGCTGTTTTGCGTGATTGAGTAACAAATATACAAACTTACACATTTTTATTATTAGTATGATTTAAATTAATGTATTGTTATAATCAAAATGTAATGCTATGATCATGAAGAAGTAAAAAGATATTTTACAATATGAATAGTTTCAGAAAACATAAGATTTTATTATACAATTATTATAGGAGTATTACCTTATGTGCAGCCACAAGAACCTTATCAAGGAAACGAAGCCACTCGAATATGAAGTGGGGCTTCTTATCATCAGGAAGCTGCTGCAAGGCAGCTTCATTCAAGGTGAGCGAGTGGGACACCTCCATTGTTCTACATAACATATTTTTTCATTAGACTATAATCAATATAATTATATGTTTGAGTTAGAACTTACAAATTTAAATTCAAGTGCTTAGAAGAATTTAAAATTTTTCTATGGGATGTCAAACAAAAATAATAATTACTTGTCTTATTTATTTACAGTGAATATGATTCTTATATGATTAAATAATTTATGTCATTTGTTATGAAATAGGCATTAGTGAAGATCAGCACAGTTCTTGGGAGCATGTACAAATATTGGTTTAACCATAAGATATTATTATATTGTTAGAGAAAATACAAGTTTCCTATGTCCATGAAAGTCCCAAAATTAATATAATTAACTTTGCAGCCCAAAACACTGCTTATAATTACTGAAGTTAGAACAACCTTGTATAAACTGGAATGTTGATAGAATATCAAGGTGAATAAAGCAGCATCCCAGTATATTCCATATCCTGTAATACATAAAATGGAATGGTCTGAGGCTAGTTTGTTTATTATTTATGTCATCAACAGATAAATCAGCCTGTAGGTTAACATAAATAATTATGTTTAAAACTTATTAACAAACGAACAGAGAAATAGCTAGACGATAGTGGAATTTAATAAACTACATCCGACAAGTTATGGAATAATTACTAACCGAGAGCTTAGTCGTAATTTGTTATTATATTCACATCACCAATCTATGAAGTATGGACGATACTCTCAATAATTTTCTAAACGACCAATCAAAACATCAAATGAAAATCACAAAGTTTAATTACAGTCCAGTCTTTTATCGCTAACTGTGTGGTGGAATACACTGTATTAACCTGAGAGCGTCAGAAATCTGAAACTGGCTGACTAAACTGAACCAAAATCAAACTGAAAGAACATTCATGCTAAAAATGTAAGTAATCTGGAACAATAGAAATTTGACAGCAGTCTTTCCTTTTTATTTCTATAAGACAAGACAAGGATAAACTATAGTCAGATGTGGTCGAAGGCTATGATACAATGCCAGACTAAGAGAATTAACCCCTGCCCACAGAATACAGATTTCCACGCACCAGATGACATTGACAACCTTTTGACATTAATCAAATTTTGAAACCAATGGATACTAAATTCATACAGCCCGAGATTCATTTACACAGTCAAATTCTTGCTGGTTTATGACAACAATTAAGATACAAAAAATCGTTAATCTTAAAGTAAGATTTATATCTGTAGTAATAGGATAGCTATTGGTGTCGATTCTGGCGTGATTCTCTAAACTTAAAACTAAATTTAACATCAATCTCTCCTCTTCATTCCGTATAGAGAATGAAAAGGATACGCTGTCGTCAAATTTAAGTTTAGGTTTAGAGAATCGTGTCAGAATTGACACCATTATCTTGATAAGCGGTCGCTAGTAAAAACGGTCCTGAGTGAGAAAGCACCCAACGGTAGTGTGTCCCTTTCTAACGTCTTGCCAGCACAATTTATCATTGGGTATGGTAGAAATGGTAGAAAATGTCATCCTTTTCTATTTGTGATTTACTGATTAATTACCGATACGAACGATCCGTAAACTATGAAACGTATTTAAACATTTCTACAGTATAAATAATAAAATAATAGGCTAGTTGACCCTTTTTTGAAAAAGGTTTTAAATGGTTAATAAATGTTCTATTAGACCGAAAAAAATGTATAGTATTTTTTGAGACCTAGAAAGCTACAAATATTTAATTTTAAAATAGACTTTTCATGGACATACAAAAACGCTGTCGGCCATTTTAGTCTATAGATTATCTATGCTATGACGTCGACGGTAGTAAACAAAAACTCGTAAGCAAGTAGAAGATAACCTATCTGAGTTTATAATAAAAAAAAACATGATTTCTAATAGATACCACGAAAAATATGGTAATTATCGTATTGTACGAGAAATAAAAACACATCATTGAAGACTCCAGGAAAGTTGTGGAGTGCCGAAAGAAATTAACCTACGCAATACCTGGTTAGAACTTGCTAAAAGTGATCCTGCAACTTTATCGAATCATAGTGAAATTTATTTTTGCGAAGATCACTTTGATGTAAGTACTCATTGAATAATATTATAAGTCTCTTCATTTATTATCAGTTTTAATAATACAAGTTTTAAAGTTATGTATGAATGACATTTAGTTGTTTACTAAAAGACACGTCACAATCATGGCGGATGTGGCGAACAGCGTTTTTAGTGTTTAAAAAGGATAGACTAAAAATTATTTTTTAAAATTAAACTTCTACGGCAATCTTCTGCTTTATGAAGTGAAATCGATATATTTAGGTTCCTTAGACCAAATACTTTAAGAAATAAAAATTTATGTAATACAATTCGACATGAGTCAACTAGCCTATTATTGATATTTTTAAAATAAATCTAAATACAGAGTAAAAGTACTATTTAAATGGTTGAGCCTGGTAATACTGAATTTAAGATGGTGATTTGTTCACATAATCGTTAAATTGATTTACCCGCTTTGATTTGAAATATTGTAAATTTGCTTATAAAGTGTATTTTTTTTAAATGGTGAACTCGTGTTGTGTAACAGGTTGTTACAATGAATCTTATCCCAGTAGCCCTTTTTCTTTTCACGGGTAAGTAAAACTTACAATCATATTCATTAGGTGAACCATGAATTTTGGAGGTTGATGAGTTTTTGAAGTGAAACTTCTTTATCGGCGTTGGAAAAAAATTTACCGTCACATTTTTCGGTTACGCGTCACATTTTTTGGTTACGCGCCATCTTTTGACGTGACAACGTCTTAAATTAGGTTGCGGCTGGGAGTCACTTATGAAAAAGTGTAACGCTCGGTAACGTTACGATGAGTCTCTCGTGTTAAGTTTAAGTTTACATGTACAATGTTTTAGTAAACAAAATATATTTCTATAGTTAAAATTTGTGCAATTCTTATTTTCATTCAATTCCTTGTTCCTATTGTGCAATTTAATTATATTCATATCAATAAATATTCTACCGAGAAAAAGACGTTGTCACGTAAAATCTTCGCCCGTAAAACCGACTTTACAGGCAACCATTTTTTTTTTGGTAATAACAACGACGATGAACATTGAAATGAAATGGAATGGAATGGAATTAAATGGAATGAAATGGAATGAAATGGAATGAAATGGAATGAAATGGAATGAAATGGAATGAAATGGAATGAAATGGAATGAAATGGAATGAAATGGAATGAAATGGAATGAAATGGAATGAAATGGAATGAAATGGAATGAAATGGAATGAAATGGAATGAAATGGAATGAAATGAATTGAAATGAAAAGAAATGAAATGAAATCTTGTTTGTATTCATGTCTATGATAATAAAATCCTTTTGTTTAAACTTTATCTAATTTAACTTTATTTAACCAATTTCTGGAAAGTTGCATGTACATCATTTTTCGAAAAATAAGGCCAAAAGAAGTTTCACTTCTTACGTGTGTACACTAGTACACGCACACATTTTTTTTTTTCTTAACATGAGTTGTGTGATTTTAATGAATCAGTTTAATTCAATTCAATACTTCCTTGTTTTGTAGGTATTATTAGAGCGTTTTCTTCAAGTCTGTCTTTTTTGTTTTTATTTTCACTTATCATCACTTACTTACATGTTTAGACAGTAGCAGATACTAAACACAATCCTCTTTACAAGCTATAATAACAAATACTAATAACAAATTTTGTCCCGCGTTATGCTTGAATATGGTCACCTCATTAGAAAAGAACACACTACCATTGGAAGCCCTCTCGCCCGGACCGTTTTTCACGCGATGGTGCACAGTCTAGGTATTATATAAGGTATTTGGTTTTGAACTATACATTTATGTTTTACTCTGTAACTTTAGTACTAGATTTTTTTTCTTTTGAACCACAGCTGGAAATAAAATGTAAACTCAAAACTTAGAAAGACTCAAAACAACTTGTGCTCCTATTAGTCTGTGCACAAAACAAAAAGGTGCTGTCATTTCATTTTACTGGTTGTTGGATTGGATCTTAGTTGGTGGATTGGAATCGTGCTTTTGGCGAGCCGTTAATTTATTAATATCTCTCTCACAGTACAATAATTAGAAAGACGAGGAATCGAAACAGTAATTTACATAAAATACTACAAGAATTTTAGTCCCAGAGACTACAATGATTATAAGTTTACGCGCAAGCCGCATCTAACGCGGACGAATAGAAGGGTGCCAACTTTGTGAACGTGAAGCTAAATCAATGATTAACATGAGTTCACAGCAGAGCCCGGCAAATATTCAAGCCGTCGTCGACAGAGAGAAAATATACACGTGGATTTTGGAGTTATGCAATCCAGAAACTAGAGAAAATGCTCTTCTTGAGCTTAGTAAGAAACGTGAGGTTGTTCCAGATTTAGCTCCTATGTTATGGCATAGCTTCGGAACCATAGCCGCTTTGTTGCAAGAGATCACAAACATATACGTGGCGATGATACCACCGACATTAACTGCTCACCAAAGTAACCGTGTTTGCAATGCGTTGGCGCTGATGCAATGTGTGGCCTCGCATCCTGAAACGAGATCTGCATTCCTCCAAGCCCACGTGCCTTTATTTCTTTATCCGTTCCTCCACACTGTATCTAAAACTCGCCCTTTTGAATACTTAAGGCTTACCAGCTTGGGAGTAATTGGTGCTTTGGTAAAAACTGATGAACAGGAAGTAATTACTTTTCTCTTAACTACAGAGATCATACCCTTATGCTTGCGTATTATGGAGAACGGATCTGAATTGTCCAAGACCGTAGCTACATTCATTTTACAGAAGATCTTGTTAGACGACAGTGGGCTGTGTTACATATGTCAGACGTACGATAGGTTTTCCCATGTGGCAATGATTTTGGGGAAGATGGTGCTGTCCCTTGCGAAAGACCCGTCTGCACGTCTTTTGAAACATGTAGTTCGCTGTTACTTACGTCTCTCGGACAATCCTAGAGCCAGAGCTGCTTTGCGGCAATGTCTTCCTGACCAGTTACGTGATGCAACTTTCACTGAATGTCTGCAAGAAGATAACTCTACCAAACACTGGTTAGCTCAGCTCATCAAGAATTTGGAAGCCCAACCGCCACCTGCTAGTCCTGCCCAACAGAACATGTGAGCGTTGCTCATGCTAAGGCCCACTTTGAATGACATACAATGAGTAGTGTGTGAATAATTTTGCTGTTCTTACTAATGTTATATACTTAATCTTCATTCTATTCTAATTCTTAATGGTTTTTGTTTATTAAAGAAATTGTAGTTATTTTATTATTATTAATATATAAAGTTAACATTGTGTTCCTAATTGTAGGAGGCAATAATTGTTACTTTAATTTTAGTTCTAATGTGGAAAATTCAGTGTCATATCTACCATCTGTAATTATATCTTAGTGGGCATTAGTTTGTCAATATGTAATGCACCATATCTTGTAAAATGAAGTTGACATTTTGCTATTGTGTAAGATAATGAAATTTTAACAATTTGGACTCGCATTATATATGTTGTATTATTTTTAGGTACGCATCAAGATGAAAAGCACTAGTTTTGTAAGCAAGATATAGTGGACTGGACTAGGAATAAAAATTTTCATAATTTGGCAATTTTATTGTTTTTTTCTGTACTTAGGTGCCAGAATCAACCTACATTGACCCATTTCAGATTTAGTAATTGTGTGCACACATTTTAACATTTGAAAAAAAAAAACTTGGTAAAGTGGGTATTGCTGTTTTTGCAAGTTAGCCTGCTACAGCTATCTGTGTGTTTTTTATAACTTAAATCTAAATACAAAGATGTCTTTAGTTAAAGTAAATATAATTAGAAATGAATAAAGTCTAGTCTCTATTATTAGTGCAGATGCTCTATTATTAGCCATTGGGCTAGTATTTTTATTGATATAAAAATATAAAAACAAGGTGTACTTAAAAATATACCTTTTGAAAAACATGGTGTTCAAACTTAACCAAATGAAAAGTATTCTACCAACTTGTTTAATAATATAAGCGCAAGTGCGAACTATTTCGCCCTCCTGTGAACTATGTAGAAGCAAAATAAGATTTTCATTTATGTTCTTTAAAAACAAATTTTTGCTTAATAAAGGCACCATAATTTTACCAGAAGATTAATTTAAATTTAAATGAAACTATATTTGACAACCTCAGTGACACATTGCGCTTGTGACTGAGGTTAATGGGCTGTGCATTGACCCACCACATGACGATGAGTGGAATCCAATTAGAAGATAATACCCTACCTTGTGGGCTGTGGGACCCCCTGGTTTACAAGTTGCTATTCATCATATTGTTCGAAAAATGGAATATAGAAAAGAAAGCCTTTCTAAACTTTTAATCCATACTGTATACGCCAATAAAGCTGCGCCTCCACCAAGCGTCCTGGCCCCTTGGGGCACGAAGTTGAAAAGTTTTCGCCCACAATCCCCCTAATGCGCGTCGGGAGTGCAGGTGATGTTGCGGCACCCTCATATGCTGGCCGCGCACAAGCAAGGTGATTGTCCGTTTCCGGACTCCCCCCCCAGATGTGCGGTGTCCCAAAGGCCCTGGGGTTGGGCTAGAGTCGAGTGGAGGAGTCCCACATAATCCTGTCGTTTTACCCAGTAAGTGGTGCAGTATAAAGGTGTTTTTTGGCAATTCCAAAGGTAAATTTTTGCAATAAAAAAGGTAATAGAATTGTTAACTTTGCAGGGCCACGTATCAGCTTAGGGCTAACGGCTGTTTTTTTTAACGGACACCAGGCCAATGTGTTAATTATGGTCTTATCCGATACGGTGTACAGTAAAACAGCTGTAGTCGTATAACAGGCCTCATAACTATCTTATTTGATACTGTGGGTAGGTAAAAATAAACTTAGGGACTGAGGCGTAAACTGGAGGCGCTGTTGCGCACAGAAGTCCCGTGTTCCATATATTTCTCTAAATGTAGCTTTTGATGATGATGTTTATCGAAAATATGTTTCGATGTCACAAGGAAACCTGACGTGTAATTTTTTTTCATCCACATATTATTGTTTGTTGGCCCTCTAAGGATATATGTCTCGTTTCTGCCGGTTGTTTGAATTGCATTGCAATACGTTTTACTTCGTCCGAATTTGATGAAATAAATCCGTTCTGCTCGCATTGGAGCGCCTGTCTGGGGAAGTAATCTCCACCTTATAGAAGACCACAGTAAAATAACATTACCTTTTGGTGGTGTGGCGTTTTTGTCGGGTAGGAGAAGAGTTACCTACATTAAAAATTTGATATAATTTTTCTTATGACAAAAAAGTTAAAATTTTGTTCATCAGTGTAATTTATCCGTGGTCCATCTAGGTGAACACCAAGGGTTAGGACAAGTCTTCGGAGTCCACTCAGGTGAACTTGTTAGGTTAGGGTAAAAAAGCCGGCCAAAATCGGTTGGACTCGCGCACCGTGGGTTCCGTACAAACTCAATTTAATACCTCTACGCGTTCATGAGAAAAGAGGTCTTGACAGACGGACGGACGGACAACAAAGTGATCCTATAAGGGCTCCGTTTTTTCCTTTTGAGGTACGGAACCCTAAAAACGGTAGGTACGAAAGTATAATTTTAATTTGACTCTAATAAAGTTATTTTTTTAACAGTAGGTAATTAATTATGGGTCAGTTTCTTAGATTAAAACAAAAACCCTTTTTGTTTTAATCTAAGGTTAGTTTGTATTTAAATCATTATTTTGACTTTGTTTGCTTTATTTCACAAATCATTCAGGAAACCTAGTTAATCACAAATAAAATAATAATAAATAAAAATCCAATAAATACTTATCCCACTGGTAGCGATAAATAGAAAAATATAATTATCCAATTATCGCTACCTGTGCAGATCTAGGGATATGTGGAATATAAAGTTTCATATAACCCAACTGGCAGCGATATGTATGTCGTAGAGATACTAGTGGAGACAAGGGCGGATCCAGCTTTGGCGCCAGGGGGGGGTTATATAGCCAGCTTTGGTGCCAGGGGGGGGTCATATAGTCGTGGTATATTAAATATTGAAAGTACTTAAATAAAATCCCCCTGGGTTTGGTCCATCCCACCCAGCCCAGGGGGGGGGGGGGTCGTGACCCCCTGGACCCCCTCCCCTGGATCCGCCCTTGAGTGGAGATATGTCATTAGGGATATATGGAACTGGGGCAGATTTTTGATACTTAAGTGAAGCATTTACATTTGTGGTAGGTAAATGCTCTAAGAGTTTTCCTAATAATGCTGTGCCCATAAAGAAAGCGTGCACTGCGAAAATAAATACTTGCGAAGAAAATTCGCCAATCTGTGAACAACTTGTTGTCTTAGAGCATATACCAGTGCTCTAAGCTTGTTGTAGAACAAAAATAATTTAGTACTGTACATTGAGGTTATTATCGGACAGCGGCTTCTTGTTCGCTCCAATTAGAGCTCCCGCCTATGTAGGCACCGTCCATTTCAACTTACTTATGAGCCTTTAAATCTATATTCGTATTTATTACCAGCCGTGTCCCGCGGTTTCACCCGCGTTTACAATCATCAACAAATATATTTCGAAAAAGATTATTACAGGATTTTATGTTGATAAAAAACTCTATGGCCCATAACTCATTAATGGGTACCAACTCTTAACATCTTACACACGTGATAACTTTAAACGAAATATCCGATTGAGATGAAACAAAAAGTATTTTACTTCTACATAAATACTCTTGATAACATAATGCCTTATTTCGTATAGTATTTAGTATTCTTTTATATTCATAAAGATTAATATTACAATACATATTTAACGTAGTTTTTTTTTCTTCAGGCGATTTAATAATTATTTTGAACACAAAATCGGTTATTGTGATTAAACCATGATAGCTAGATATATGTTCTCGCGGATTTTTTTGTAGGTCTTAATGGGATCTACAAACCCGTAGTACATCATTTTGTTCTATTGTCAATAGTTTTTGCAGCGTACGCAAAAATAGGTTTTCGATTTTACACCTTGTGTTACAAAATAGCAATTCTATTACGGATCCCTAATTTTGAAAGCAACCTATGTTACCTTTCTGGTTGCCAGAGCTCCACGGTGTAGGGGATGTGGTTTGATCGTTCATGTAAAGGATGGGTATCGCTAATGGCAGCAAAAGCAGTAGACTAAACAAGTGACCAAAAGTGTATATTTCCTATTAACAAAGCTACGTTTTACTTTTGACGTGACAACGTCTTAAATTAGGTTGCGGCTGGGAGTCACTTATGAAAAAGTGTAACGCTCGGTAACGTTACGATGAGTCTCTCGTGTTAAGTTTAAGTTTACATGTACAATGTTTTAGTAAACAAAATATATTTCTATAGTTAAAATTTGTGCAATTCTTATTTTCATTCAATTCCTTGTTCCTATTGTGCAATTTAATTATATTCATATCAATAAATATTCTACCGAGAAAAAGACGTTGTCACGTAAAATCTTCGCCCGTAAAACCGACTTTACAGGCAACCATTTTTTTTTTATTTACTTGATACATATCAAATGTTAAGTTGTACTTTACAGAACGTTGTGTTCCGTGTGGTACTGAAATGTGATTTATTTATTAAATATTAGATAAACTTCAAATTTAACTTTATCGTTCAAGTCAATACAAAGATTGCCACTACTGCTAAGCCCCTACAGTAAGACAACCCAGGGCCACCCCTTACTTATTTTCTGATGGATGAAGGATAATCAAGTAGGTAGAGTTTTAATGTTAAAAGGGTGGTACGGTATGGTACTACAAGTACTTTAGTAATAATACTATTAATAATAATCAGTCCAGCTCCAGACTGACAGAACAAGTTAGCGGTTACGTATACTATACATTCATTTAAATAGATACTATTTGCAGAGGTCGAGCATATCGGATTTTGCCTCCGCTCGAATTGGAACGTCCGTCTTGGGAAGTAACCTTCACCTTACAGAAGATCACAGTAAAATAATACTACATTTTGGTGGTATTGTGTTTCTGTCGGTGAGTAACGTCCAGGGTTCCACGGGGTAGGAGAATCCCTTGAACCTTACTGGTTGAGGTTGAGTCAGGGGAGGCAACAGTCCGCGGGAGGGAAGAACTAGCCCCGCATTATAAATGGCTTCCCATCGAGAGAGGGGCATACTATCCAGGCCAGTCTGTCTGAGGATGCCCCCAGAGAGAGACAGACGGATTCCTCAATACGAGTTGAGTCCAGAACGTCCCGCGGTTCGTGCCAACGCACACGGGAGTTAGTGCAAAGAGGAGGGTCCGAGAGGGCGCTTTCACGGTTGGGGTTTGGGGCAAAGGCATGCTGACACCCTTCCCCCATCGTGTGAAGATGGAACCGCAGGAGGTGTTTTTAGTGGGTAGTCGCGGCGCGGCGTGATGTATGCCCCGTGGAGTCCCACATACCCCCACGGCAGGGCACGGTCGTGGGAAGTGCGTAAACGCATTTTCACCTTCCCCAAAAAAACAAACAAAAAAAAGGGGAGGCAACAGTAAGAGTGATATTTTTGTATCGCAGCGTCTATAGGATATTGGGTCTCATAAGAAGGTGTAAGGTCGCACAGCGGGGAAAAAGAGAGAGCGATGCTTGGTATTTCCATGCGTGATAGAATCAGAAATGAGGAAATCCGCAGGAGTACTAAAGTACCAGGCATCGCTTGAAGAAATGCTCACTTGAAGTGGCAGTGGGGGGGTTGGGGGACGTAGCGAGGAGAACCGATGTTCGTTGGGGCGGAAAATAGCGACCACGCACCGGACGACGCTTGGTGGGCAGGCCCCCACCAGGGGGCCATTCAATTCAATTCAATTAAATTCAATTCAATTCAATTCATCAGAGCATTTGTACTCCAGTCATGGATGTTTAATATGTATTTCTATATAAATATACTTATAAATGTACAGTATATGTATTCTATACGTTACCCATGCATCCCATAACACAAGCCTTACAGTGCTTACTTTGGGGCTAGGCTAATTGGTGTGAGTGTTGGAAATATTTATTATTATTATTTATTATTTTGGAAAATGCTAACGCTTTCGATTACATTTTGTTTAATTTCTGACCGCCGAAGGTTTTCAAATACCTCACGCTCATTTTCTTTAATATTGTTATTACCTATGCAAAAGAAATAATACCAATGCAAAAGAAATAATAGAGCGCGAGACATTTGAAAACCTTAGGCGGCTAGAAATAACAAAATGAAATCGTAAGCGTTAGCGTTTTCCAAAGCATTTCCGTTAGGCGAATGGCCCCCAGGTCCCCGGCTAGTCGGGAGGCTGTTGGGCGCGGAGATGCGGTTAAGTCCCACAACGGGGATCTCGCGGTTCCATACTTAACAGCGTAGAGGGTATTCACAGGGTTTTTTAGCGGATAGTATGTCGTGAGCGCTCGTAAGCCGCAGAGACTGCCTAACGGCTTCTCCATTTCACACCTGTAAGACTTGCGAGAGGCTAGGTGTGAGTTCCGTTCGTTGGTGTGCCCCTTAAGGGCGCCAACGTCTGTAAATAGAGGTTTTGCCTGCGTAAAAAAGGGCCCCCACCAGGTGGACCGACCAACGATCTGGTCAAAGTCGCGGGAAGCCGATGGATGCGCGTGGCACAAGACCGATCGATGTGGAGATCCTTGGGGGAGACCTATGCTCAGCTCAGCAGTGGGCGTCGTACGGCTGCGATGATGATGATGAAGCGTCTATTTGCTATGGTGACCGCTTACCATCAGACGGGCCATACGCTTGTTTGCCATCCTTTAAACATAAAAAGGAACTAATTGTATCATAAAAGTCTAACAGGATTAATAAAATATGTTTTAATGGCTTTTTAAAGGTATATTATTGATTGCAACCTATACATAGGCTAACCGTTTAGTCTTGTTTAGTCTACTGAGCAAGTAATCTTTTAGTTTAGTCTAGCTAGAAAGAGAGTCGGCCGGCAGACAGTGAAACTGAGAGTGACGCAGTATACTACCGATCATTCAAACCGTTGGTTTTGAATGTTACGACCATAGGCTTGGTTTCTTTTCTTCCGCTTTTCTCTGTAGTTTTACATTCTGCATAGAAATTAAAATAAGGAGTGCAAGTATGCTAAAAGAGGGGTTAAAAGTCAGGCCCTCTAGTAGGACCTTTCGACACAGCCCATCTTCTAACACCTGTAGTGTTGGGATTTGCCAGAAAAGGAGCATTTGCTGCTTTGTCGTTCATCTTTCCATTCATTGTATCTTTAGTAATACTAGTTTGAACATCGATGTCATAAACAAGTTTAAAGTTACTAGATCTGTTAATAAAGTTCTTGTTTTCCAGTTGAATTCCGCAATTTGTCATACTGACACACCGAGCTGAAGCTTTGTCCAAAGTAGGCCGATGCTTAAAATTCAGAGTTTGGGTTTCTTTAGCGCTCGACAAAATCTTTTTTCGCTTTTGACCACAAGTGCATTTGTTTTCTCTTGTTCTTACTACCGTAACACAGTCATTGTCACATTTTAGTGGTCCAGTGTGTATCGTATTCAACGCTACATCAACAGACTTCTTTTTAAGTAACGTCTCGTTAGATTTGAATTTGTTAATTATGATTTTATTTCTGTATTCATTTGTTCTTGGTATTACTTTATTTATTACCTTCCTTTTATCTACAATTATAGAACTGGTTGGTTTATCTTTGTATCTGTTGATAATAGCTGGAGAAACGTAATTTGTGGTGTTACGATTATTTATTTTGAATTCATTTTTATACGATTTTGCCGATGTCTTCTCACATATTTCTTCGCAAAGTTTCTGGGCTATTGAAGGCATTAGTGTCCAATTATGCAATTTTATATAGTTGCAGTAGGATTATGTGTTCTACTAACATTTTCCTTGATTCAGACTTATTTGGCAAGCAGAGACTATATTTAATTTAAGTAAATATCATAAGATCTTATTGATTCCATTATATTACTAAGTGGAGCTTTCATTAAATTATTAAAAAGTTCCTAAAAATATTGTAGGGTTTGAAATACATTCTGATAGAACAGGAGTATGATTCAAAAATAACGAGTATTTGACTGATTGTGGCAACAGTTGTGATGAGATTATGATATTATTGGAGAGATTATAATAAGAAAGGCATATCACAGCGTGTTGACTGTTTGAACGCAATAATCAGCCTCCCCATTTGGAGAATTTAAAAATAGACATGGGCGTTTTTGGTTTTGAACGCAAATGGATATATATCGGTTTTCAGATTTCAAAATCCGTTTTTAGGTATCCGATTTCAGATGTGCCTAACTTAGCCAATTCACTAGTTTGTGTTAAGATTTGGTTGTATTAGCTAACGACAATCACAAAAAATTAATTGTAGGAAGCAAGGATACTCGTAAATTTGCGCGATTTTCTTTCATGCTTTAAATCTAGGCTTAGGACTAGCAGAAAAGTTATGTTTACGGTTAAGAGTAAAACTTTTCCGGCGCATTTAAAAATCGGCTTTTATACAATGATTTCTTTTTACATATTTTTTTAGTATTTTTATTTGTTTTTTTTTCTGTTTGTTTTTATTATTTTTCAAACCATTTACAAAATCAAACCTAGATACTTCAGGTTAGCGTTCAAAAATGTAAGTTGCTCGACTTTTGATGTTTTTAGACGACACCTCTTTTCAATGATAAATAATCCCGCCTTAAAGAAAAGCAATAGATTTCCGTAAACAACAAACCAAAATCGGACATTCGAAATTCGCGCCATCTTTTTTACTCCGATTTGTTACGATTGGTAAGAAAGAGACAAAGCGAATTTTACTGACGTTCGAAATTGTGAAGAAATTCACGAATCCGATTTACATTTGGATAATTGTGGTGGTAGTATTAGATCGCTAGCGATTTGGTTCGGTTAGATTTTTGATTGGATTTTCTTGCTGAGAAATCGTTCTGTATCGATTTGTGTTTAAAATCGAATTTTGGATTCGTTTTGATATATCGGACGCATGCCTATTTAGAAAAACAACTGTCAAAAACAGCTGATCTGTGCAGCTGTCTGTTTGTTAAACATTTCATTAAATTGATCAATTTCTGAATCATGACGGTTAATAAGTAATTAAATTCACATCATTTTATAAGATTTGGCAAAATGTGGATTTTTGGCTACGGATCTCTGGTATGGAAAGTCGATTTCACCTACGAGTTGAAAGTTGTAGGTTATATTACTGGTTACCTCAGAAGATTCTATCAGCACAGCATAGATCACCGAGGAGTGCCCGAAAAAGTGAGTTACTTACACTCAGCATTACTAAAAGTACTTAGTTAATATTTCTGGATTCAAATTGTTATTGGCTCAAAATAGCTACCCATACTTATAAAGAGTATCTACATGGTAGCTATAAATTGCAAATACTCTAAGCCCAATGCCGCAGCTGGAAGTGGAATTATGGGGAATGCCTTATCTTATAATACCATTGCCCTATCTTAAAAAAAAGGCGGCAGGCTGCAAAGGGCGGCACGGCACGCCCCTGCTTATGTCCTAAGATAGGGCAACAGTAGGTAATTACAGATTTACTGCTGCCCTATCTTAAATATAGCTCTCTCTACAACCCTGTATAAGCCTATTTATAAAATTGTAGGTTTGTATGTTGACTGTTTACAGTTAAATGCTTAAAAAATAATATATTTCTTTAATTTGCATTGTTTGTCGTAATTTCAGCCTGGTCGTGTTGTGACATTGATTCCAAGTGATGACACAACAAGTAAAGTATGGGGTGTTGCTTACAAGATAGGTGAAAATGATATAGACGAGGTTACAAAGCATTTGGACTTCAGAGAAAAAAATGGATATTCCAAAAAAACTGTAACATTCCATCCCGATGACCAAACAAAAACACCATTTAATCTTACTATTTATATAGCAACAGAGGAAAATCAATCATTTGCTGGTAAGATTTATTATAATTATTTAGCAGTGCTAACTGGAAATTCAGCAAAATAAACCAGCTATTTTTTTACATTCAGTTAATAAAGAACTACGTATTTATTCATGCATCCATAGACTGCTAACTCTCCATAGTCTTCTTACCAGAAGCAGTATTCCTTTTCTAGAAATATGATTCATTCCGCCTGATTAGGCTTAGGCTTGGTTTACCTGCTGCTGTCTCTGTCTTCTCTTTAGCTTACAAATGTGACAATATCAGGTTTAAACCAGGCCTGCAGCCTAACTATTAATTATAAATCAATGTTTTGTTATAGGGGATATTGTGTTTTAGTTTGATTATGTATATGTTATTAATATATTACAAGACCTAACAGAAAACCACAGTAAAATACCAGTACCTTTGGGTGGTGTTGTGAGTAGGGTTTCAGGGCTCCATGTGACAGGGAATTCGGTTCAGGCTGGCAAGGTGAATGGTTGGAGCGGCACACTTTCTTCGGCGGCACCTTCACAACAGAACTCCACCTACACTTAGTTAGTTTCACCACACTTAACATCAAGTGGGGTGGGGTAATTTGCTGCACCTAATATAAAACAAATATATTACTACAAAAATATAATAATTATCATATGCTATCAAGGGCTTGTAATGTTTTTTATAATATCTACCATCTAGGCTATATGTTCACTAAACTATTTTCTAATTTAGTAATTTATTCTTTTTTAATTTCAGGTCCAGCATCTATAGAAGATATAGCAAAGCAAGTTGTTAGTTGTCAGGGCCCTAGTGGCCCAAATAAGGAGTATGTTTACAACCTTGCCAAAGCAATGAGACAGTTGGCGCCGCATATAAATGATGAACATTTATTTGCTTTAGAAGCTGCATTAAAGAAATTAGATCCTGATGATTTGAAACACAGTTAACACTAAACACTCAAATCACTATTAAAGGTTGCTCTAAAAGTAATTTAGTTACCATCAATTTACTATAATTTTTATTGTGATATTTGTAATAGAAAATAATAAGTTATAGTAAATTTATGGTAATTGTATGCTGCAAATTCATATTATAATACTAATGAATTTTATTTGAATATAATATAAGTAGCATTTTTTTGTGATTTAAAATACAATGAAAAATGTTTAAAGATTAAATAATGAGGCCTAAATTCCTAAATAAATCTATTAAGTATAGGTTAAAAAGAATCCTGTTTTCTACACGGGGCACTCATCTAAATAAAGTGCACAAAGTAAATAGGCTTTCTCGTTTTGTATTACTTTGTACAAAAATGTATTTCTCAGTAAAATGTTGATGTATGGATGAATTATTATGCTGTACAAAAAATTTTATCACTGTCATCACTGAACTGAGTGGACCTTGACGATGATGAAAACAATAAAAAGAAATCATGGAAGTAAACAGTTTATTCCATTTACAATGATATTTTAATGCCCACTTTTAGTAAGTTTGCTAAATCTCGATTCAACTAAAACTATATATATACTAGCTGACCCAGCGAACTTCGTACCGCCCTAAAAAAGTAGGGGTTGTCCAGCGGACAAAATTGTGAATCTAAACCATTCTCAGATCCCCTTGAACACACACAAAAAATTTCATCAAAATCGGTCCAGTCGTTTAAGAGAAGTTCAGTGACATACACACTCACAGAAGAATTATATATATAAAGATATACATCATATAACCCATATTTAATCGAGATTTAGCATATTTGCTGCAAGAGTGCCTTAAAATGTACTTACTGAATAAAATTTTGCAGTTTATAATGTAGGATTGTAGGCACTTTGATATGGAGGGATAAGCAGATTTTATTATAAAGCCTATTGTTTAGATAGGCATGCACTTTGTTCAATTAATCTACTGATTTTGCATTCTTTAATTATTATACTAAGAAACTCAATAGCGCAGTGGTCGGTCATAGGATGGGTGACCAAAAATATACTATCACGTGCTCCTCCGTGCTTTGGAAGGCACGTTAAGCCGTTGTTTCCGGCTGCATCTACAGTCATTAGGACCCACCAATCCGCACTGGGCCCATGTGGTGGGTCATGACCTAATCTTCCTATTCCATCCATAGAAGAGACCTGTGCCCCAGCAGTGGGGACATTATTAGGCTGTTGATGAAATGCTATTATTAATATATGTAATATATCATGGAAGTAAACAGTTTATTCCAATTACAATGATATTTAATACCCACTTAGTTTTGCTAACACTATATATTATATTATATAACTCTGCTGGAATGGAATGCTCTGCCCGCTCACGTGTTCCCTCCCTCTTACAACCTCGGGTCCTTTATAAGAGGCGTGAAGAAGCAACATGCAGACGGGCAGGGTGAGGATGGCTGGTGTGGCAGGTAGAACTGCTGTATCAGCTATCTTCGCGTCTGGACTTCACCGTCACTTAACATCAGGTGGGGTGGAGTCATTTGTCGAACCTATCTATAAAAAATATGTATATATATATTTATTTACTCCAGCGTTAGGTAGATACTCATAGAATCAGATTGATTCTGATTCTATGAGATATTCAGATCTAGTAACCCAAAAGTGTAATAGAATTTAAACTGATTTTGTGCTTAATCTTGCTTTTTATAAGATTCATAACTGAATGAGAAAGTTTTACCGTTTGTGGTATACTTGATATGTAAATGTCTCTATCGTAAATAATATATATTATATATTACCTGAGGATCAAGCACAAATTCTGACAGCTCCGTTTGCATCGCCAAAGTTTCTGTGAAAAATAAGCAGACCCTTACCGGAAGTAAGATCAAACTTACTCCTTCCATTCAAAATTTTACGTAAACGATACGATTACGGAGCTGTCAAAATTCGTGCCTGGGCCTCTGGCCAGTTATTATAATAAGTTTTATAGCTATTAATTTATAATCAAATTAATATTCTTTGATAAAAAAAGACACATGAATCTAAGTTACTGCTGACAAAGGAGATTGCTCAGCTTCAATACATGTTTGGCCTAAAGACCAATAATCATGAAAAATTGTTTCCTAGATTCGAAATTATATATAAATTACTGTAGAAACGAATATTATTACCGGACACCCCTGAGAACTTCTATAAACCATATACACTGAACATATTAAAATAATAAAAAACAAATAAGTTATATAGTAAACTAGGGAAATCAAGCCAAATACCGAAATTATGGATTAGATTCAGGTATATAGAGCATGTAGATTAACAGATAGTTGCCTGTTTTTAAAGTTAATGCTTAAGAGTAACTTATAAAATTAGGTGTCATCTATGCATTTCCGATTAAAATAAGGTACTCTGTGACAGAAACTGTGTGATGATTGTGAATGAGCCACAGATTAAGAGAGAATTTTTAAACTCTCGTTAACCAAAGAAAGCTAAGAGATTTAGGTTCTATAGCCATATATTCAGTAGCTTCATTATTTTTGTTAAGATTTTAAAATAACCATATTTTAGATTTTTAGTGTATCACACCTTATAATTTTATTTATTTATTAATTTATAGTCAGGGAACGTAGGCCCATAGATAGATACCTTATAGCCTAACATATATACAGATTATAATGTGTTTATGGAAGTGTTTGACGAAAAATGTATGGCAATAGACTTTATGATGTCGCCTACCATCTATCATAATTGTCTGAACACATTTGCATCTAGTGAAAATGATAATATAGTTGTGGATATTAATACCACAGTGTAATAAAAAAATGATTTATTTTATCGATGTTTACAAAATAGATTTGTTTTATGTTATATAAACAACTTCGATCAGTCTTTGGCTGAATGTTACTACACCCATAGCCATTAAAAATGATTGGTATGTTTTCGAAACCGGTAAAATTAAAAGCCCTTTTTAAAGTAAATATATTATACAAAGGTGTCCGTTGAAATCTAATGACTGTAAATTAAATTATAAATTACGCCAAGAATTACCGTGTATGTCAATATTTTTTGTGCATTTGGGCCAATTTGAGCAATCTCCTTTGGCATTTATCTCATTTTTGTCTGTATGGGTGCCTTTTTTAAATGGGTTTAATAGGAGTATATTATCTTTTTTATCCCAGTAACTTTAAAAATGACTAAATTATACTAAGTAAATACCCATAACTGGTGTTTATAACTCTAATTTATTACCAATTTAGTGCTGTTATGTTTTTTATTACTTATTTGTAAATTTAAGGAAATTCCATTTTGAATCACAAGTTCTGGAGTGGACATAAAGACTTTTCAAAATACATACATATTTGAATATCCTTTCTTAAATCTAAAGAAAATATAACTAAAATAAATTCCACGCGGACCAGGCAGCAGACGGGACGCGAACCAGCACCCTTCGCTATCCAATTCAATTCAATTTATTGCACATATGTGGGCGAATGCACTGACCAATTATGCTACCGTGGCCCTGATGGCCGCGTCGAAATTGTTCTAGCCATTTTCAAGCTGCAAGGCATCCTTTCTTTTTCGTAATAAGATTTAGAGCGAACACTTGAAACATCTGTGTGATATCGTATTACCTCAGACCAAATGTATTATTACACGGACAAAATAAAAAGTTGACGGATGACATCTCTCTATATTTGATTGAGTATTCATTTATTAGATTTAATTTTTATCTGAGTTTTGAAAAATCGGCCCTTAATCTGATACCTATGCAATTTTAATGGGTGTTGTTTTCTTGTAGAAAGTTAAAGTGAAACTTTTATTACATCGCCAGATTTTATTTCTTTCATCTTAGCATGCATTTTTATTGTTTTAAAGGAAATTCAGACTTTATCAATAAGCATCGGTGGTTTAATGGTAGAAGCTCGCCTCATACAGGGTTGGCGACGGATCGAATCCCAACCGAGGACGGACTTTCTTTTATTAATGTTTAAAAGTTTCATTTGCATAGTAGTTCCATTAAACCACAGCAGTTTTTCCCTGTTTATATATTATATACAGAATTCAATAGGTTCAAGGTTAACCAAAACGCAATATTCAATAAGTATTTTTTATTACCAATTTTGTCTACAAAATTGAAAACGAAAACAGGATGGGTCCTTTCTATTACCTAAGTGTTTACTATCTGTATCAAAATTGCTGCCTCGCTATTAGTTTTTTTACATTAAAATGATTTTGCCTCGCCTATTCCAAAGGTTCTGGGATCAAATTATATGAACTCTTAACACCAGACAATAATAGCAATTAAAGCGGGATGGAGCTCAACAGGTGCGTACGTATCTAACAAAGTAACTTGTCTGGCATTAACAGTTCATTTTACTGTCTCTGGTAGAGGAATATTTTGCGTGAATACACTTTGATGTATCACTAGCTTATCATGGCTACTTCGTGCGCGTTGTAGTTAATATTTTAATCCCATTTTCCTGAGGGATTCTTGAAAAAACACCCGGTTCCATATATTCCTACTGAAATATATCCACTAGTAGAGATACTTGAAATTTTTCCCTATTTATCACTACGGATATATGGAATAGAAAGTTCCATATATCACAACCAGAACCATAAATTGGAAAAAAAAACTCCAAGTATTCCTACTAGTCCGCGATAAATGTATCCTACGGCCCGTATTATAGAAAGATTCTTAGTGATTGATCTAGTCTTGAGCATAGTTAGAAAGGGATGTCGCTATATATAGCACATAGCGACATCCCTTTCTAACTGTACTCAAGTAAAGATCAACACTTAGTTGTCATTCTGTAATACGGGCCTACGTCTCAATCCAGATCATAAACTATATGTATGGTATGCCGCATCAAAATCAGTACAGCCGTTTATTGAGTAACAAACATACAAACTTTCACATTTATAATATTAGTACGATATCCGTTATAAATTGGACTGGAGGACTAAATTAATGTTGTGAGAGAGTTGATCGGAATTAAGATTATTTGCTTAGCCAAAAGTTGAACCTATGACCCTTGACGACGCCATATCTGCGTGCTGCTTACACTGGAGGAAGTTATTAAACTATTATGATAAACTTTCTGTTTATGCGAAACAAATGTTATTTTTAACGATATATTTCGAGTAGGGGATTTGGAAATATATTTCGATTAGCCAATGTTGCTTTTCGGTATTTTTTTCCATAGTTGGTATCGATCAATGTAAAATTAGTACACGTTATTAATAAATAATATTATTTATTTTTTAAAAAAAGGTAACATTTTAAAAATATATGGTATGTCTGTAGCTGTTATACTTTTGACACTTAATTACTTTTTGTACAATCAAACCATTATTTTGATATAATTTATGTATGTACCTTTAACCGCTGAGCGAGTTTCTATAAATATATTTTGAACTTGTCTGAGCTTTATCTAGGCTTCATAGGTATTTTGTATTTTTTTTAAATTGCAGTGAAAGTAGTAAGCTCAGCAATACTTTGGCCTGTTAAAATTAAGCTTCTTTCTGTATAAAGTAGTAAATATTTTTCTAGGTTTAGTTAACTTCAACCAATCAAAGTACATTTAGAATTTGGCAGATAGGGAGTGTCACATGGCACTTACGTTAATCAGTTTACTGATAACCCTCCACTGCAATGTGATAAAAAAATTTGGTTGTTGGTTCTTAATTATTTTTACAGACACAAATAATACAAAAGCGAATTATACCTAAAGAACTATTAAAAACTAAAATTTTAAGCGTTCTACTTGTAGTATCAAAAGATATAAGCACTGACGTCATGTTTCACAATCACCATGTTAACTTATCTTTGGCAGGCTTGTTTGCAGCAATGCAATAACTTTGTCACTTTTCGATGTTTCCTACTTATCCTTTTTCCTGCCAAGAAGTTTGTCCAAGAAACTGCGTTTCCTCTTCACTTTTTTAGCGGTCTTGGTATTAGTTTCTAGTTTGTCACCCTCTTCACTTATTTTATTTATCAGAGCCGGGATGCTCAAGTCCGTTTGTTCTATTGCAATAGGTTTTTTATGAGCAGACTCTCTGCTGATTTGTCTTTGGATAACGGCTAATTCAGGAACACGATCATTTCTTTCTTCTAAGTCAGAGATAGATATTTTTGATTCTTCACTTGAGTTCAAATCTTTTTCAACGTCCTTCGTTTGGACGGATATATTCTCAGGTCCATTTTGGACATGGTTATCAGACTGGTCTTTCTTTTCTTCGGTAACATTATTAGCCTTATTATTTTCCTTATTCTCAAACACATCATCATCACCAGATTTGTTATTTTCTTCTACCTTTTCAGCTGTATCGGTAGCATCTTTATCAATTGCGTCAGCGACACTGGAAGTTGATTTCGGTACGGATGCTACAACTCTGGGTTTAGTCGGTGGCAGCGTCCAGTTGACAGGCTTGCGTTGCGGTGAATATCTCTTTACCAACTCTTCAAAAAGTTTCTGATGGTCTACCTTTGTTGGTGAGTTGCCAGGTAGGCTCTGGTGTTTCGGTCTTAATTCGGGGTCCTCGTTTTCTTTCCCGTCCGTTTTGCTCGTTGAATCGTCGAGGATCACTCTTCGCACCGGTGGCGGCGTCGCATATGGTTCGGCGAATGGGAATTTGAATAAGTTCGGACTCTCGAACTTGTACTTGAGCGCGGTAGTTCTGCCGGTGGGAAGCGAGGCCCGCATGCCGGCCCGTGTGAACGGTTTGTCATCCGGCTCGTGCAGGTTAGACGTTAGAAACTCTCGTCGCATTTTTGATAGGCGTCTGTTACGCTCCAGAGCGCTGTACCTGTAGTCGGCATCGTCGCTCTGGTTCAGCTCCGATGTGAAGTTGTCGGAGTACTTCCGCGGTCGAAAATCATAGTTTCGCTCCTCCGCTCTCGTATCGCGGAAGCTCGACGAGCCGGTAGTGTTCCTCTTGAAGTTGGAAGTGGTCTTGCCGTGGTTGGAGGTGACTATGGGGTCTGCGTCCCTATATGCAGGCACCATGGTGGTGGGCGAGGCCGGCAGGAACACCGTGTCGTGCTTACCGAACACCTCGCGCCGCTGACTGAACGCGTCCAATCCGATTATTTCCCGCGACTTCACACTGGTCGTAGGCGATTTAGTGCCCATTTCCGTTCGATTAGAAACCGCAACACTTTTGTTATTGATACTATTTTCCTGTAAACTTCTGTTATTTCTATTTTTGTACACACATTATGACTTCACCGGTAACATCGCTCGCGAGTATAAAAGAGGTACACGTCTGCAAGTTAAATTGGACAATAGACGTGGTTCGATCGTCCGTAAAAGGCGAACCGTTCGCGATGTATGTTGGGTGATCAATAGAGTGGATGCGATAAGATACGGCCGTCGTGTAGCGAAGTGCTCTGCCTGTTTTCTTTATCTTTCAGCCGAAACAGTTGAGTAAATACTACCGAGTGAACACAATCGTGGTCGTAATTACCGCGGACTGAGTGAAAGCGACGCGCGCGCTGATCGCTCGCCGACTCATTATGTAATGAATATTAAAACAAACGTCCCAAATAAGTACGCTTCAGCTTAGCGCTATAACTGCTAATCACTTATGTTCCATAGACGCTTTTCCTTAAGCAAATATTTATAGAATAGTGTTAATTATCGTAATTATATAGTCATAATAAAACAGTTGAATCGATTCATTTGCTAACTACAAAAACATTATTGTTGCACACTTTAGTAGGTCCACGAAAGCCCAAGGTTACAGACAGAACGTCTGACCGCTAACCTACTTAATGAATCACACAAATTTTATTTTTCTTCGTTGATACTTTAGATATTCGACTAACATTATTTTAATATATAGTAAATTCAATTTAACATTATTATAACAATGTAAGCAAGCCCACATATATCTATATATTTATGTAATTCAGATGTCTCCTTTTACCTATTATAGGAATTACTAGGTACACAAATATAATAAGTTATTTTAACTTTATCTTGTAATAATCTGACAGCTAACATCCAAGTCTTAGTAAAAATATAGATGTTCCTTTACCTATATGTGGCAATAATAACATTTAATAGCAGATAAGATATTGGCTACTTGCAAACAAGTTTACAGTTACATCGATATAGGCAGTGTAAGGTGTTGTTAGTTCCATTCAGAATCGAGTGTGTTAATGGCCTGTTGACCTACTGCACTGTAGGATTATGTTGGTCACATACACAGCTGTGCAGCTAGCAAAAACTTGGTTCCGATTGCGTCGTTGCTCTCGGTTGTGAGCGTTGATTGGTTCGATTGTTTGGTGTCACGTTGTTTAATTGGCTATTATCTATTAGAGCCGGCGACATAGGTTCTCGTACAAACGGTCCTTGATCACCTTTCTATCCTCTTTTTTTTTTGTTCTATGGTTCCAAGGCTCCGCAGGGTAGGGGATTGGTTTCAGGCCGGCAAAGTTAGGATGGCTGAAGCGGTACACCTATCGCATCATCTATATTCGCGACTACACCACTTAGACTTAAGATCAGGTGGAGTGGGGCAATTTTTTGCGCCTCGTATACACTATGCATATAAAAAGAAAATTAGTACTGAGTTCGACTCTTGGTTGGAACATTAGTTGTGTGCTTAGATACGAGTATTTTTTCATTCTGATTTTGGTGACTGACTGGATGTGATATTAAAAAATTTTACTTTTCCAGCATTTTAGTGATTTTCCAAAGAATATTGCAAAATTATCTTATAATAATACATAACAATTCAAACTAGGTACATTTGCTTCCAACAAATATTGTTTACTGTTTATGAACTTCCTGTTTTTATTTATGTACCCATATTATTAATTTATGTATCATCGAATATAGAGACAATTAAACAGATATATAATTTTATTAATTAGGAGGAAAATTTTATGTGCACATACTTATAACTAGAACTATTTACCTCCTATACCGATTGGGTCACTTATTTGTTAGCCCGATAATGGTGTCTATTCTGGCATGATTCTCTACGCCTATCATCATCAGAATTGACACCATTACCTATAACTAGCGGTCGCCTGCGTTGTCTTTAGTTTTTTGTGAAAGAATCCCACAGGAACCTTTGATTTTCCAGGATAAAAGTAACAGGCCATAAACTATGTCCGTAACAAATTTCATTCAGAAGATTTTGCGTGATTCAGTAACAAACATACAAAATTTCACATTTTTATAGTAGTACCTAGGATAAAATGACGTTTTTCTGAAACTTCTGTAAGGCGGTTGCTCAGACGAGCGTACTTATAAATGCGGGCGGGAAGTTCGCATGCTTTACTTATTATTGACGACCTCCGTGACCGAGTGGTTTGTACGCCGGGTTTCATGGTGTCGCTGACTCGAGAGGTCCCGTGTTCGAATCCCGGGGGGGGCAGATGTTTGTGTGATGAATACGAGCATTTGTACTCCAGTCATGGATGTTTAATATGTATTTCATATAAAGATATTTATGTATCAGTATATGTATTCTATCTGTTACCCTAGTATCCCATAACACAAGCATACAGTGCTTACTTTGGGGCTAGGCTAATTGGTGTGAGTGTTGGAAATATTTATTTATTTATTTATTAGCAGGCCCTTTGTTGGTATATATATAGGACTGTCGTTTATTTTCCAACTCGAAGATGTCACATTACATAGGTATATTACGTATAGCGTTCACTCATCACTTTATTTGCTTGTTACTTTCTATTTTTGTTACTTGCTTCTTTCACTATGCAGCAGTTGGAGCTTGGAGTCTTCAGACGTGTTTTGCCTATCACTCCCAGAAAGCATGAGCAATGCAAGCTATTCTTATGAGCTGAAAGTGAGAATATACCTTTGATAACATAGACGTGTAAGTGACACAGGCACAGTGTAGGTTTGTGGGTGCTAAGAAGCTTACCAGAAAATCTGTAAAAATTAGATAGGCACTCAAGTTCCGGAGCGCGAATTGATTAAAAAAAATCTGGACACCCATCCAATGTTCGGCCTCCGCGAATGTTCTTAATACTAGTGACTGCTTAGTACTGCTCTGTCACTTATGTCTATTTTTAGCGTGTTACTTGAAGTGGAATGCCTTAAAACCCAGCAAGGCTAATGCAAAGGCGAAACTACGCTGAGCCCCGTGCAAACTCCAAAACTTAATGCAAATGTAATTTTAGTGAGATCATTGTCTGTATAGTCACGCGAATTTGCATCTTTTTGACTAATAAGTTGACCGTGGAAATTTCGACAGCCGTCAAAGGCGTGTAACCTATTATGATAAGGCAGTTGTCCCACCTTCGGCGCTGGCGAGGAAGCGACTATCGGCTATTTTCTCGCCAAGGAACGTACAGTAGACATACAGATATACTTCTGATTCATTCTGACTGTTCATACTGCCGGTGAGAACTAGCTCCACTGTGGCGCGAATATTCACCAGCCGTACTCGCACACTCGCTTATAGTCCAGCGATAAACCTATCGGAACTATACAGTCGCTTCCCGCTACTCATCAACTCGTTTCTAGTTTCTCGTTCATCGTCGACGGTGGGATAAGAGCTTAATAACTAATTGATTCCGTCTGTGCTTGTCTATACTTATAATAAAATGGTAGGAATGTCGAAACTGTACATTGAATATTTTTTTAAAAGAATACTTGGGGTGTGATCTACATTCGATACCGAAGTCAAAAATATAGTTTTTAGAATTTTTGTCTGTTTGTGTGTATGTATGTAAGGGATAAACTCAAAAAGTACTGCATGAATTTACTTCAAATTTACAGCTACTACATATTATCACGCTATCACCTACGGGGAACGAGCAGTAAACTTTTATTTCTAACTAACTCCATGCGTACGAAGTCGCGAGCGGCCGCTAGTAGAATAAATAGTTCCAAAATTTACTAAATCGGCAACGGTTTAGGTGTAAAAGCGTAACAGACATACAGTTTTTTTTTAATTTTAGATAAAAATATAGGTTTTTTCTGGATTAACAATAAATTACAATGTGTACTCCGTTTTGGATTATGCATGCCTTTAGTATTAGCAAAAGTACACAATATTTTTTTTTAATTAAATAAAGAATTACAATGTGTACTCCGTTTTGGATTATGCATGCCTTTAGTATCAGCAAAAGTACACAATATTTATTTTTAATTAAATAAAGATACTTGCCTAGATCTTAAACTGTGGGGTGGGTCAGTTAATTTATCGCTCGAAGTAGAACGCCCGTCTCTCCACACACTTACAGAGGAAGAATTTCAATTTTGAAATTTTGTGTTCCTGCAGTAAGGTTACTGGACCTCCACGAGTCACGAATAGGCTCCTGTAGGTCTCCCCAGTCCCCTCGAAGATTTTATCCGCCGAAATATCTCTGTGATCTCATCTCAATTTAGTCCAATCGGGGGCTCTCAGGTCTGAGTGACAAAATGGTACATGTCTAGGGAACCTGTACTAAATGGACGCTCTTAAAGATTCAGACCTAGAGGCTAGTTTTCCGTATCGTAGGAAAATACCAGAAGGCTGCCGCCTGCCTTGCTAAATTTAGAATGCAAATTTTCTATAATGCCTCGAATCTGTTTGATGTGCTACATCGATATAGGATATTATAGGACATGGCCACATTAAAACTACTTTTATTATCACACTAATATTATTAAGGCGAAATTTTGTGAGTGTGTACGTATGTTACTTCTTCGTGTCTAAACGGCTGGAGCGATTTTAATAAAATTTGGTATGGAGTTAGCTGACACCCTGGATTAACACATAGGCTACGTTTTACTGCAGGAAATCATCCCTAATAAACCACGGGTAACAACACGGGGCACAGATTCGCAGTGCAGATTGTTCGGCGAACTGATGGACGTTGGGGTCCCAAGGTTCTTTAATGGCGACCTCGTACTGGGAACCGCAGTGTTGGTAGACCCCTCGCCAGGTGGACTGACGACATTAAGCGAGTCGGGGGGGATCCAACTGAATGCGGAGAGCGTACGACCGTTGTTTTTGGCAATCCCTAGAGGAGGCCATGTCCAGTGTTGGTGCTAGACTCCGAACTCTCAAGCTTTTATGTTTTTTTTATATGAAGACTTGTCAATTGCTATTCTCTATTGTCTACTAAATTTTCAATCTTGTGAAAATATAATTTATTAATTATCTTATTACTGCTCATCATTTTACCGCGCTATTTCAATTTCTCTAATATCCAGTTCGTCCATCGGCTGACAATGATGAAGGCGACTTTAGTAGCCTCAACTGTTTTTAAAAATATGTATTATACGTGTAATAGCTATTAAACGTTCAAAAATACATCACTAGACATTGTGTTAACGTTGCATAACCATCTTATCGCATTATCCCTTTCGAGGTAATTGATAATGCATGAAGGAAAAATGATAAATTTAATAATATATATCTGATAAGGTGGTTTTTTTTATTATCAAACTGAAACATTATTTAATTGTATTTTTGTCCGTAGATACCTATAGTTTTTGTCATTGAACGTTTCAAATTGTAAATACCTACTTACCTAAACTGTTGCATTAAGCATTACAGTTGCATAATTATTCTGAGAATAATCGACGTGCGTTTTTTTAAATGTTAAAAAAAAAAAAAAAAAAAAAAAAAAAAACGCACGTCGATTATTCTGAGAATAATCGACGTGCGTTTTTTTAAATGTTATGTTATTGGTATCTTTCATGACAGCGCAATAATTTCTAAGATCCGCTTGTACCAAATTACAACAAAAAATGCTTCATGTATATTAGTTCGGTTGTTAGTTCGATCGATCGAACTGTACCCTTAGCACGAACCTATATAGAATTCTTTACGTTTGCGAGTGCGAATCGTCAACGAGGCATTTTGTATGGAAACTTGAAAAGCGCTACAACGGACGCAACTAGAATTAAAAATCATTAGGACGCAATATTAGAATTCGAGGTTGGTTCCTACTTAGGGTACTGTAGCCTTGGTACGAACTTGGTACTTAGAAACTTTGACGATGGCGATACGAATACGAAACTGTGAAAGTTTGTGCTTGAGGTACAGTTAACATAAGGAACTGAAACGACCTGTCAAGATCGCATTCTTTTGTTGGCCGCCGCACTTCAGTTTTTATCAAGACTTTTTCGTCAACATATAAACTTCCTTTATAAAAAATATTACTCGGGAAAGTCCCGTCAGTAACCTTAGCAAAAATTCTAATAATTAGTTGAATTTGAACTCGACACGCGTCAAATGTCAACATCTTTTTCTTTAATTTTAATGCTTGTGATTGTGCCCTCACAATTCCGCCAAATGTCAAGAAGTTTTGTATGGACTATGGAAATTAAAACAGCGCCACAACGGACGTAACGAGAATTAAAAAACTTCTATAATGACATTTGACGCGAATCGAGATCGAAATCAACTACTAAAAAAAATCGATAACGGTTTGTGCTTAGGGTACAATTCGGTCGGCCGGATTAATAACCGTACATCTGATACAAGGGAAAACTGTAAGCTTAATCCTTAGTTTCCTTTAAAACATTACCGTATCCTTGTTCTATTTGCAGTTGAAGATTAAACGATGCATATTAATTATTTTTTATGACTTTATTTAACATTTAATTTAAGAATGTTGGTGCTAGTGCGCCACAGTTTACTATTCGGGTGTCTGTATGTTCCTTTGCTTGGGGTAATTGGTTTCCTATGCAAATTTTCATCCCTGATTTCACTGTATCCCAATAATATACTCGTGAGTAAAAGATGTATATTTCCTTTTCAAAAGTCCTCTTTATCCCTGTACCATTATTTTTGAGCACGTTTCTTCCGCAGCTGTATAGCTAGCTATATATCCATAACGAGAGGTAGAAATAAAAAAAAAATGCCACCAATTAGAAAATGATATTTTGAGTTATATATTTTTTAAGCATTTAAAGGCCTATTAATGTGCCTTGTGGTACACCTTTCGTATGCAACATAACATGACTTGGTGAGCTTAGACCTAGTCATGACGTCTCCCTTAGACGTGAATATTAGTAAAGCCGACTTTAACATGTAAAAGAAACTATTTTATTCAGTTTTGTATATATTATTATATAATTTATAATTCATAGTGACATGACAAATTTGAGATTATAATATAATTATTTATCCTTAAAATATAATTATTAATATTATAAAATATACAAAAGTAATTACACTAATTTGAGAATGATCACGAGAGAACAAAGTTACAACAAATATCAATAAGTTACAACAACTGTTATTTAGGACTTAAGTATTTCCTTCATAGCGAGTTCAATCTTAAGTTGTATGCAAGCCACTCTTTCTTGAAATATCTGGTTAATTAGATTCAGTCTTTTCTGTTCTAACAAAGCATTTTCTTTCAATAATCTTTGCTTCAATTCTAATTCTTCTGGGGTATTGTTCTCTTTGTTTTCCTTATTGTTTTGTGCGGCCTCTTGTTTGTTCTTCAGAGCAACGTGACTTCTAAGCTTCACTATTTCGAATTGCTCAGAGTTGATTTTAGCTTGCAACAAAGATTTCAGTTGAAGATATTCCGCGTTTTCCAGTTCTAAACGGAGTACTCGTAGTTCTTTCTCTGTGAACTTAGGTTTCTCTACTGGCGGTTCGACGGGAGTATCTACTTTTTTGGGTTCTTTGGATTCCAGCGTGAAGTCGAAGTTGTCTTCGAATTCAGCGTCGAAAGCAGCTACGTCCTGTTTCGGTGATTCAATTTCGGGAAAAGTGTCAGGAAATTTGTCCACGATTTTGTCTGGAATAGTTTCTGGGAAATTCTCCACGAAAGGAGCGGGAGCGGGAATATTTTCGGGGAACTTTTCTACAAATTGCTCTGGAATATTTTCCGGGAATGTTTCTAAGAATTGGTCGGGCACGCCTTCTGGGAATTTCTCTTGGAAAGCGTCTGACGTTTGGGGCGTGGCTAAAGGTGGTTCGTTTACTTCTGCCTGTGTTGTGATCGTATCATTCGGTTGGGAATTTCTTCTCGCGGTTTCTTCTTCGTGTTTTTCGTCTACCGAAGGTTGCGGCGGTAACGAGTTTGGTTCCACTGACTTCTGTACCATTCGCAGTTTTCTCTGTAACAATATTTTTTTTACAAATAAAGAAAAGCATATAAATTAAATAAGGTTTGTGATGCAAACTTGCTGACAAATCGTAAGTGGTCCGGGGCGCTATACTTCAAAAAACGCCTCTGGGTGTCAGACATACACATGGAGAATGGACTGGCTGTTCCTTAAACCAAATGCAAAGTATAACTGGGAAGATAAGTCTAAGTGTGAAAGAGACGCAGCGATCGTGTTACAGTACTTCGTAGAGGGTTTTTTTACCATCTCTTTCACTCCCAGCGAGTAGTTTATTTATAGCGAGTGTCGCACAGTCCATTCTATTGTTCTCTATGTTGTCTATTGGTGGTGGTAGTGTAATTTTAGCAACGTCGTTGAGCCATTGCTTCCGGCTGCATTTGGTGGGTCATGGCCCGTTTACCCCATTCCATCCATAAGGTAGGTCTGTGCCCTAGCAAAGGGGAAATTAATAGGTTGTTATGATGAGGTGAGTTCTGCGTGCATTTTGTGTTGTGGTAGCGGAAATTATTGTTAAACGGATGATGATGGTGATTATGACAAAGGAGAAAGTAATAATAATAAGTCATATTCCGTTCAAAATAGACATTCAAGGTTACATTAATTCGCATCTAGCTGAAAATTGGCACGAATGTAGGGAACCCTATTACACACAATTTGTCAATTATCCACATGAATCCAACGTGTGAAAAAAAAAATTCAAGGTCAAATGTTGCAAAAATTGGTTTTTTGAGTTTTCCAGCTAAACGGTAAGTTTTATCATAAAAATAGGCGAGACAAAAATTATTCATCATGCAATTATTTATAAAAATTGTTTTTACACTTTTTTCCTAAGAATCACCGTTTCGGAGATATAGTGATGTAAAAAGTTGTGTTACTCATAATATGCACACGTTCCCGCGCCACCCGTGATTTAGTGTACATGGCGCGTTTTATTTTTACGTGGTTTCCCCGGTAGGCCTATTCCCCGATCTATTGTGGTCCTGTTGAGTTAAAAGCTATTGTATTAAATTGAAAATGGTATTATTGTAATGACAAGAGCGGTGTAAGTAATGAGTAATTTGAGAAAATTATTCGTCTGATTGATACTCTTCTAATGGAACATAATCCATACTGTCTTCTTCTTCTCCTTCTTCTTCTTCCTGCTGGGTACAAATAAATTATTCAAAGAGCGATGCATCAGATGTCTCTTTGCATATATCGTAAGAATCCTCTTCTACTGGCGATTGAACATTGGAGCACGATTGGCCTCGACAACTGATACATGCTAATGAACAAAACAACCCAACTTTTTACAGTCGCATTTAATTCATAATTGAATTGAGGAGTTTTTCCGGTGCAGGAGGGAGTAAAGTCTTAACTGGTTCCAATATATTGTCAATTAACTTCTAACCCCAGTCTTCTGGGTTTAGCTTATTACCGAGCCATACTTGAACTTGATAATATACCCGAAATAGATGTTGCTGAGCAGAAGCAGAGGTTGGAGGAAGACAAGCTAATTGTACTTGTTTTTTTATGCGTATTTTTAGCAAAAGATAAGAATCGAAACTTATCTAAGCACGTAATTTTTTGGAGCTCCGTAAATGGACTGAAAAAAGCGAATTCCGTTGGTGATTACAGCTTGTGGAGTAGAGATACTTTCTTTGAAAACGTCAGCACAATGAACTAAATCTTGTCTCTCAAACAATTTCAAAACTGTTCTTTTACCTCTCTTGAAAAATGCTGATGTCGTGTCGCAACCAGTTACTGCATGTAGAAATAAGATATGATTTTGGCATTTTGAAAAAGCAGATTAACTCTTGGATGAATATATTTTTGATTGATGTTGCTCAAGGCGGTAGTCATAAAAAATGAGGGACCGGGTTTTTTTTCGAGTTTATATCCTTATAATTGTATAGTATGCATGTATACGCCACGAAAACTAATATTCTGGAAAAAATCGTTCTGTAACGTATATAACGGTAATTAACATACATATTATGAAGAATACAAGTTTTTACATCGCTATATCTCCGAAATGGTGATTCTTAGGAAAAAAAGTGTATAAACAATTTTTATAGATAATTGCATGATGAATAATTTTTGTTCCGCCTATTTTTATGATAAAACTTACGGTTTAGATGGAAAACTCAAAAAACCGATTTTGCCAAATTTGACCTTGAATATTTTTTTTCCACACGTTTGTTTCATGTGGATAATTGACAAATTGTGTGTAATAGGGTTCCCAACATTCATGCCAATTTTCAGCTAGGTGCGAATTAATGTAACCTTACCCCTATTTTTGAAGCTAATTTAACCGTACTATCAGCTCTATTTTCTCCATAACCATTTTGTGCTTGACAAAAACATGATATTATTAACAATATTTGGAAATCGAGACTGGTGCCTGAGCTAAGTTTAGAACCCGTATTACAGGTCACCAGGCCCCCACAGCTCGGATGTATTAAATTTTGCTTACAGTTAATATCTTGCTATTTGTTTTTACTTTAATTTAATTTATATCAGTATCTTGTTATTTGTTTTTACTTTAATTTAATTTATATCAGTATCTTGCTATTTGTTTTTACTTTAATTTTATTTATATCAGTAGGGAAGCATACAAATGAGTGAGTTTGTTTGTGTATGTGTGTGTTTTTTGTTAAGCCATTTTATTTTTGCAATATAATTTATTTTTTCTTATATTAGTAGGTAACTTGTGTGTGTATGTCCTTGCTTCTCGCTAAGTCATTATTACTTTCAATTTAACTTAAGAAGTGATGGTAATCGTGATAAATATATTGAAGGCGATGATGGTGACGTAGTTGGCTATGGTGAAAGTGATGATGACGGTAACTATGATAGTGATAAAATGGCTATACACCTTAAGCTGCGTTAGAATCCTCCAATCCACAGTCGCTGATCTCTCGCTGACGTTGCAAACCCCGTGTATTTAGGCATGAAGCTCAGATAACAGTAATTCTTTCGTACTGATCGATGCAATCTTATAAGGCGATGGTGATAATGATCATGACGTTGATAGTGCAAGTGATTATGATAGTGATAGCGATAAATAAATAATAATTAATAAATAAATATTACCAACATTCACACCGATTTGCCTAGCCCCAAAGTAAGCACCGTAAGGCTTGTGTTATGGGATACTAGGGTAACGGATAGAATACATATCCAGTACATATATAAGTATATTTATATAGAAATACATATGAAACATCCATGACTGAGTACAAATGCTCGTATTCATCACACAAACATCTGCCCCCACCGGGATTTGAACCCGGGACCTCTCGAGTCGACGACACCATGAAACCCGGCGTACAAACCACTCGACCACGGAGGTCGTCAATATAGGAGGTTAATAATGGAAGTAAAGATGTCATTGAAAGTGATAGTGATGGCTTCGTACCTTGAGTTGCGTAACAATCCTCTACGCCTGCAACAGTTGTTGGTTTCTAATGGCGATGATAGTAGAATAGATGGGCAGTGATTTTGATGGGGTAGTAAAAGACATGGTGATAATAATAACAGTTCGGTCCTCGCGCGGGTTAAAATCGTTTTTTACAATCATTTCAAATATTCCCGCGTGATTGATAGTCCGCTGAAGTCAATGAGGGTAACGTGTATGAATCCGCCGCTAGAGGCGCTTGTGTAGCGTGAGCTTTCCGAAATGTCAAAAGTTATTGCATGTGTGTTGCTTACGCAGGTTTAATTCGAATTAAAATAATGCTGTGAATATTTGGTAATAACTCAGATTAATTATGGCAAATATGAGTTACGTGTCAATGAATGTCAGTTATTTAAAATCGGAGCCAAGTAAAATTATTGTCCTCTTTGTTTCCGAACAAAACGGAACTGCGCAACACTGTGACATGGCCGATTATGTTTATGATACGGTTCTTTTGTATTAAAATATGATTTAAATGTCAACTTTGATTTCACGCGCGTATTAACAAACTTTAAAAGCTACACTTCAGGACCCAAGGGCGGATCCAGAGGGGGGGTCATGGGGTCATGACCCCCCCCCCCCCTGGGCTGGGTCCATCTGTACCCACTTCACAATCTGTACCCACTGTGACTTGACCACGACTATATGACCCCCCCCTGGCGCCACAGCTGGATCCGCCCTTGTCAGGACCTCACTCAACAGTGGCGCCATCTGGCGAGAGATGTGGAAGTGGTGGTGATAATGACGACGACGTTAGTGTAAGTGGAATTTAAAGAGCAGGTGGTTAGAATTGGTCGTCGTCCTGAATTATTTTTATGATCTGTTAAGTGCCCTTCTTCGCCGTGACGCCGGATCCAAAACCTAACAGTGAATCGCGATATGTTGAGTTTTCGTGATATAGCACTAATACTTGTCCAACTTCGAAGCGAAATATTATTTCAGACCTTTGCTCCAGGGTCAAAATTGTTACATATTTTATTTCTTTATAAAAATATTATTCGTAAAATTTTGCTCATATCCAAACAAAGTTAAAACAAAATTTTTTTATAAACGTCATTTCAACAAATAAAGAAATGAGTTTCAATATCAAAAAGTAATATATAATTCTTTTTGTTATTCTCGATGCGTCATATTGTATTATAACTTTTGCAAGGTAATAAGTTACTTGATATGACATTTTATTTATGAAAAAAGTGTGACATATAGTCATTTTCTGACCGCCACCGTACATACCTTAAGCTGCGTTACAATCCTCTGCGCCTCCCACAGTCGTTGATCTCTCGCTGGCGTAACAAATCCCGCGTGCATTTCCGCATGAAGCTGAGACAACAGCGATTCTTGCTTGCGCAGTTCTGTACTGATCGATGCAACGTCTTCGGGAAAATCGGCCGGAAGGTTAAGAAGCGGCGGCACGTATCTGAATCAAACATTTTGATATTTTGGTGAAGTGCTAAACTAGGTTGGAAAGTAAATTTCAGCTAAAATTTTTTTCTCGTTTCTAGAAAGAATTCGATACGGCCATCAGGGCCGCGGTAGCATAATGGTCAGTGCATCCGGGTTCGTGTCCCGTCTGCTGCCTGCTCCACGTGGATTTTTTTCTAGTAAAATTTTCTTTGGGTTTAAACATCTAGCAGTTAAATGCTTACAAAAATAAAAATACAAACTGCTTTTTTTACACACATACCAATAAGCCTAGCCTTATTTAAAAATCTTTTTTGCAGTTAAAAGTTAGTTCTTTTCTTTTCTTTTTGTTTGCATGATTTAACATAAGAAGGAGATAGGAAGCCTATCTGAGTTTGTTTCGCCGGTTCTTCTCAGAAAGGTCTCCCAATTTTGGAACCAGTGGTATTTTACGGTAGTTAGGGTCAAATAAATAAACTCAAAATTACAAAAAACAATTTTAAATAAAGGACTTTATTAACTAATTTATCTAATAAATTCATACACAGATAATAAAGTTTTAAAAATCTTCCAATGAAATATCCGAACGCTCAATAAAAGTCTTTCGAAGGTAGCTCGATAAAGTAAATAAAAAATCATTAATCTGACGATGCAGACCTAAAAAGGCTGCGAAACGTCAATAAATAAATAAAGTTCGTGCATTAACCCGTTAAAACTAGTTTTATTCATGGTAAAGTTTACTTATTATATCTAAGGCAGGCAACTGGGTAACATAAAATTCTTATTTATTTTATTGTATTCTTCTTAAAATAAGTTAATTTTACATTCAAGAATATAAATACCAATAAATTATTTACTCACTTCGTTAGCTGTACATCCGGGAACAGTTTGTCCACTTTCGAGACCAAGTAAGCGAGGAGATTGTACGACATGTTCAAAGCGGGTCCCAAATATGTTGCGATCGTTTGCAAGTTCGCGTGATTGTACTGAGAACAAACAACATAAATCAATTACGTACGCAATATCATTATTGAGCGGATCCATAGCTGGTTCAAATCCGGCCCAAAGGACCAATAAAGGATATACGAGCTGAGCTATACTCCTTGACGGTGATAAAGAAATCATTGAAAGTTTGAGATTAAAAGTTTTATTCAAAACACGAAAAAAAGAGCTTGGTAGATGCTTGACAGTTTTTTATACAACAAATCGTTCACATAACTCTATTAGTACGAGAGCCCACTTATTTAAGACTCGCTTAGATATACATAATTAAACACATAATTAATAAGAGAATACGAAATAAAGATGCTGCAATGGAATAATGGTGCCGCTATTATAGAAAAAAATAATAATAGTACTGTTTCTAGTATGATAAGACTCCCAGGTGTGCTGCAAGCCTTCATGACTGGCCTTATCAGTGAATAGAAGCTACTGGAAAGTTCACGTAACGGTTCTGGGGAGACGATAAATGCGAAAGTGGGTCTGTCCGTTCCCTTTTAACGTTTAAACCACCGAACCTATTGAGATGAAATCCTACTAATCCTATTCTACTTCCTACTATCCTATCCTTCTTAACATTTTAAATACGAAACTTTGTATGGATGTTTTTTATTTTCGGTAAAAACGAGTCAACGAAATTGAATGTTTTTTGCCACACATATAGACCCGAGACATATAGATTACCCGGATTGAGCTATAGTATACTTTTTATCCCAGAACAATGGTAGATTTCTGAGTGATTATCGAAAAGCTAAAGTTAACGAAGACTAAGTCGCAGGCAGCCACTTGTTTAGTAAAGAGATAGTTTGAATCAACGATAAAGACATAGCATATTTCTTATCGCAAAAACCATGCCTTAAGGGGGTGGAAATTTGTATACAGGCTTTCCTCGTACTTACGGCATGTTAGGTTCTCGAAATACGCGACCTAAATCGAAACGACTTAAGTCGAGACTTCCCTACGGACGCCGAACCCACGGACATTGACTTCGCAACAAGTGAATTCTCTTATGCCGGAAATCGAAACAATAGGGTATTTGACAAGTTTTAGAATACGATCTCACGTTATTTAGTAATGTTTATAGAGAGAGGATATTCATCATTATGTTGTGTACTTCGGTAAATAAACTAAATCAAAAACTCTATTTTCAAGTTGCCACGAAAAACGTATCTCTGGACAATAAGGAGTCTCACTGGTTTGTGGCGTCACACGATTGTCATTAAAACGTCAAATCATACAATCTAATGTCACTTTAACCGGACGTTTACTTGCGTGTGACGTCATTTTAGGCTCCACCAATCCCAAGCGTTTTGGGTCACGTGCCAAAAGACAAGAAAACTATTATCTTTATCGTGGGTTTTAGTAAACTTATGAATATTTTTTCTGTAAAAATAGTAAAAACTACTGCCAATATTCATTCTAAATACAGATGCTAACAATTGGCACTTTATTTTTAATACTGTCAAATACCCTATTGACGTATGATTGAGGAATAGTGTCAAAACATTGTTCGACGTAACTTGAAACGACGTAAATCGAAACGACGCAAGTCGAGGACTGCCTGTATTATGATTCTATAGTCACCTGTTCGTGCCCCCTCACACTATCCGCATGCCGTAGTATATATGCGAGTAGCGCGCGGTTGTCGCGCGGCAGTCGCGCGGCGAGTGCAGTGAGCGCGGCGTCCCGGTGCGGTTCGCCTATAGCGGCGCATTGTTCAAATTGACCGTGGAGCTCTTGAGTAAGTATGGATTCGGGTAGCTCGCTGGTTGCAAGACAAAAATAAACCAAATTAATCTAATCAAACATTTAACTAGTACAAAAGTTATATATTAAAAACCAGCTACAATTTATAAACACACACACACACATTTATATATATATATATATATATATATTTACATCTTCTAAGACTTCTTGCATCTTTACAAACTGCCACCCTGCGGCGTCCACTGTACACGACGCGATTTTGAATGTTTTAAATGCGTATTTAAGTAGCTATTATTATTATAATACCTTGAGTCTACGCGAAATTGCAATAAAATATAAAATGCCAATATTCGATTTTAATATTTCCCGGTAATTTGGTGCATCCGTTCACCACCATAACCATACAGCACACTGAATATTTACGTATACCTTCTATGCACTGCTTAAATGCTCCTACCTCCGTCCAAACTTATGTTTAAATTGATTCTGCATAATACGATTTATTTCTACAAAGTTACGTCCCTCAACTTTTAAAAAGAGAGTTGTTAGTTCCGGATACTGTAGGTACTGTATATCAATGATATTCATCCTGCTAGTCCACCGGCTTCCAGGTACACCAGCACTTATACTGTCTTTGGAGTAGTAAATAGGAAGCTACAATTACTTATTTATGTTCAAAGCTTGATCGTTATTTTTGAGTTTTACACAGGTCAGTCGGGTAGACAGGGAATTCTTTTTTTTATTATATTTTAAAGTTTACATTGGTCCGTACCTTTATATTTTTATTTATTAAAGTCATGATCATATTATTATTTAAGATAACTTTTTTAGCTTGGCTGGTCTGGAATTTCAAGAGTACCGGTGGGATTCGGGCTTGGTTGTCCCTTGACCCTGTATTTTACGGACCCAACGACAATATAGTCGTGCTCTGTGTACATCGTCGACAACGGAGTCGGAAGGATCCACCAAGGATAACTTAGAATACTGTCCGTTCCGGTGTCTTGCCTGATGCTAGTACTGCCAAGAGTTGTCCAATGGCTATCTGTAAGGTTTTTAGTGGGTAGGCTTATGATCAGATACTGAGCTTGGCTAGGTAAAGTCTAGGTGTATTATTCATTTTCCCAATGTAAAAATTAGTCAGGTTTAATGTGGGTATCCATAATAAATCCTTGTATAAAGGTAATTTGAAAGCAATACACAAGCCACCCAGCCTTGTTGTACCTAGGAAAGATAATTATAGTTAGACAATAAGAAAAGTTGGTGTAAATAGACTAATTCGAACTAGGTAGGCTCGAAATAAAGAATAAAAATATGTAATGTAAAACGACTTCATGAATTATATCTGACCTCATTTTTTAATTTGATGACTCTGTATTAAAATAATACCTACAGGGTGAAAAAACAACCTCTTGCTGAGTTTCTTGCCGCTTCTTAGTACAAGGTCCCTCGCCGTAGATTTGTATGGGGAGGCTTCTTGACGCACACAGGTGCCGAAAGCCTGAACTAATTAAAATATCTCACCAAAACATTTTCATGGAAAATGTTGCCAAGACGGTATCATGTATCACTCGCACGGACAAAAAGTTGTCTGATCGCACGTAGAGCCATGCTTCTATCTCTACACGCCCTAACTCTAAGACAAATTTTATCAGGGCGGTGACGGAGAAAGAATACATCTCACCGTTCCTTCTCTTCGCGTGGGTGTCGTAAGAAGCGAATAAGGGATATCGGAGCTTCCATCCGCTCTTCTGATGCTAGGGTGCCTAACACCCGCCTGGTTTGTTACCACCTTGCGCATGGTGAAAAACCCGCTTGAAAAAAGTGCTTCTCGGGGTCAGCCAGCGTACAACCAGAGTTCGAGTGGAGGTTGTCGTTGTCTGATTCAGTCTAGAGGAGGCATCTGTCGAACCGATGCCGGGAGAACTGCATTGACCCGCCGTCCAAGGCGACCCGAAGAAACGGCTGTCCCGCTGGCCAACCGTGGCACAGTACAGGGGCCCGAGCGTTCCTAACCAGTTCGTGAGGCTGCCCTATCATGTCACGCATAATCTCAGGGTGGACCGTCGTACCGGTCGGTGACTGGGCGTGGGGTCCCGGCGGCCACTCCCGGGGGGCTGCGGGGGCCCTTCCGTCCGGTGGGTCGACGCATCTCCTCTGCAGGCTGTCATTCGGTAAAAGAAACCTCCCTAATTTACCCGAACTCTTCGCGACAACGCCCGCTCGTTTTCACGTCTCTTTTCAATTCCACCATGGCAGCCTCTAAAACAAAGTTTAGGTGTATAGCGGTGCATACCCCCACACCTTCAATGCTGTTTAAGGTAAAGTTCTGCAACATACGCGGACTCCACTCTAACTTCAACGCTGTCCACCACTGTCTTGAGACAGCACGCCCAGCATTGTTGACGGAGACACAAATACTTCCGCCTGCTAACACAGGCTACCTTAACTATCCCGGCTACGTATTTAAAGAGTCCTTCAAAGCGAAAGTGTATGCCTGTATGTTCGGGCGAATGTTTGTTGAAGATCCCTCTTTCTCCATGCTAGTGGTACACGTCGGTTCTGGTCCCCAGGCCAGAGTCTATGTGTGCCTCTACAGATCCCATACTTGCGATATTGAGACAACTCGACTTTTCGAACACCTAAGTCGGGCAGCAGATGACGCGCAAGAACAGTTTTCCAAAGCAGAATTGGTGTTTTTAGGGGAATTTAATGCTCACCACAATTTGTGGTTAAGTTCCTCGAAAACCAACCATGCAGGGCTCTGCTCACGCAGTACTTGAAGCAACTGGTCGATCAGCCCACCAGGATTCCAGATATTTCAAGTCAAGCACCTTTATTACTGGACCTTCTGCTCACGACCCATCCACAGGGCTGTCAGGTTGTGGTAAGGGGGCTCTGGCCTCTTCAAATCATTGCCCGATATAGATATCTTTGGTAAACAAAGCGCCACAGGCCAAGCCTCCGCGTCCAACGGTGGTACAACGTCGGATCTGTCACTATGGGTCGGCAGATTGGGACGGTATGCGTGACAACTTTGCATCCGTCCCTTGGAAGCAGCGCTGCTTCAGTGACAAGGACCTTTTGGCCTGCGCCGTTGCTATTCTGAGGAAATTGTAATGGTTATGCAATACTATATTCCTCATTCCAATCTCATCAGTAAGGACACACACGTAACCTCTGGTTCAATCACCACTGTGCTGAAGCTGTTTCGCGTAAGCAAGCGGTATATCGTGCTTGGATCAGAGGCCGCGCTCTTAAGGATCCTGGGGTCGATTCACTAAAAGCAGCCTACAATTTTGCTTCCAAGACCTGTAAGAAGGATTACAGCGGATGCCCAGCGCGTTACACATGTTGGTCACGAACTTATAACGCATCCTTCGGGCTCCCGTAGTTATTGGCGTTTTTCCAAGACCGCGCAAAAGAACTTCTGCCAGCCCTCGCTGCCACCTCTGAGATGCCCTGACGGAACACTAGCTGATAAGCCACGGGAGAAAGCCGATTTACTATCAAAACTCTTTGCGGCTAACTCCCGAATCGATGATTGCAATGCACTGCCACCATCATTACCTCATTGTAGCACAACGATGCCTGATATTAAATTCAGGCAGCGTGAGGTTCGTGTCGAATTGCAATCACTCGACATCCGGAAAGCTGGTGGACTTGATGGCATCCCATCAGTAGTACTTAAAAAATGTGCAGCGGAGTTGTCTTCCGCTCTCACGCGCTTGTACCAATGCTCGTATTCTTTGGGGCGTGTGCCGGAGACTTGGAGAGATGCCAACGTGCAACCGGTGCCCAAAAAAGGGGATCCCTTAGACCTGGCAAACTACCGGCCAATAGCTGTCACCCCAGTATTATGTAAAGTCCTAGAAAAGGTTCTTAACAACCATCTGACCCGCTACCTAGAGGATCACTCCCGGATTAATGATCGTCAATATGTTTTTAGACCCAAACGATCGACGGGTGATCTTCTAGCGTACTTGACTCATATCTGGGGTGAGGCTATCGACAAGCGGGGCGAGTCGTTGGCTATCAACCTTGACATTACCAAGGCGTTCGTCAGGGTATGGCACAAAAGCCTTCTCTCCAAGCTTCCGGCATACGGTCTGCTGGCACAGTTCTGTTCTTGGATAGCTGACTTCCTGCATGAACGTAAAATTCGTGTCCTTACGAATGGTAGCAGTTCGCGGTTCATGTCAGTGAATGCCGGCGTTTCTCAGGGCTCCGTCCTATCCCCCACTATCTTTCTGCTGCATATCAATGACTAAAATTCCTTTTGGGAATATTCATTGCGATGCATACGATAGTACAGTGCATGCGGGGTATCTCGGACAAGCAGCGGCTGGGCAGGCGGTAACCAAGGAGGAACGGGAGAATCTTGTCATTGAATTCAATCAGGCTTTGGACCATATTTCTAAATGGGGTACCAGGTTTGGTTGAGTTCAATGCTAATAAAACCCAGGTCTGCGCTTTCACGGCAAAAACGTTGCCATTCCTTTCATGTCTTGGAGACCTGAACAAGGTTTATTTCAAGGTTTTTTTCGGCGTTTTTTCACGCCCGAGCAATTTAACTGTGCTTGTTGTATAAGGAGCAGGTGCGGTCTTGCGTGGAAATTTGCTCGCAACTCTGGGATGACTCCACCAAGTACTTGTTCGATACCTTGGATGGGTTACAGCGGCGCGCGATCCGCATTATAGGCGATGAAGAGGTGACTAAACACCTAGAGCCTCTACAATTACGCCGTGACGTGGCGTCACTAAGCATGTTCTATCGTCTGTACCACGGCGAGTGTTCTGAGGAGTTATTCTCTCTTATCCCACCTTCCCCTTTCCTTCATTGGACCTCGCGTGCTGACCTACGTTGTCACCGACTAACTGTGGCCACAATTCCAACGCGTACAAAGAAATTTGTTGACTCATTTTTTTGTTGTACTATCCATAGATGGAATGCACTGACCGCTCACGTATTCCCTCCCTCTTACAACCTGGGATCCCTTAAAAGAGGCGTGAAGAAGCAACATGCAGGCCGGCAAGGTGAGGATGGCTGGTGTGGCAGGTGAACTGCTGTATCAGCTATCGCGTCTGGACTTCACCGTTACTTATATAACTCGTTTTTTTTATGTGGATAATCCAAACCCTACTTATAAAGGTCCACTAAAATGACGATGCCCTTCGGGAAAAGTTACGTGGAGCCCTTGCACTTTGCTTGGCTCGTCTTGTCGTGTTGGTGGGGGGCACGGTTGCGTTGATATTGAATTCGAATTTTGAATTTGTATAAGTTATAGGGAAGGTGAATACGTGTATACATACTAAGTGATAGTGAAGAGGTAAGGTTAATTGGGATATCAAAAATAAATCAATGATACAAATTAGCAAATGGTGCATAGAAATAAGCTTGAGTTAACTTCAGTGACATATTTAACAAGTTTTCTAGATGTGATATTATAAATACCATAACAAAGGCTGAACAATACTGTATACTTAACAATTTAACCAACAGTTCTCACTAGAATTCTCTGTAGGTAGGTACATTACCACAAAATAACAAATGAATCACATTCTTAATAAAATAGGGGCTAATAATTAACGTTGTTAAAGTTCTCTCGATCATTAATATCGATTAATCGTGTAGGTTCATTATGTATCTACATTACAAAAAATCGAAAACGGAAACAAAACAATAATATCCTAATAGTTATCAATGGTATAAAATATCAAATTTGCTAAAATAAAAAAAATCTCTTCATTGTTTCACGTTTATTTACTTCTATCAAATAATACGATTTTGCGTCCACGGAGCACGGATCTGTATATGCAAACACACGCGACCCGTAGGACGCTCAGTTTCGTCTCTCCCATGCACCCAAAACGGGCCCCTCAGGTTTCGCGCGATCTCGCAAATTAAGATGCCTACTGGATGCAAGATAATCATCGTAGAGAATTGATAAAAACTTTTTTAAATATATATAGGAAGACGCAATAAAATCTGTAAATTGAACCCGAAATATACATTGCAAAATATACACTGCACGGTAGCGCCCTCCAAATTCCGGTCGGTCAATGGTTGCACTATGAAATACGTTAAAAAGCATTCTGGTGATGAAATTGAGTCCACGCCAAATTTTTGCCCATGCATTCTATGCATGAAAAGACGTCTTTGCACCAAAAATGAGGCTAGGTTAATCTTGCGTCCGTATACCGGACGCATCAAGTCGGTCGGACGCAGGATCAATAGCAAAAATCGCCATATAAGACGCAACATGATCAGCAAGATGTATATATATATATATATATATATATATATATATATATATATATATATATATATGAAGCATGTAACTGCTCGATGTTAAAATCTAAAGAAAATATATCTAGAAAAAAAAACAGGCGGTCCAGGCAGCAGACCGCGTCCGTTACCTTTTACTGTTTAATATTTTTGTAATGTATTTGTAAATAATGTGTTCCCATCCGGAAAAAAGGAGAAAACATCAATTTGAATAACCTTAAATAAGCAGAAAGGTTTAAAATAATTTTATTTATTAGTCTTACCTGATGAAGCTTTTGAGGATAGCACAAGCGACGGGAACATCCCAATGGTAAGGGAAAGTGGGCCCGCGATCAGTGTACAACTTGCGCAGTTGCTGCAACTTTATCTTATCCGGCTCGCCGCGGTATATTAGGGGAGACTTTAGACCGTGAGCCTAAGAATGAAAAAAATCATTGTTATTATCAACTGATCACAACTCGTTCACATGACAGAACACAGAAAGAGGTTAGAAGGGCCTTGTGGGCGGGGCAGGCGCGCCACAGTTATGTGTGAGCTCATAACTTGACCAAAATTTAGTTCTAATTGCGTCGTTGGTCTCGGGTGTCAGCGCTGATTGGTTAGATTGTTCGATGTCGCGTCGTTTGATTGGCTATTATTATCTATTAGGTGGAAGTGTAGTGCAGCGGGGAGAGCCGACGACATCGGTTCTTGTACAAACGGTATATGATCGATCACCCTTCTAACCTCTGTGTTCTATGCACCCATCCTATGACCGACTCTTGCGAAAGTTGCTTAACTATAACAATCGTAGACTAAACCCGCTAACCACTTCATCGTTGAGCTTCTCCGAACATGCTCAGTATTAATTACGATTGCAATCATCTCAAATCAATGTTATGTAAACAAGTTCCTATTTAAAAGTATCTCATTTGACATTGTAGCTACAATGTCAACAAAGAGCGCTGTTTACAGCCTAATGCCGCATTTACATTTGGTCGTTAGCCCGTATTCGGGTGCACAAAAGACATTACTCGAATTCGGGTACCCGAAGCAATATTCATACTGGAATACGGACTGGAAGACGGTGTCGGGTAACCAAAACAAAAACTACCCGCATATGGGGGTACTCGACTCCGTTCATTTACACTCAGTCACGGTAATAATATCATACAGTATTCTATTTTCATACAAACGGTCGGAAAGCGAGTCATACCTACGCCACTGAGTTCGATGTGCTCTCGGCGGGCACCCAGTCGCGAATGCGTCGCCGCGCCTCAACGACGACCGAACGGTCTGAATTGTTTTTTATGCAGTTAGCGGTGCTTAAACATGCGTTTTGTATTGTAAATATTTGATTTAATTAAGTAGATACCTATATAATTTAGTATGGAAAAGAACAAACGACGATCAATATCGTACAACAGCACAATTGCTGTTTTTGGTTGCTTGAACTCTTCAACAACACACCCAGAGATATCATTTTTTAAATTACCTGAAATATTGGAAAGGTGTCTTACCTTTATAGAATATTTTTTATATACCTATCTACTAGTACGTTATTTGTTTGTAATATTTGGGTATTTCGGTTTTTCCATCAGGCAAAATATCTGGAATAATATATAAATAAGTGGTTAGGATGAAAAAAGAGACAAACGAGTAATCTACCTACACTCACGTTAAAAACAAAACTACATAAAATACTGTAGGCTGGCGGCCCTACCGCGTGCCAACGCAGCGTTCGGTGTAGGCATTTATTTTCAAGGACAGGGCGGAGTCACAATACTGTATAGATAATATTACCGTGACTCAGTCGTTTACCCGAATTCCATTGGCAGTCGTATTCGGGCTAACGACCACGTGTAATCACGCCATAATGTATATACTGGAAGTAATAGGGACGATGACGTGGTAAATTAAACGCAATTCTAATTAGTCCGTCAGTTAGATTATAAAAAAACGATGGACACTTATTTTTTTCTTTTGTCAGTCAAACAAGAAATGGCAAGGATAAAGCTTCAACGTAAAGTAAAACTTGTACCAAGACGTGACGTCATGCGACCTTTTGAATCAATATATCTCTGGAGTGTTTTGATTTCTTATGTGAATAAATAAAAAATAAGTGTCTAATACTTTTCGGTAATCTACCCGTAGCCTTAGCACAAACCATTATCGAATAAGAAGTGTTTGCGAGTGCGAAATGTCGTTGTCAAATTTTATATTGAAACTTGAACAGCAGCGCTACAACGGACGTAATGAGAACTAATAATCAGTACACATTTGACGCCTAAATTAAATCGAATTCAACTATTCGAATTCGATAATAATAATAAATAAATATGTCCAACACTCACACCAATTAGACTATCCCCAAAGTAAGCACTGTAAGGCTTGTGTTATGGGATGCTAGGGTAACGGATAGAATACATATACTGTACATATATAAGTATAATTATATAGAAATAAATATTAAACATCCATGACTGGAGTACAAATGCTCGTATTCATCACACAAACATCTGCCCCCACCGGGATTCGAACCCGGGACCTCTCAATTCGGCGACACCATGAAACCCGGCGTACAAACCACTCGACCACGGAGGTCGTCATGAAGTTTTTTTTCTTTTAAAGAGAATACTTGTGATTGTCCTCGACTTTATCCGCGTTAACTTTATTTATTTTATTTATTTAAACTTTATTGCCACAATTACAAAAATGGACAAAAGGCGGACTTAACGCTAAAAGCATTCTCTGCCAGTCAACCTTTAGGCATAAAGAAATCCACGAATGCGGCTATAATAATAAAAAAAAAGTGATTTACTTTAAACATACACCAGTAAAAGTAACTACATAAATATTTATTTAAAAATAAACCTAAATATACATGCATAGAATACATTTAAATATATTACTTATATAAATATTTATAATATATATATATATATATATATATATATATATATATATATATATATATATATACATACACATACATAGACATAATTATTATTAACACCGTTTATAAAATATATTGATGATGAGACTGTGAAGGGAAATTGTGAGTTGAACTTAACGTTCTTAGCTTTCTAGGAGAAGTTCATGAACTTTCTTCTTAAAACTGCACCTAGTAGGTGACCTTCTAACGGAGTCAGGGAGGCTGTTCCAGAGTCGTGAAGATTGGAGGGCAAAGGAATCAGACATATAGCCAGAGTGAAAGAGAGGAAGAGATAGTGCAAGAGTATCAGTAGAACGAAGTTGAAGTTCATGTGAGTCACAAAGATATTGAAATTTGGATCGTAAGTATTCTGGAGAGTGAGGGTTGAACAGGATAGAATATAGAGTACACAGCATTCTCTGCTGCCTTCTTTGACGTATAGGAAGCCATCTAAGTTGAGATCTGAACGCCGATACGTGGTCAAATTTACGCAGGCAGAAGATGAAACGAATGGCATTGTTGATGAGACGATCCAATTTGTTCAGAAGATCAGCATTCAGATCGGGATAGCAGACATCAGCATAATCAATGAGCGGGAATATGAGAGATGTTACAAGCAAAATTTTTGTGTTAATGGGGAGAAAATTCCTAAATCTGTTTAAAACACGAAGTGAGTAAATTACTTTGCGACTTACTTCGGCAATTTGTGTGTTCCAGCTAAGAGAAGAATCGATGTAAATGCCAAGATTTTTGACACTTGTGCTAAACGGAACAATCGTGCCCTCATACACGACAGGCTGGAGAGACCCATAATCAATTTTGGCAATTTGTTTAGAGCCACCTACGATAATGGCCTGACATTTTGATGGATTTACCTTAATTCCAAAATCGACGGACCAAGCACTGATACGTTGCAAGTTAAGGTTTAACGTTTCGATGGCCATATCAACATCCTCAGCCGACGTCTGAGTATAGATTTGTAGGTCATCAGCATAGAAATGGTAAAAGCAGCCAAGCGAGAAGGAAAGGAGGTTAATAAAAACAGAAAAAAGTAAAGGAGAAATTATCCCACCCTGGGGTACACCAGCAATTAAATCGTTCCAATTAGAAAGATTTTGCTCAATGCGAACCGCTTGTTGACGGCCACGAAGGTAAGAGGAGAACCAATCCAGTGACTTTGATGAGAAGTTAAGGGATTTAAGGATGGCGAGGAGAATATCGTGGTCAACCATGTTAAAAGCGTTGGAAAAGTCTATGAGTACTATGACTGTAACCAACTGTTTCTCCATGCCCATCCTGACATCTTCAGTAACTTTGAGCAGAGCCGTAGTAGTGCTGTGTCCAGGACGAAACCCAGACTGAAACGAAGTGAGAAGATTATTGGAAAATACGAAAGAGGATACTTGGTGATGAGCAACGGCTTCAAGAACTTTAGAAAGAAAGGGAAGGATGGAAATAGGCCTGTAGTTACTAAGTAGCTGAGGAGACGAGACTTTCGGCAGAGGAAGAACGAAAGCTTTACGCCAAGCTAGAGGAAAATCACCGTTGAGAAAGGAGTAGTTAATAATGTGTACAATAGCTGGCAGTATATAATCTAGAATGTTGACTATCATTTCTCTGCTGACGTCATCCCATCCAACTGCTTTAGATTTGATAGACAGAATAATTTTGCGAATATCATCAATTGTCACTGGAGAAAAAGTAAAGGAATCAGAAAGAGATTGAGCTCTGGAAGTAATAGTATTGATAGCTTTATTCTTAATATGTGGGTCGAGAGAATTGGTTGTGGAAAAGTGATTATTGAAATCGTTAAGAGAGAAAGGATAGGAGTCAGGTTGCACAGAACAATTGCCCAAACCTAAAGAACGGAGAAACTTCCATACATTCGCCGAAGATGAGTTGCAGATATTTTCATGAAAATATTCTCGCTTTGCTGCCCTCACCATTCTGTTGCACCTATTACGAGCTGTCTTATATAAGGACCAGTTTTCCTCCGACCTGTCACGCTTGAAAGCACGGAATGCTCGATCTCGTCGCGTCATGGCTATACGGACACCTCGACTAATCCAAGGAGCGGGAGGTCGCTTAACTCTAACAGGCTTTAGCGGAGCATGGGCATCGTAAAGTTTGAGAACACATTGGTTAAAGTTTGAAACTTTCTCATCAATTGACGAAGCACCATACATCGCTGAGAAATCGAGCTTAGAAGCATCCCCCCTTAGTCTATCAAGGTCCAGTCGAGCAAAGTTCCGCATCCACACAACAGAAGGTTTAGTTTTTGGTGGTTTTAATCTATACTGCAAAAAGATTAGATCGTGTTTTGAAAAACCAGGGGCAGTAAGCTGACCGTGATTAATAACGAAATTAGGGGAAGTTAAAATTAAGTCAAGCCATGTGTCATGAGAAGTGGTATGATGTGTTGGCCTAGAAGGCAGAATGGAGAGATTAACGGACTTGACAATATCAAGAAGTTTAAGAGAGCGAGATGAGCTACACATTAGATCAGTGTTGAAGTCACCCATAATTATGTGATGTCCGTATTCCGAGCAGAGTGGTTCAAGAACAGATTCAAGCTGAGAGAAATAATCAACACCGGGGGGAGAATAGACGACGCCTAGAACAACTTTCACTCCCTTGATAGAAACTTCTAGGAAGATGTATTCAGCAGAACTGGAGTAAAGAGAGGGAGATGAATTAAGAATTTTATATGGGATGCCATGACGTAAGTATATGGCAACACCACCACCGCCTTTGCCAGTACGATCATTGCGGATTAGAGTGTGCCCAGGAAGTGAGAAAGAAGAAGAGGAAAGACAGGGTTTTAACCAGGTTTCTGAGATAAAAATGGCGTGAGTAGTGGCAGAAGAAAAGGTTTCAATGAAATCTGAAAAATGAGAAGGAAGGAACTTTAGTATTTGGAGCATCCCTCAGGAACCTAACATTTTTCTGGGATAATAGTGTCATTCATCATTCAGACCCGTCTTTACCAGTGGGTACTTTGGGCAAGTGCCCAGGGCCCCGCGATCGATAGGGGGTCCCCTCAGATCAAATGCAAAGTCCCTAGTTCCTCACCTTGTTTAATCACCAAACGGAAGTCATAGGGAAGTCCCACTATCGTAATATGCCCAGGGCCTCCAATAGGTCAAAGACGGCACTGGTCTCATTTCAGGTCACAAACTATGTGTACCAAATTTCATCAGAATCCGTTCATCCGCCGTTTTTACGAGATCGACAAACGAACACAAAAACTTTCACATTTATAATATTAGTACGATGATGACTTGGTTATTATTAACCAACAATGGGTTGGTAATTACCTGGAGATAGTCGACACTGTCACGAACAACCAGGGGCAGCCTGATGTCATCGTGGCATCTGGACCTTTCCACTGACTGGTGCAGCGGAACGCCAAAAATGGGAAGAGCAACTGGAAAACGAGATTTAGGAAAATATTAAGGCAGATAAGGAATAGCAGATTTCCCGGTGGAATTGAAGTAACTTCCTGGAGGACTATCCTCTAACTTGGTCGTAGTACACAATATTTCTTATACGTAGGAACTCTTAATGGTGTTGTACTAATATGATGAATACCGTTTTCAACATCATCAGGCCCTACTGCTGGGGCACAGGACAGAATATTGAAAACGAGTCATTTTTTTATTGCCAGGTAGGAAATGACTCTACCCCACCTGATGTTAAGTGGTGATAAAGTCCAAACCCGAAGATAGCTGATACAGCAGTTATAAACTGCCACACCAACCATTCTCACCTTGCAGCAGGCCTGCAGAAATGGTTCTTTACGCTTCTCTTATAGGACCCCAGATTGTAGGAAGGGGAGCACAAGTGCGCGGGCAAAGAATTCCACTTGCGAATAGTACGACAAAGAATTGAATCACCAAATTTCTTCGCTCGTGTATTTTATTTTATTTAATATTGTTATTACAAATACAAAAGAAAAACAAGAGCGCGAGGCATTTAAAAACCATCGGCTGTCAGGAATAACAAAATGAAATCGTAAGCGATGGGGATAGCCGTAGCAATCCCATTAGACGATTGGCTCCCAGTTACGACTAACGAGCGAGCAAACATTTGTTCGCTCGGTAAATGGAATGCTCAAAATGATATTGTGTTGTTTCCATTGGTGGCATTCGATCGGCATCAAGAGAGCATTCGTTCACTTAGACCAGTGAAACATAGTTGTACGTACTCGTTCGCTCTCTCTGATATTTCCATTCACCGAGTGTTTGCTCGTTCATAACCGTTTTCGAGCTTAAATGGAAACACAGCATAATAGTGACACAAGCAAACTCTCTAGTAGTAACATAAGACAAAGTAGAATATACAATTAAAAGGTAATGTAAGTCAGCAAAATGTTATAAAGCAATTATCTAAATGATTAGGACGTTAGTAGAATGTAAGTATATGTTTCGCATTTGAAATGAACAACAAAGTACATTAACTAGTAATCGTAATTGAGTTCACCTCAAAGTGGACCCTACCGCCTTTTTAATAAACGCTAATTAACATTCATTAAGCTTACCGCCGATGGGGAATCCTTTGAGAAAAGGATTCATTGCGTTCTACACCGTCTGAATACATGCAAACAGTAACCATAAATTATGTTCTTATCATTCGCCTTGTACGAGTGTATGTTTTCTACATTGCTTTGTAAATTGTGTAGATTTTTTATCATTTTTATTATCATTGTTTGTCCTATTTGATACGCTCTCGGATAACAGATTTTGCGAGATTGTATAATATCGATTCTTGTAATGGATGGAAGATGGTCACTTAGTTTGTATGTAGAATGCAATTTTTTTTAAATGTTTTTGTAGAGGGATCAAAAAGTTAATTAATTTTTTACTCGCACAAATCAGCCTAGCCTCAAAGTAATTACTGTAGGCTTGTGTTATGATGAGATACTAGGGTAACGGACAGAATACATAATCACACTAATATTATAAAGGCTAAAGGCTAAGTTAAAAGTTTGTGAGTTTGTATGTTTGTTACTTCTTCACGTCTAAACGGCTGGAGCGATTTTAATAAAATTGGGTATGGAGTTAGCTGACATATATTAACACGTAAGCTACGTTTTACTGCGAGAAAATATCCGTAATAAACCGCGGGTAACACCGCGGGGCAGAGCTAGTATACTAATACATATATAAGTTTATTTATATAGAAATACATATTTAACAGCCATGACTGGAATGCAAATGCTCGTATTCATCACACAAACATCTGTCCGGTAATCGTGCTATAAAGATTGCATGCAATAATGCTTCAGTACCCTTAGCACGAACCAATATTAATTAGAATAGTTGAATTTGATCTCGATACGTGTAAATAGATTAATTTCAAGAAGTTTTGTATGAAAATTTTAACAGCGCCACAACGGACGTAACCTTTTTTATTTTTTATTTTATAATTTCAACACTCACACCAATTAGCCTAGCCCCAAAGTAAGCACTGTAATTGCCTGTGTTATGGGATGCTAGGGTAACGTATAGAATACATATACTGTACATATATAAGTATATTTATATAGAAATGCCTATTTAACATCCATGACTGGAGTGCAAATGCTCGTATTCATCACACAAACATCTCCCCCCACCGGGATTCGAACCCGGGACCTCTCGAGTCGGCGACACCATGAAACCCGGCGTACAAACCACGAGGTCGTCAAATAATTAATAATCTTGCATACAGAAGTTCTTGACATTTGACGCGAATCGAGATCGAATTCAACTATAACTATAAGAATTCGTTATTTGTTCGTGTTCGTGCTAACTGTTTACTAAGCGAGTACCTATCTTATATCTTAGCACCAGGCGAGGCTCTTCGTTGAATTGGCAGAGTAATCGAGCTTGTACGAATGCAAATAGTTATCGTGGACCTTATTTGCATAGCATGAAGAACGATTATATCATTAAAAATGTATATGAGGCCAAGAAATTATATACATTATTAATACTGATTTATTTGGGTTATCTACAATGCGAAGAGATGGCGCTGCCTTGCAGCTTAATAAATACTAGAAGAAATTCGGTCATTAAGTAAGCGGTAGCATAATAAATGGTCAATGCATCCGCTTGGATAGAGGAGGGTGCGGGTTCGAGTCCCATCTGTTGCCTCGACTGCGTGGAATTTTGCAGTGCAGACGGAATCACAGAAATTTCCTTTACATTTAAACATCTAGCAGTTAAATCTTGAAAACATATTTTTTTTTATAAAATAATGATTTATTTACCTCCCAACGTGAATATTTCCTCAAACGGCACACCCGAGGTCACAGTAGACGGCACTTTCGTCAGTTTCTTATCTTTTTTGTCCTTTTCTTTATCTTTCACTTTGTCTTTGTCCTTCTCTTTCACTTTCTCTTTGTCCTTGTCCTTCACTTTATCTTTTTTTTCATCTTTGAGTTTCTCCTTCGACTCCAATTTGAATTTTGCTTTCTCTTCCTTTTCCTGGAGACAAAATGGTAAAACTAATTGAATTATTTCAAATAGATAAGAAATATCGAAAAAAGATTTAAAAAAAATAGGTTTTATTTGAAAGCAGATTTACATTAATAATTCGGTAGTAAAACCATAGTGATTTTTATTATTTATGATGAATATGATTCTTCGTAGGTGTAAGTAAAAGTATAGCACAAATAAATTCAAGAGGGGTGTGAAGAAGCATTTTAGTAGGCCGGCAAGGTGAGGATGGTTGGTGTGGCAGTTTATAACTGCTGTACCAGCTATCTTCGCGTTTGGACTTTATCACCACTTAACATCAGGTGGGGTAGAGTCATATGCCTACCTGGCTTTATATAAAAAAACGCCGTATGTATTAAAGATCACTTAAGAACCTCAAGAACGCCAGATTGTGTGTTATCTAATCTATATATATAAAATTCAAAGGTGACTGACTGACTGACATAGTGATCTATCAACGCACAGTCCAAACCACTGGACGGATCGGGCTGAAATTTGGCATGCAGGTAGATGTTATGACGAAGGCATCCGCTAAGAAAGGATTTTGATCAATTACCCCCAAGGGGATAAAATAGGGAATGAAAGTTTGTATGAAACTTTGTCAATTTTAAACCGATCGGGCTGAGACTTTGCATGCAGGTGTAAGAAGAATCATAGATGAATGTCATTGTGTATAAATACAAGCCTGAGAACAAAAACTGTAGTCTACACTTCAGTTCTACACCGAAGCGAAGCGAGGGCGGGCCGCTAGTTAGGTATAAACGAAAACATTTTGTGAAGAGGTTTGTATAATCATTTATTATTTGCTTCATCATTTATGAAGACTGGCTACATAAGACATAAAATACAAAGCACTAATGAAGTAAGTAATTTTAACTGTTTCTTATAAAAAAAAGTTAAATTTTGTGCAAAGCATAAGCAGTTGTATTAATTTTAAATGGACGAATTGTACAGGTAGGTATTGATTGTATAAATAATGTTATTTAATTCTTCAAAATCCCAGTGCTCAATAGGTTTATCCTAAATAGGTTCTTGAAGCAAAGCGACCAGCGAATAATAAAGAAAGTTGTAGCTAGGTATTATACAAAACACATTGCTTACTACAGAGGAAAGCTCGCAGCTGGCGCATTTTATGTCTTCGTATTGTAAAAGGGAACAAATTACAATCTTCATTAGGATGGAATCATTTGCAAGTTCCCTAATTTAAAATCAATTATGCATATGCATGCACATACTTGCGATCACGAATGTTGTAAATATATCAGGACTGACGATTCAAGTTTAAGCAGCCAGAAAAAATATAAGCATTAAGCGTGTTAGGTAATATGTTATTTTTAAGTTACTTTAGTCTCAGATTACAAAATTACAGCAACATTTCACTAACTCTGTTGCTAAAGGTGTCGCCTATCTTATAATCTATTTTTAATGGGGAAGGTTTGCGAGAGTACGTAATAATTTTACATTTGGCGCTATTAAAGGGGAGAGATTTGCTAAACTCCACTTTGACACCGCATCTATATCGGTTTGTAAATCTTGTGCATCCATGACATCTTTTATGTCTAGAAACAACTTCAAATCGTCCGCAAAGAGAAGGCATCGAGCAGTCCCAATAGACAACGGCAAATCATTTATCATTATTAGAAAAAATGATGGAACTAATGTGCTTCCTTGACTGACTCCGGATCTTGTAAAGTATTCCGCAAAATCGAAACCCCGCACTCTTACAAACTGGCGTCTGTTAATTAGGTAATCGGCAAAAAACTTCAGCAGCCCTGGCGTGAAACCTGTCAATGTTAATTTTCTCAATAGTATATCATTGTCTACTAGGTCGAAAGCTTATTAAAATCGTAGTAAGCAGCATCTACCTGCCACCCCGCATCTATTTTTGCAGAGATGTAATCCACTAACTCAATAAGATTCGTCGTGGTTGAACGAGCCCTGCGAAATCCATGCTGACTACAACTTGATTGACTTTCAACTTGTCTGGTAATATGATTATTCAGAATAGTTTCTAATATTTTTGAAAATACTGAACGGACCGCAATCGATATGTATTGTGAAACATCGCTGTTGGACTCTTTACTTTTTGCCATTTGCGTTACACGTGATAGTTTTCAACAGGCTGGGCATTTTGAAACATCCATACACTTATTGAAGATGTATAGTAGCGGAGTGCAGAAAACTAATTCACAGTCCTTCACCAAAAACCTATAAAGACTGCAATAAAAAAGTTTCTTTTACACAGTCTTTATATCAGTCTTTTTCTTCGTCTTTTCTAACATCCATCTTAGAATGTGCAGCACACGCAGCTTCTATCGGATTAAGCCGTGGTGAATCACTTTGGCAAACTGAAACTGAACTGAAGTATTGAGAAAAAGCCTTGGCAGCAGCCTGTCCCGTTACCTCTACTCCTTGGTAAGTGAAATCGTTCAAAGATCGCCTAACTTTTTTCTTATCCTTAACATATCCCCAGGATTGAGCTGGTTCCTTATAAATGTTTTTTTTGAACTCTAGTTATATGCTGCTGATACGCGCTGTCAATTAACTTTTTAGTATGCCATCTACAAAATTTATAAAGTTCCAGATTGATTTCCTTTCCTTCTGACTTGTAGTTCTTTAAGTGATTGTATTTAAACTTAAGATTCTGTATTATTTCAGAATTATACCAAGTACGGTATACATAACGACTTTGAAGTTGGTCATGATAAAGGAACAAAGCGATGACAACACTCGTAAAACTTTAACTTACACATTCTTGCTAAATATAACAGTTTTTGACCGTAGGCCACGTACGTTCTGATAATAACACTGAAGTGTCTTAATTTTACTGTAAGTTTGCCTGGTTTCCTGTCTAGAACGAAAGTTATTCCGCCTAGTTTCACACATATGTCTTCAGCCCCATATTCTGGGTTCATTACAAGATCAGGTTGCTTTGTCCGTACGGCAAGATTGAATGATGCATAATTTCCCCGCGGCTTCAGTGCCTCGACAAGACAGACGACATCGGCACCACATATGGATCACACAATTCACAAGTTGCACAATTTACATTGATCAGCTGGGATATCGGGGCGCTCGTTAAAATATTTACTGTTTTTCCATTATCTATTTTTCTTTCGCTAAATTAGCTCTTTCCGCTGTTAGCATCAATCTCTTAGTTCTATGAATGTCCATTATTTTACTCTCTAGTCAATCAGTCCTTCCTGTAAAGCCATTTATTTTATCAAATAATTCGGCTGTGAAAGATAGGAATTGAACAGTAAACAATTTTCTAATTTCGTCTATAACTTGACGAACCACCGCTTGCTGTGCCATTTCTGGCAAAGTATTCATTTCAACATTACTTGCTGATTGAGCGGAACGCGTCCCCGACCGTATTGCGTGTTCCGTGAGCTCCATCTACCTTTTGTTCTGTAATGTGAGACTTTAGTATACATTTTCCTAACTAGATTTTTTATTAGTAAATTAACTTGTACTGTTTTGTGTACTAGCCTATTCTAAAATATAAAGTTGGTGGTCAATAGCCTAGCAATAGAAGAATAGGATTGGATAAGGTACTCCATGTTTTGTCCCTGTTCATCGAATGACAAATGTAATTTGAGTGATAGCATTCTTGTCAAAGATTTCGCCAAGCAAGATTTGAAACGCGGCATCAAATCACGATAGACAATGACACGAACCCAAACCTGCCAAAATTGAACTAAGGCAAAATAAATCGACTTCATTGTGTCTATTAATTAAAATCTAAATGATGGAGACGTCCAAAAGCTATTTCCATTGGGTGTTACGCCTCTACTCCCTTCCCGTTTGCACGTTTGTTCATCACGCAAAAACTATAGCCGAAACAATCGATTTTCACGGGGTTTTCGATTTTACCTAGCATATCAAATCTGAGCAAGTTAAAAAACTAAAACGGTTAGAAAACTGACAAAAAGAACTAATTGTTTTTCTCGGTAGGTATGTTCTTATTCGATAATAGAATCATAGGGAGTACCTAGTTTTAGATGAAGCTAATAATGATATACACCACACTATTTTATATGTAACTAGCTGTCCCAGCGAACTTCGTACCGCCATAAAAAATAGGGGTTGGTGGTAGAAGGGTGAAAATTTAGGGTTGTATGTATTTTTGTATGATGTATCATAAATAAAAGAAAACAAAAAAAAAATGTCCACATAAAATTAAGGGTAAAAAGAACGTGGTAAAGTTTTGTATGAGCGACTGCCCTGGCAATGTATTAATACTGTACTTAGTAATATTTAATGGTAAATGGCTGAATATTTATAATTTCTATGAAAAAAGGGTTAGGAACTTTTGATAAAGTCACAATCTTGAAAATTATGAAAACTTCTACTATGTCATTACCTTACTACAGTTGATAAAAGATGTTGCCAATTATTAACAGAGTCATCAATTTCGCATTTTCTTAGAATCTTTCTTCCCATTTCTCTGAATAACTCTTCACAAAAAAAAATTAAAGCAAAAATAAATACAAATAATTTGTTCTCGTCAGCCTGAGAGGAAATCTGTGAAGTTTTATTTTGTCCATTTGCAAAAATTAAAGGATTAATTATCATACAGCTTTGTCTCAAGCCTGATCAGAATAATAAAATCAATTATTTAAGTCCTTCAGTGATTTGTTATAATAAAAATTAGGGCCAAAAATGTCATACTTTAAAGGAGTTTAGAAAAAATATTGTTTATTTCAATATACTTACACAAATATTTTTTGTGTACATTTATTGTTCATTCATTTTGTAAAACGGAACATTTTGCTATTGAAACAGATATGAAATCAATTTTTATACTTTTAAATATTTGATTATTTCACGAAAGTTGTATGAGAATAACAAACACGTAATAATTAATAAAAAAATATTGTTTACAATAATGTAACTTCTAGTTACATTATTGTAAACAATATTTAGCTAGTGCGAAATATTTATACACGTTAAGGGCAGTTTCTTAGCCATGTCCTTTATTTCTT